GAGGCTGAGACAGGCCCTCAGCCCGCTCACTACGCCAGTGGATCATCATTCATCATGATGAATAATTTGATGATTGATGAGCTGAGCATATAGGTATGCTTAGACTGAGTTAGACAGCCTTAGCCTGCTCAGTGCTCAGGCCGCTCAGCCTAGTACAGTGTTACTCAGTTACTGCAGTTCTGTTTGCTAAAATCCAATTTACTATTCAATTAGGCCTAATTGAATTTAATTTGGAACTGAAATTATTCTTCCTAGCCTAACAATTTTTCAGTTAGCCTACGCCCTACAGTGTGATTGTTCAATGCAATTTTAAAATTGATTGATTTTTAAATTAATTTCATGCTAAACTGATTTTGAATTTTTATTTATTTTATGGTTACATAGTGGCAAAGCAGAGAGTTTTTTAGACTCTTCCTTAAGTTCATTTTTGAGTCCTATAAGTAGACCAGTAAAGTATCTTGGATACCAGAATTATCATACATAAGAAATCTGTTAAAATCTTGAGTAAATGAGGAAATTGAAAATGAACTGATTCTAAAAAATCTCTGGTTTGCCACTATGTATGGTTATACCAAATACCAATAATAGGCTTAGTAGTACCGGTAGTAGGCTAAAATCAACATTAAACATGATGATCAAAGACAGGGTAGCTACTAGCTAGGGTAAACGAGGTATATTCCGACACATTAAGGACGCTGGACGTACCAAAAAATGAATGGCTATAAAAAATCACCGTATTTGCAACTCAAGTTCTGTTTGCTTTACGTCACTCTCTGACTCTCAAAACACTGCACTACGTCACTAACTGAGTAACTGTTGCCAACTTGCCATATTTATTTAAAAGCCCTTAGAATGTAAACCTACCAAATCCATATATTCTGATGCTGTGTGTGACTAAATTTGGCATTTTGTGAGACTAATTCCGGCATAAGAAAGGTTGGAGCGCTACTATTCTTTTGACTTACCATACCAGGCGTAGCCGCGTACCGCACGGTAGCGGCGACCAGCTGCAGCACGCAGCACGCCCGCAGTTGTGGAGTAGAATTCGTGGGGGAAGGTGTAGTGACCTTGACGCTCCAATTATGACAGAGCGCTCCAATTTCCCAAAAGCTCATGTTCTTTTATTTATACTATGGAATGCCACCATGATTGCTGTGTAAGCTGTATTGGAATACGATAGCTCGGAATTAGAACACTATTGAATATTGAACACTACCTAATGAATGAGGCTTTTAAAAGTCTCAAACCATAATATTCTTTCTACCTACACAAACAGTTTATCACTATTTGGTAGAGCAAGGTCAACTATCAACTTTGACACATTTTTTGATGTTCTCACTGGGTGACTTGCACTGTCTCTCTTTGGATCTCAACATTTTCCAGCCAGATGGCCCAGACCTAGTGTTTTGGCAATAGTATGGCGCGCAATAGTATTACGTCACTATTTCAACCATTAATGAATGCGTGGAACTAAGACAAAGCTTAATATAAAGGAAAAAGTTGAGAAGTGTCGGAATAACCCACGATGTTAGAACATACCGCGTTTACCCTATAATAAGAATTAAGAGATGGGTGGGGTAAATCGGGCCAGTCCTCTGTCAACTGTCATGGCATAAAAATATAAAATGTTATAGCAGCAAAAGCAACTGAAATATTGCACAACTAAAAATGGCGGTGTAATATAAAAAAATGGTGGTGTAAAAAATTTTCAAAAAAAAATTTCTTTCTAAAAATGGTGGTGTAAAAAATTTTAGAAAGTGGTACCTATTTTGAAAAAGTACTTATGTTAAGGTCTGTTGAAAAATATTTGCTGCATTAAAAAAATTTGCTTTTAAAACACTGGCAGACAGGTGTTAGCTTTAAAACTCATTTGATGAAATTTGTGTACCACATTCCACAAGGCTCAATCCAAAACAAAATGGTGGACCTTTTAGTGAGAGGGGATATTAAGGGACACCTCCGGCCCAATTGACAATATGGGACACCCTTGGGCCTTAACCCTTTAGTGGGCAAGCATTGAAATATCCAGAAATTAAAATTTCAGTAACCATTTCAAGAAAGTAAGAAGTATTATACAATATATTTATTTCTATGAATTTTTGCAAATGTTGCCTATTGAAGGTTTAATTCGCACTTGAAGAATTCAATAAATGTGATCAGTACAAAAAATTTTTCTTTATAATTAAAATTCAGTTTATGCAAATGAAAAGTTAGAAACATAAAAATTTAATTTAATTAAATTTAATCAAGTTGCCAAAATAAATAAATATATATATTGATAATTCCAAATTTTGAAGAAAATGCGGACAGAGCGTCAATTCCATTGTCCGAATCAAAACCTTCATTTAAATGCTCATATTTCAATTTGTGGACTTTGCAGCTGGTGATGCTATAGATAGAACGAGGGTCAGATAATTAGTGATTGACTGAGGCATTATAAGGATGCCTCAAAAACAAACAGAAAGCCGTGGTGAGGCTTTTTTTGACGCGATTTCAAGTGATCATATATGGTAACTTACCCGTGAAAGGGTTAAAATGCTAAAAACACATCTACAGACTAACCTTGGTTAGCAAAGGCTCCGCTTTGGTTAACACAAAAAAATGGCTAATTATGAAGATGTTTGATTAAATTTACCTATCTCAGTTCACTGAGCTCAGCAAAAAAAAAATTCACTTAACAAAATAGTAATGTATCATCAGCATAGTGGAATTCTAGTGTTGCAGGTACTTTTTGGTCTGGGAGGCATTTCCAGCCAAGAGGGGCATTTTTGGCTTGCACAGGCACCAGGGACCTAGGTGGGGTCAAAGCTCAAAGGATTGGCAGGAGCAAAGAGGGAGCCAGTTTTGTCTTTTTGATGCTGCTGGGGGAATTGTTAACTGTTTGCTGCTGGGGGCACAAGTGTGCAAAGCTCATGTGGATACATCATACAAACAACACATGGCTCAGCCTGATGGCTGCACAACTAAGGGGGAGATTGTCTGGCATCCGACGACAGGGCTTCTGATGGCAAGGTTTTGAGCTGTGCTGGTTGCCGCAGCCGGGCAATCCGGTCTGCAAAATTAAATTATCTGCAATTATTTAGAAGCATTAGTCAAATGCTTAGTCTATTTCCTCAAATATAACTGAAAGGTTTTTTATAGAGGGCAGGTATAAATATATATACATGATATAATATTAACTGTACTCATCAAGGAGACAGTGCTTAGAATATGTGTAGAAAATTCTGGCAGCAAATTATCACTTTACTGCATGCATAATGCATATAAGTATTAGTGTAGTTAGGCAGAAGTTCTTCATTTATACAAGTTTGTTTGAAGACCAGAGCATGCTTTTAATAACAATTTTCATATTTTTTTTTTCAATAAGCCTAACAAAATTTCTTGCTGACACCAGGAGATAAAAAAGCAGGTTAATAAATGGCATTGTACTAGAATATTGCATTTTGAATATTCAACATTGTCTCAAGCAGGTGAAGAGTTTTACAACCCTTTAAATTTTGAGTAAATGCAAAAGCTATTGAAGGTAAAATTCAAAATAAAAGCTTTGAAATTATCCCATGAACAGCTTCAATGTCCTGACAAATCCAGTGGTTTGAAAATTGATAGCTGGAGTTTCATCCTTGATGAGAGCCTGTGCTATTGCCAGTTTTGTCGTATTGTGCACCACATGATGTTTCTGGTGCAGGCATCCAATGTCACGCAGGTGATAGTTTTGTAGTGAGCCTCCTGCATATGGATCTTTTGCCCTCCAGTTTTTATGTGGCATATAAGTTGGTGACTGGTCAAACTGATGTAATTTACATTTTGGACAAGTTACAACCTTCTTTTGTGCAAGAGAATTTCTAAATAGCATTGGTTTCTTGCAGTGTTCCCAACTTTTTACTTGGCTTATTTTTAGTGATTACCGTACATGCTTGATTTTTTTTATTATTATTTGTTTTGATCAGTTACTGTTGTGTGAAACTGATGTTATTGTGCACAATCAATTTGAGGACTCTTTCATCTGACCTATAACCACTGTTCATCTGGTTTTGATTTACTGGAAAATTTTTACAATCAGTGTCAATAATTTTATTTGCATAACCACTGTTTACAAGAATTTGTTATCAGGTCCAAAGTTCAGTCTTCAAGTCATGAGCGATTACAGGTTTTGAATGCTTGATGTATGAGGGCATGTTTGGTGATGATTTTGTAGCAATGGGGACATTCATTTTCTTTGTTTAGGACTTTTCTGACATCTATGTTTCCTCTAAACTTTGGTGAGAAATGAATTATTATTGCCTTTTACTAGTATGTCTGGGAAAAGCAATGTATGATTTTGTCCAAATCTGTAAGTGAACATCAAAACAGAATTGAGTTCTAAAGCTACACACAGCTTCATCATGTGATCATAGTCTCAAACAATGATGAAAATGTCATTGACATATTGACAGTAGAGGTAAATCTGTAAATTTAACAACACTTGGATTTTAACTTCACACATGTAGAATGTGACAAATGTTGGACCAAGAAGACTGCCCATGGCAACAGTCAACTTGCTTACTATATATTCTGTTATATGGGGTCCTTCTGCAAAGGTGATTCTAAAGTACAGAGGTGAAGGAGATCAGTTAGAATATTTGGTTTTTATTTTTATAGTTAAGGTAGGACATTGGTTATTAAGCTATTTATGTTGAGTAAAGCAAGCAGATTTATTAAAAAGCATGAAATAAATCGGATTGCATTATGTGGAGAAGTGAAATAAATCAAGTAAGGTACAAAAATATACAATGGTTGAGCAACAAATAGCCTAATTTGATACCCCTTACATATGGATGTGTTTTGATAGGAGTTGATGTCACAGAGTTTTTGACAATACTGTATATTCTTTTTAACTAAATTTCTTCAACAAAATCTGACACTTTGGTTAAACAGCAATAAACAACAGAAAAAAGGAATGTGCATTTTATCTAGTTTTATACATATAATAATGCTTGACATCTATATTCTTTTACTTACAGGTTTATTCCGTTTTTTTCTGTAGTGTTATTTAAATTGATACATATATGGATCTGGAGGCTCAGGCAGATGAACTAGTAGTGCTCTCTAGTATCTATGAAGATTGTTTCCATGAGGCTGAGGGAGAAGGAAGCAAGGGTGGAGAGCTGGTCATCAGTCTGGATCTGCCTGGTACCATTTCACTCATCTCATCCAATGGTAAGTATGCATTCTTCATTTAATATTAGAATGAACAAGAAATAAAAATGGATGAGCTTTTCTTTATGCATTTACTGATGCAGCCCACACTTATAGTGATTGTTACCATGTCCTTCTAAATTCTTGTTAGTTAATGATTATAAAGCAGGATTCAATATTGAATCTGAAATATTATAATTCATTAGCCTTCAACTCACTTCTTTAATTTAATTAATGAACTCCACTACCTACTTTAATGAGAACCTTTCAATGATACTTCTAATCTACCATTAGTTTCAGGAAATCATGGTTACAATGAGCCTGTCCAAATTCAACACCTCCCTCGTGTGTACCTACACTTCTGCTACCCTCCCAACTACCCCTCTGAGGCTCCTCCTTCCTTCACCCTCACATGCAAGTGGATCACAAAAGCGCAAGTAAGCGGCTGTCTTATTGTTCTAATTTTAAAAAACTATTTTTTACAGTTATTTTTTACTTTAAAGTTCTTTTTTGTTACCAATTCCTCTGGATTGCTCATTACTATTTCATCAACCAAGCTTATTCTATTCATTCTCATGTACATATGTCTTCTTCTTGTGTATTAAGCAATATTATTGATTCAATGTTGTTTCACCCACTCGCAGCTGAGCTTGCTCTGCTGTGAACTTGACAAGCTATGGGAAGAGAACAAGGGGAGTGTTATTATTTACACATGGAGTCAGTTTATTCATGATGAGGCCACTAAACTTCTAGAACTTGGCAGTTCTTTGGATGTTGACTCCATCACTCCCAAGAAGAATGATCTGATGAGGCAGTCTTCACAGCCAATCAGTGTTTCCTCCTCTGGGGCGGAAAGCTCCTTGAACTCCAATGAATTCTCTAGGCCACTTGGGAGGAAGTCAGAATCTGTGACAGAAGATTTACTACCCTCAAAAATCATTCAAAATGTCCCAAACTGTGATATTAGGAATATAAGTGATATTAATAGAAAAGATGATGTTATTAATGGAGGCTGTGCTGAGAAAATAATCTCTGTATCTGGAGTCAATGTGATAGAAAAATTTTGTAGTGGAGTGGTTGATAATAGAGCTGTTCAGGACATTGCTCCTAATACCAACCTTTTTCTGTTGTTACGTGAGTATGACCAAGATAAGCGAAAGAAGGAGTTCAACTTGAAAAGCTTCAAGTGCGCTGTATGTTTCACTGAGAAAATTGGTAAGATGTGCTTGGAGTTTTGGCCTTGCAGCCATGTCTACTGCAAAGACTGCATGAGAGGATACTTCGAAGTGCAGATCAGAGAAGGCAATGTCAAGGCGTTGCAGTGCCCTACTGAGAAGTGCTCTTCTGAAGCCAACCCCAAGCAAGTGAGCATCTGTATTTAACTTTCCTTCTATTGCTCCAAGGATCTTTGTAGCAATGAAATCAATGGCTTATTATTCTTGAAAAATGAATAGCTGTGATATTGTGCATTTATACATTTCAAACTGTATTCTACCTGGATTTAAACTTAACCCTTGTCCTTTTCTACCCGAATTGGCTCAATTTGATGATTTCAGCCTAGAAGTGGCTAATAAGCCAATGTTGCATCTTGATGGGTTGAAAAAGTACTTTAAGTGATATCTGATAACCTCGCAGGTGGAGGAGCTTGTGTCTGCCGAGTTGTATGAGCGATGGGACTCTCTGCTGCTCTCAAGCACTCTGAGTGCCTTGGGCGACACGCAGCCCTGTCCTCGGCAGCACTGTCAGTATCCCGTCACCCTGAACGGCGACCAAGGCACCTGTCCTGTTTGCTCATTTGTCTTCTGTTCTCTCTGCAGGTATGGCATCTCGCAAAATAAGTTCCTATCAATACTCAATAGTGGAACAATTTTGGAATAATGTTCGTGATTTGTTTGATTTTTATGTAACCAATTAAAAGTATTCTCTATATATTGAATGAGTAAGTAACCATAGGCCAAAATCTGCGCCGTATAAATTTGGTTTTATTTAATTGCAGTATACTGACAATACAAATATTAAATTATCTGTAAGAAAAGCCTACTGTTCTTGAGTCACCATTTTGATTACTTTACCGCTGTTAGAGCCCAAAGTTATTTTTGAGATCGAACCATCTTAACCCTTTGTCTGACTTCAGGTTTGGTACTCACGGCAAAGAGCCGTGTAAGCTGAAGAACAGTGAAACAAAGCGAGTTCTGGAGGAATATTCTAAGGGTGATGATGCCACCAAAGCGCGACTGGAGGAACGGTGAGCCTCTCAAACACTTTCATGTCGTGGCGGGAAAACAAAAATGTTATTAGAATAATTACTTTTGGATGCCTAGTTATGCGTGCTTTTAGAAGTGTAATGTAAATTGTTTCAAGCCTTGATGTAAATGCCTTTATATTCAAATATTAAATGGTAGCTGCGTTTTATAACTTTGCTCATCGATCTAACAAATATTTTTGCATTGAATTTTAGCGAGCTTAAGTGAATATACTGAACTGACTTTGAACAGACTTTGAATTTAGCAGGACTTTCTTGTAGCGATTTAAAGTAGAAAAAATGTCATTCTGAAAAAATCACGTAGTATATATTACATTAAACATTATTTATTCGAGCATAATTGAATATTTTCCCTATATTGCTTCTCTAAGGTATGGCAGAAAGTACTTACAGAAGCTGCAGCAAGAGTTGCTCAGTATGAACTATATTTCGAACAATGCCAAGAGGTGTCCAAAATGTTCTGCTAACATTGAGGTATGTATCGTCCATTGCCCCATTTTTATACTCATGAATTCATTGCAATCACTATAAATTCATCACCTTTGTATTTTATTCCTGCAATGCTTTAAGTTTTTTTAACAGTAATGTGGTCTCGAGATGAACTTACGTATGGGCCATGTGTATGTAAAGAATTTTTTTTTAAGTTTTTTCTTTCTTTTGCTCAATTCATGCTTTTTAGCGCATTTTCTCGTTTATGGAAAAAATGCACTATTGTGCTCGCCATGTCCGTCCATCCGTGACTTCACGTTTTCGTCGACAAGAAAAAAGCGCTCTCTGTCACTCACTGCAGTGAGTACTGAGTTATATTTTTTGCCTAATTCACTATGAATTATCATCTTAAAATTTTTTCATTTAATTCCAGCTGTTATAGTATTTTTCGCCAAATTCCTCGTTGAAGTTGCCTGCATAATATGAATAAATATTCCTTTAAGTTCTATATTCTGTGTACAGAAAATGGACGGCTGCAACAAGATGGTGTGTCAGCGCTGCCACGTGACTTTCTGTTGGCTGTGCATGAAGATACTGGAGGCAGCGCGTCCGTACGATCATTACAACGGAACTTCATCGGATTGTTACAACAAGCTTTTTGAGGGCGTCGATATTGATGACTTTCCGGACTTTGATGATGTGGACGACGATCATGAACCACCTCCCATTAGACCCAACGATGAAAATTTAGATGATGATGAGGAACCAGGAATGTATTATGTTTTTTTGTGAGGGTGTCACCAAGATAGTTGAAGCAATCGAACTTTTTTATTTTAGTACCTTAATCAGGTATTATTTGAATTTCAATCTACCTGAGCACAAGCTAAAGGATATTTGATTATTTCCATAATATTTTCCAGGATGTAAGCTCTGTGGCTGTTCGTATTAATTTCTCGACTTTTCAGTGAAATTCACATACTCGCGTTTGAAATGAATGCGATACATATACCTTCATCAATAAATGGGAACTTGAATATGTAGCGATGAGCCTCCTCATCACTACCAATGAGCTAAAATTTTGTGTTTATATATCTTTCTCACCTTATCAATGGATGCTTCTCAAAAGTAGGCGTTATTCTTCGATGTTGTTATACATGTGGTTCTTCTGTTCCTCAAATTTATTTGTCTACTTGACAAATTTAACGGCAGGTATTTGAAAAATTTTCTGTATTTGATAAAAAGATTCCAATGGTGTAATACTTATCACCATCAATTAATTTCATAGATGTAGTTATGCATTTACAATATTTTGACAAATCGGATTTATTCAGGGATTATTTTCTTAAAAGTATATTTTCGATTGAATTACACTATCCAGATTTGTACGGTTATTGTTTCGTGGTCGTTTTTAATAAACTCTTATTATTTTCTGCTTGCTCTAAGTCTACATGTTTGAAATAGTGTAACTGAGCACAACAAATTTGCATCAAATGTTAACTCATTTCACTCATCTGCAATTTTTGCATCTTATTTCGTCTCAATTAAGTTAGTATCCTCCGGTTCAATAAATTGAAGCAAAATGAAATTAATTTCATTTAGCTTATTAGTCACTTTCTACTTACACATATTTATTTATTTCGCAAGTAGTATGACTTTTCTAACGACTTCACTGAATTTTGTTAATTTCAGTTATTGGTTTTAGAATCAAGTTTATATTTATTTCGGTATATTTTTATGCTCTACTTATCCGTTATGTTGAGAATCTGTGTTATTTCAGCAAGATTCACAGAAAAAACTCCTTAACTACTGGAGATTTACTAACTGTAGTTCCTGAATTCATGCAAGTGATATAGTATTGAATCTTCATCCGCTTTCTCTTAGCAACGAAGTCATTTTGCTCTATCGGTATGGAACTACTCACATTTGTGGTTCAAAGATATGTCATTTGCTATAAAAGATATTTATTATAATTTTTCGTATGATTTATCGTTAATGTTTCTTTCATTAAGTAACCTCACAATGATGAGTGCGACAACCGATTTGCTGTCATTGCTCTATCTTCTCGTGATATGCGTACGAATGTGTCATAGAAAAGCTAGTCTTACCACGAAACCTCCTACCCAGAGGATATGAACTATAGTGCAGTATACATTGAATCTTAATGCAGTTCAGAAAAGTAGAACTTGCCGCAAGGGGGCAGACTCCGAATGTAGCTTCAACATTTTCCAGCATCTGTGTACTTTATGGAGCCTAGCGGCTCTTGCATCTTGCTAGTTTCGAACAAAAATTTTCTATCTCTTGTGGCTTGAAGTACTTCACATGGTTTGTCCACTGAGTCAAAACATTGTTTTCTTGCCACTTATAAAATAAATTGAAGACTGCTTATGTTCATCTCGTAGGTGAACATGAATTATATGCATTAGAAGTTCTAACGTGGCTCTCAAGCTTTAATTAGCAAACCAACGGAGTAAACTGTACCGTATTTTTGCTAATTTCTTTTCTTGGTTGTTTGGGTGAATTTATGATTCGGAGCTTGCTTGGGGAACGAGGCGCCTCCCCCGGTTACCCTTTACGCCTCAATTACAACTTGATAGGTCCTCTCAAAATGAAACTTATTCCGATGAATGCAATTTTGATACGCGAAAGAGAGTAAAAAATGTCACGAGATGATAAAATTTGCACTCAATTGACTCGCGTAAACAATTGAGTTTCACTAATCTGCTTTTAAAAACGAGAAATAATGCGACGAAAGCATGAATTGACTTCTTTCGTCATTGAGAAGTGCGACCTAACCACTAATGTTTTGTTCCATTTGTGTACCGACTTTCAATTTGCGCCTTAACTTCTCTCTCTCATTTCATGCAACAATACACAATTTTTTCTATGCATGTCGATCGCGGATGAAGCTCTTAAGTCAACTAGGCCCTTATTGGACCTGTGAACCTGAGACGAAAGAGTGGGAGCAGCGTCGTATGAACTAACTTTGTCATTAACTTCAAACATAAGCAGGTAATGCAGTACAATATTGTCAACGTTCACGAACGAATAAAATTCTATATGTTGATACAATACATTAAAGTTTTACTTGTAATATGAAAAAATGTAAGTACATTTTCGTGCTGTCAGACAACGTCGAGTAAATGGAATAATTTTTCAAATAAAATGTGACAAGGAATTTTTCTACTACTTTCCTTGTTATTGTTCTCTGCAGAATGGCAGACTCGAGTGGCTGCGGGGCTCTGGAAGGGCTGTCAGACGAGCTCGTCCTACAGGCTTTCAGTATGGCAGACGAGAGAGGCTACCGTCCAGCGGGGCTTCCTTCTATGAACGCAAAAAATTCTGGCACAGCAGACATGCCTGATGCCTTATTCCCAAGATTGGATGACTTTACAGCTCCAAGCAACGAATCTCAGATGATGGACCTCACGAACTCCTTGCCTAAACACCAGTCCGTGTCTCTGTCAACGCAAGCTATCCTGGCAAAGCTCGAGAATCATGATGAGGCGTCAAGACTCCAGCAAAACGTCTCAGGGCCTCAGCAGTCGCACAGGAAGCTCGAGGCTGAATTTTTTAGTGTAGTCTGCAACAGTGATGCATTCGACGAAACACACACCCCAAATAATCAAAGTCTAAATCAAACATTAGAGCCTACAGACGTTTATGGACGCGTTACCTGTTACGATGGCAAGATTGTCTTGCAGCTGCGTCTCCTGAACCTCAACACGAATTTCCCCATCAACGTCAGCGAGTGTTGGCTCTGTCGGAATAAGGTTCCGAGCGGCACGCCTTTGTACGCCCACAAGCACATGTTTAGCGGCGTGTTTCAGGTTAGCGATGAGTACATTCATCTTATTATTCCAGAGCCTGAAACTGAATCTGACAAATCAATGTTTAACAATTCTTTTGACAGACCGCCATCACCTGCAGATTTCACTAGGCATCTTTCAGCAACTACGGATTTGGATCTCAGAGACGAGCTCGACTCAGAAGATAATTTGACGCTTCCTTACATCGTGCAAGCTTTCGGCCTGGACGACAAAATCCTCGAGCAGGGCTCAAATGTGAGCAGCTTTAGTGGTGGCAAAGAAACCCTCTCTGATGATCCACCTGATGTAGATCCACCGTTGCATGCTATGAACAGCGTACGTGACACGAGGTATGGTGCTATTTCTTCTGCTGATAATGCCGAGACGAGGGCTCTCGGAAAGGACGTGAATAAGTGGGAGGCGCCCAAACACATTGAAACTGGAGCCAGGAAGCGCAAAAGTAAGGCTCGAAAGAAGCCTAGCGTCATTCGAATGCGTGATGATGCGGACAAAGAAGCGTCATTTTTTACTTCTGAAGCAAGTTCATCAAATAATGAACTTGGTCGCATCCGAGCCGAAGATCCCAATAAATCGCTGAGAAAAATTTCACTCTTGAAATCGAATACAGGACAAACAGCTGAATCGACGTGCACAGACTCTACTCTGGTTCAGCAGTCCCAAAAATTGTTAGACGCTAATTTCAAATTGGTTAAGAGAATCATTGCTAAAACTGAAAATGTAACCTGTAAAGTGTGCAAAGCTCGTTTTGGTCGCAATCTTTCTGGGTACAAACAACACATGATAAATGAACATTCATGCCCAGTTAATTCTTTATATGAATGCCCAGTGTGCCTTAAGAAATTTTCTATGCATAAGTATTTAGTTGAACATGTGAAAATCCATCTAGGCGTTAAACCTTTCAAGTGCGACAGATGTGGTACAACTTACGGCCGCGAAGAGACTCTAAAGAGGCACATTCTAGCACACGAACAGAAAAAGCCGCACATGTGCAGCATTTGTCCTAAAGCTTTCTCACGCGCCGAGTATCTTAAAGCTCACATCCAGGCGCATAACAGAGTAAGGTTTTCATGCAACAAGTGCAACACAGCGTGCTCGTCCAAGTTCAACTTAGAAATGCACATGAGGAAACATTGGGATGAGAAGCCTTTCGTTTGCGAGCTATGCAGTAAATCTTTTCTGAGGAGTGACAAACTCGACACCCACATGGAGGTTGTTCATAAGACAAATAAACCCAAATGCAATGTATGTGGAAAAACATTCGCGAGGAAAGATATTTTGAAACGCCACATGAGCAGTCATCAAGAAGCATCATTTGATTGCAGTTATTGTGCGAAGAGTTTCACTCGTCGTGACCGCTTATTGTCTCACAAGCGAACACATGAAATCAGCCGGGCGCTGAAGTGCTCCAAGTGTCCCGCGTCGTTTAATCGTCGCGAGTTGTTAATGAAGCACCAGCAGCTGCACGAAGCCCGAGAACAATGCCACGTGTGCCATAAATTCTTCAAGACAATGGAAAAGCTGTCATTACACCTCAAGTGCCACCGGGATAGAACCAAGGATCGCCATTCGTGCGAAATGTGTGGGAAAACCTTTGTTGGTGCAGACTTACTTCAGAAGCACTTAAGACGGGTACACGGCTGGGTAGCCATGACCGAAGAAAAGCACAAGGTTTCTTCTGTGCCCGATCGTATCAAGTCGTTCGTGTGTGACATTTGTTCGAAAGCTTTTACGAGAAGCTGTAACCTTCGCGCGCACGTGTTGAAAGTGCACAGCAAGAAGAGTATCCAGGACGAGCAAGACGACGAAGACGATCCAGTAGAATTAGACGGCCTCAACTCAGCGTTAAGCAAGTCTCGCTGCAACCAACGCACGCTGGTTGATCTCAGTTGCCGGACGAGCAAACACCGGACGATTGCAGACTCGTATGTCATGAGTCAAGGCAGTCCGCTCGGCGTGTCCGCGGCGCACTCGCTCCTCGCTGCGTCCAGCTCTGCCATCGACACGTCCATGGAGGGAAGCTCGTGGTATCCGCGGCCCGACTCGGCCAGCCCTGCACCTCATCTGCCTAGCAGCTTATCCCTACCACAGCTCTCATCACAACATTCCCCTATCAACCTCTCCGCTGAGGCCATCACTGCTGCAGCTTACCTCCTCGCTTATCCCTCATACCTCGGGCCTTATCAGTGAAGAACATTCCAGAGCACAGCTGGCTGTAAAAAATCTTATAAGCTATCTTGCAAAAAATTTTTTTCATCTTTTCTCCTATTTTTGTTGAACGTTCATTTTTACAGGACTTTAGAGTAAAAGACATTTCCGTATCAGCAGCATTTTTACTTCATACTCGTTTGTTTTTTGCATTTTAGATTATTCAGTTATATGAAAGAAGGTATGTAGTATTAATATTTGCTTTGTATAAAGCAAGTTATGAATGTGCAAGGATTTCTTCATGAATTAATTTAGAAATACCGTTTGAAATCGTTTCATATTTGTAGGATAGGCTGTAGCAAATACCGATTTCCATGAAGATAAATTCATAGAACCGAGACGGTTAAATGTTGTCAAATTGAGAAGCTTATTAAAGACAAACGACGATGACTCCGACATCGTACCAGTGTCATGATACGATGAAAGAAATTAAATAATCACGTTTGTCGTTTAGAGACGTAAAGTGAAGTTTTCACAAGAAATCCGAGCCCTTTCATCTGAGTTACTAAAATTAATATAGACAACGCTATACGGAATTAAGCGCGAAGAATAACTTACTTTTAACTAAAAAACAGCATTTCTACTTGGTGCTCCAGGATCGTGGAAACTCAAGCGATACAAAATCAAGCACGATTATTCATGCTGCCGCAAATCCTTACATTTTAGTACGAACTATAAGGAGTGATTAAATAAGAGTACACTGCGTAGGAAATATGAATACAATTAAAGACAAGGGTAAAAAGAAATGCATTACGGGTTTTAAAATACGGAACAATCGAACTAAATGGATACATATCAATAACGAGGATTTTATATCTCAAATACGACGCCTAGTAACTAGAGGAAATATAGGAAAATCTGAATAATAAACTTTAATGAGAGGAGTAATTAATAAAAGAATCTATTCAGAATAAACGATTACGTAGGGAATGAAACTACCAATGAAAAACTGCACCCGCTGCGCCAACGATTGGACTCGACAGCGTCAATCGTGTAAAGCTCGAAAATTTGTCAGGTATATTTCATAGTTGAAGCTTTAGAGCCAAGTTATGAAGCATGAAACTAGTAAAGAAAGAGTCTTTTAACGCAGCAATATCGAAATAATGCTTTGTTCGATCGCACCCATCGATCATTAGTTCACAAACATCTGGCGCTAATACAACACTAAACATTGGCACGCCGAAACGACTTAATCTCATGAAATTACAGCCTTCATCTCCAGAAATACAGGATCCATTTCAAGAGAACGGTGAATAGTCAAGTAAAACATATAAAATAGATGAGGATCAAAGGAATTTTATAACAATGTTTCTACTAACCGAGCTCGATGGCGGGGATCATGCTCGGTTGCACTTGAAATAAGAAATTGAACATGCTAACTTACGTAGTAAAAGGAATGATTCATATTGACCTGCCAAATAATTTCTTCACACACCTCACTAGTAAATTTAGTCTAAGAAATCGTTAAATTCTACACGGACTCGTTACCATCTAGAACAAACAAGGCCACTTGTCGACAAAGCTACAACCTCAGGATCGATACTCAACACTAGAATTCGCAGCCCAGGCACGTAACTTCAGTATTAAAACCATAGCCTGCTGAGCTTCGGTCCAGTGCACCTGGCAAACTAACCATAGCGATGCTAACCACTGCATTGCCGAAGCACCGAAATCCACTAATACATATCGCATCCACAAACTTTCAAGTTTTTAAAAGAAATTACCACAAGTTGTTAGAATACCAGACCTGGTACGCTTGACACAATATACCAATTAGGAATAACGGTCGAAGTTGATGCCTAATTTGATGCGCGGTCTGTATACTCTGTAGTTAACAGCAGAAAAAAAACACACACACCAATTCAATCACTGAAAATTATAGTGAAAGGAATATATTTTTTCCTATGAGCATTTTTATCCTAACTTTATACCAAGCAAAATAAGTCGCTTCATGGCAAAAAAATAAGTATAGAATCATTTATTTTCGCTTATTTTCTTATGCAATTGTTCTTTGAAACGAAATCAAAATCACGACGAGGGTCGATCACAATTGCGTGGCTTTTGCAGCTTTGCTATCAATTGACGCAATTGATCATGAAGTCGCAGCACATTCTACATATATTGAACCACGCGACTGCAAGAAATATAGTTAGCACGCAGAAATAACACTTCTACAGCATATGTGACACGAACATGTTTCCCTAAATAAGTCTCATATATTTTAAATTAAAGCGCATTTCCGAAAACTGTATTGCAATCACTTTTAGTTCTCTGTCTGGCATGACAACCAATCAACTTCATCTTCAAACGGGGATTGATAACTAAAATTCAGGCTGCAGCCTTGATTCGTTCGTGACCCACACCGTCACACGTCAAGAATGGAGGAGCCTCGGTCGCAACACAATTCATTAACTGGACAAGAAGTTAATAATTATGAAGCTGTATTCATGTTCACTCAGACTTTTTGAGAGTCCAGAGCGGGTCGAGTGAGCTGAGAGGATCGTCAGGATCCTGCGCGCGTCCGGCAAGACCAGCCTGTGGCGGCCGCTCGAAACTTTCCTTGGTGATCTTAGCGCCTTTGCCGGGAGCGACAGGTTCTATTTTAAGCTGCTGAGGATCCAAACTCGCAGCCAAGTTCGGAGGCAGCGAGACTCCCACCATAGAAGGAATAGATAAAGCGGGCGAGGCTGACTTAGGACGGCTTGTTTCATTTTTCTCGGTGGTAGCGCCGTTTCCATTGCTGGCAGCATCATTTTCTTGGTCGGTTGTGGGATTTCCAACCTTATCCTCTGCACATTTGTATTCTTCAATCACAATAATGAAGTAAACGATTATAAAACAGTGTCAAGTACTGTTCATTGTAATCTTAAATAATTGAAACAATTAGAGAAGAATAAATTAACATACCTGTCTCGCCGAGACCAAGTTTCGATTTAAGGCGGTTAAAGTCGCAGTTCGCAGCAAGCAGATCGGCGGACGGATGGCGTACGTGCTGACGATGTCCTTTTTCGATGGGTCCTTCATCAAACGTAGCTTTATTTGTTAAAATTCCTCCTGATCAAGAAAGTTAAAAAGAAGTAAATTATCTCTTACGCTACATCTAGATGCGACTGAGGAAAAAGATACCAAGTAAATTTTTGGGTGATTTGATTCTGCGAGCCTTGTAATATGTTTCTGATATATAATGTTTATCATGAGTGCGATTAAAGTTCTGAGTTTGAGTCGAGGAGAATTCTAAAAAATATAACTCAGTACTCACTGCAGTGAGTGACAGAGAGCGCATTTTCTCGTCGACGAAAACGTGAAGTCACGGACGGACAGACAGACGGACAGGCGGGTATGGCGAGCACAATAGTGCATTTTTTTTCATAAATGAGAAAATGCGCTAAAAACGTACGTAAATTTTCAGCATCCCTTGTAAGATTGAGTTCAGTGTTAATGGTAAGAGTAATTTTCTTCGTGAGTTGTTAGTACTGACGTTTCATAAGCAGTTCCTGGGCGGCGTAGAGTGCAGCAGAGTACAGGAAGGCGAGGTAGTCTTTGTCTTGCAGGCCACCACGACGAGCCACGCACGCGTCCTCACACAAACTCTGCAGGTCACACACGCTCCCGGCTGAAACACAAGCACTTTTTTATAGCTAAGTCTGACCTGAAATTGTCAACTTTTTCTCTGTTTAAGACACATTCATGTCAGCAATATAGTTAGTAATTTTGTTACTAATTACGAGCAACACACGATATCTCTTGGTACCAATTTCGACCATCCAATCAAGATTACAATTTTTCCATCAGGCAATATCATTGTGCATACTTCATCTTGATAGATAAATAATTTCATGCACAGCTACAGTTCAAAAGTTGAATGTGAGAACAAATTATTTTCATTAGTCTTGAGACACCATTTATCAATCACAAATAATCTCACCAATTACGCGATATTTGTCTAAATGTATAACCAATGGGAGGCTGGAAAAAATGTAGTTAGTCCAACTAATTGTAGTCAAAATCGGATGAAATAAACAGAGCTAAAATTAACGTTTTATTAATGCTCGAATTGGCCAGAGTAAGCGAAACGTATAGACGACTCTGTACGCAAGAACATATCAGTCAAGAAAATATTATGACTAGTATCATTCACCAGAACATTATACCTCATATTATTCAAAATGAGTAATATGATAGCGCGGTTAAAATACCAGCAAGTAGACGGCAGAAATACCAGAATGTAGACAGCTGAAATACCAGAATGTATATGGTTAAAATACCAGAATGTTATGGGCCCTTAGGAAAGGCCCTTACATTTATTATGGGCCCTTAGCATAGGAAATACCAGAATGTATATGGTTAAAATAACAGAATGTAGACGCCTGAAATACCAGAAGGTATATGGCTGAAATACCAGTATGTAGACGGTAGAAATACCAGAATGTAGATGGTTGAGGAAGACCGTAAGAAGAGCGGCGACACAGGAGCGGCCGACGCCTGGCACGCAGGTGTAGAGCACAGGGCGCTGCCGTACGCGCTGCTGCCTGTGCAGCGAGAGCGCCTCACTGCACAGCTGCAGTACAGGACTTGGGTGGCTCGGCATGCCGCTGTGTCGGATGAAATGCTTTGGAATCACTTGATCTTCATTGGGAAATTAATTACATTTTGCCGTTACGATGCTAACATTTTTATAAAATACGTACTAACGTTCACATAAAATAAATAGTTCAGTCAATTACATAATTTCACAACATTGAAAGCGAGATCAAAATTCACGAAAGACGTATCAGTCAGCATGTTTCATAAATCGCAAGTTTTATTTAAACAATGAAGACACATTATGATATTTACCCAGGTGGCCACCGTAAGAACTGGAGATGAATAACAGCGCGAGTAGAGGAGGATGATCCAGAGTTGGAAGTACGGGTGAGGTGGAAGAGTCGTTGCACCCAAGCCCCTCCACCACCTTCACCGCTGTTGTGCTCTCGTACCGACATGTCGCCGTACTGTTGCGTGCCGCGACTCTCAGGCCAGTAGGACGCGTTTTTGATCTAGACACGTAACAAAAATGTTAACAGTAGTCAGATAATCTGAGCATTCACATACACTCGCAAGATCTTATGACTTGACTTTTTCATTATTAAATTGATAATTCATCTGAAACTTTTATCATTTTTTACAACATTACTATTACGCGACTCGTGCTGAGGAAAAAAAAACAGAATAAAAACGGCTATGTACATTAGTCGAATTCTCTACGAAATAAGTTAGGCCTTTAGGCGAAGACACAACACCGGCACCGAAGGAGCCGATGTTACAGACGCTAACAGCTGTGCCTGGCAATGGCCGCGGCGAGCAGGAATGCTCTGTCGACCGACGGTGGTATCCACAATACAAAAGTATTGTGGATACTTTTGCCAAACTTCAGTAGAATTGAGAAACAAGAAGATAACTTGAGTGAAACTTGTCATGGCGGTGAAGGTTAGGACAACCTGGATGTAGCTCCAAATGTTGCCGGCCTGCGTGCGGTTGGAGTGCGTCCCATCATGGGACCAAATCGGCAATCACCAAATCCCCGCCTCCCGAAAGGGAGGCCCAAAGCCTGTTTTTTGGCCGGGCCGGCGCACGGACCCCCGTGTGTTGCTGGCAGTGTTGCTGCTGAGATCGGGGGATGTTGAAGCTAACCCGGGACCGGTGTGGGTGTGTCAGATCTGTGGCCGCCGAATCACTAAGACACAGACGTCCTTCCGATGTAATTCACAATCACTACACTGGGTTCATGAAAAATGCACCACAATCAACCCTGGTTTTGTGGGACTCTCCCATCGAGGCGGCGGGGCTGTTGGCGCGCTGGGGAGAGAGGTTGGGCTGGCCACAGGAATGGGTGTAGGCCCCGTCCCGCACTTGTCGCGGGACGGGGAGGGCGAACAACAACAACAACAACCTGGATGTCTTGTAGGTACGATACATATGGGGATAGGTTTCAATAACTAGGACGGTGCCATCAAGAATAAGTACATATATAAGTCTTATGATTATCTTTTCTTTTAACGTCCCTTACTCATAACTCTTTGGGCCAGCAGGTCGAGTACTACCGTGAGCACTACCTTTTCTGCTGCTGCAGTCTGGTTTACCTTGCATTAAAGTATGAAGCCCTTTCATTAACATGGTGCTTCCACCCCATTAAGCAGCCTCTTTTCTATTTAAACAGTCAACTTGGCGTCTAGGACGTGGGGATGAAAACTCCGGAAAGGAAAACTTAGCGTCTCGAGTCTATAATGTACGATAGATTCAACCTCAGTGGTCGCATGAAAAAACTGACCAAATTGGTCACCTTTTCGTTCGGTTTTGTTACAGTCGACATTCGTGGGCGTGGATTTCATATGTAATCCATCCACACGACAAATGTACTGTTAACTAATCCTTCAGTGACAGACTCACCTCAGGTAAAGTATGAAGACACACGATGAGTTCGGTCTGCAGCTGCCACACCATCAGCCAGTAGTCTGCTGCGGTGGCGGGCGTGGGTGCTTGGCTGACCACCACAGGGAAGCTATGGCTTCCACGCAGCTGAAAAATAAAGTATTACAAATTCATAGCGTAATTATTTTGTAATGGATGAAGTTTTTAAGGACCTTCTGCCACTATCAATCTCACCCCGAGAGAGTGAGATTTATAGTATAAGTTTGCCTCTTCACTCAGTACGATCTAGACGAGACTGGCTAGATTCGGCCACAATGTGGCGTTCATTGAGAAACAGTCTCAGTTAAAACCACCGCAGCGTTGGGGTTATCTACTCGTTTTTCTTTAAGAGAGGGAACTATGGTTTGCGTTAGTCGGCATGTGCGTCAGGATGCGGCTACCGCGATGTAATCAGCTATTCAGCCTCTAAATATTCATATCTAGCGCTGCTCCTCATCATGAAAATTTTCACTGCTCCATCTTTGCCGGAGAGTTCCATTACCTCGAACAAATTCCAGCGAGCGAATGCTGTAGCAAGACCAGGAAACGTTATTTTGATTTCTATTGCGATTGCTACGCCATCAGTTTACATCTGGCGGATTATTCATCATATGTAGTTTACAGTACTTCTAACGAATTATTTATAATATGTACAGTACGTACGTAGTGAATGCCACGTATGAGTTGCACAAGCGCCTATTAATTGTATTCAGCGCTAAAAAACACGATATAGTAACTGTTGAATTAGATTCGGAGTAATTGAAGAATTTATACTGAGTAAACAAGGAAATTAATTTTATCCAGATATTCAACATCAAAACCTGGCAAACTGGCACTTTGCCATGGCAAACGCTTTAATGTCAGCCAAATTTGCAAGGTTACACTAATTATTAATAACTACATTCGACAATTTCAAGCCCATAAAAAACAACTAACTCGAAGCACATATGATACGGGATACAATACGTTCATAAGCATACAAACTAAGCACTTCTCTACAATAATAGGCTCGGATAAATGAGTTAATGAGAAGCGTGACTGACCTGCACATGCGAGGCATTGATGTAGTCATCATAAGCATCGGTGAGTACAACGCGGCTGTGGTCGTAAGGCAGAATGTCCGGGAATCTATTCTTGAGAGGATAACATCGACTAACAGAGACGGTAGATTTCTTGCAACGTGCCTCGACGGCTTCTTGGATCTCACGCCACTTCACCTCCAGGTTGGTGGGGCCGTTCAGACTGCGTCGCTCGAGCGTCTCTACAGTTTTGTGGAGGCGCTCTGTGTCTGACGTAAGAGCCGCCAGCGTGCCAGCGTCGTCCAAGGGGTCTTGTGGTGGCGCTGCTTTCTTGCTCTATATAATAAACATAAAATCCTGTACTTACTTGAATTTATTATCATTAAATCAAGTAATATCCACAAAGATGACGTCTTCATGCTCCTTATGTGCCTTACGCAGGAAATTGGTAAAAATCAGTATTAAATTTCTGATGGAGCAATGTTAGGCTAATAGGTATTACAAGTAAGAAGGAAATAATTAAAATAATGTAAAATTCATGATGGTTTTAAACATAGAAAAACACCCCAAACATGCATGCAACCATTATTCACACAACACATGTACATTTCTCTTGCAATTTTGAAAAAGTTAATTTAGCGTTGAAAGGATCCAAACTCCCGAACGTGCAAAGCGCCTGCCTCACCTGCGCGAGAGCTGCCATGTTTAAGGCGGCGGTGGAGATGGAAATTGTTTCTTTACTGGTAGAAATTGCGTCCGTGCAGCCCTTATCCGGCACCTAACCACCCACACCGAGGACAAGTTTATTAATTATTATTTAGAAATCCAGATTAAATAAAGGGTTCACGATGCATGTTTGATTTAAGTGGCCGTATTATCATGTTAAACCGTTGTATTTTTAAGTACTATGCCAAAAACCAAAACAGAGATGTTATAATAAAAGATTATAATTCAGAAGTGTATGGATGCAAGTGCAAGGTAATAGCATAGATCTGAGAGAAGCTTGACTTTGTTTGTACCTCCTAAGCGAGTATAAAGCTTGTGAAATATGTATTTGGCTATAAATATTGGCATGGCCATATTATTTTGAAGCGCCGAAACTTTCATTGCGTTTCTCAAATTACCCCACGCAGGAAGGCGTTAGATAAGGAAATTAAATTAAATTTTAAAAGGCTCCCGAGAAGTATAAACCAGAAGACAAAAATTATCTAGTATGATTGTCGAGAACTTAATTGAAAAACAATCTATGCAGCAAGGCGGCAGAATTGTAAACATTAGGAAGTAAAGAGCTTATTTTATAAGATAGCATTGGAATTTCTACGAAAATAAAGTAAATCGAACACTTACCACTACCTTTTCAGCACTTCCATTAACAGACACTGATTCAGCATTCGAGATAGCGTCTGTTTTACTGACAGAAGACTCTGCGTCATCAGTGACGCTCGAGTGGCATCCTTCCTTAGCCGAGGACGAGACTTCACTCTCGACTGAAGTTATTGGCACAGTTGCGTCCGTCGTCACGACTGACGACGAAGTAGAATTCTCCGTTACAGTATCTTGAGACCTCTTAGGAGTGAGTGGTGTCCACATAGAGCTGGGGCCCGCCAATTCAATGCCTGAGAGTAAATCGAGATTCGAAATTCCTTTGCTTGCAGGAGCAGCATCTGATGGCTTCGTGACTGCAGGTAATGGAGCTTGCTGGCTTGTTTGTGATGGACCTGATGGCAGCTGCGACGTCTGTGAGTACAGTGTCTGGCCAGGATAATTCATTTGTTGTTGTTGGACAGGATAAACGCCAGCACTGTACTGATGACTTGCATACGCTGGGTACGCCGGGTATGGCTGGGTGGTAGAAGTACCAGCTACACCGTTCTCCTTGACTCCAAAACCAGCTGATGGTAGGGGTGACCCAGTTGATGAAGGAGTCATGCTGCTTGGAGCACCAGCTCCAGCGCAGGCGTAGAAATAAGACGGAACTGCTGGTGTTGCACTGGCATGGCGGTATGGTGAACGACCGTCTATTGCATCGCTGGAGTTCACAACAGTTGTGCCGGAAGAGGTAGCTGACGCAGTAGTTGAATAATACGTGTTACTTTGGACGTGGTAGGGCACAGACGATTTCAGGCTAGAAGCAATTGACATACTTGGAGTGTAAGTTCCTGAGCCAGATGGGTATTGATTTGGCGTGAAAGGAGAAATGAGATGTTGCGGCGTATGATACGCATGCTCGGCCTGATAAGAGCCACTCTGGTACTGAAGAGCAGAGGAGCCATACGGAGGTTGCAGCTGACTAGTACTTGAACCTGGAGCAAATCCTGGGTAGGAAGTTTGGCCAGCCGCAGCCAAGTTTTTGCCATCTGATCCGTAATTCATTGAAGGTATTGCTGAGGATGAACTAGCTACAGTTGAGACGTTTGGCTGAGGCGTAGCATATGACGCCATAGCAGCTGGGTACGCCAGATTTGTAGGTAATGATGATTGATTGCCTGTCACATTTATAGGGTTAGATTGAGCCAGAGTGGTTGTAGGTGCCGGATAAACTTGTGATGTAGTAAAAGGGACGCTCGCACGTGTCTCACTGGCATATGGTGTAGTCGCGTTCGCAGGGAACTGCTGTCCAGTCACTGAAGAGCTAGTGACGTGAGGCTGAGTAAATCCACTCGCATATGGCTGATTGTAATAATAACCTTGAGCAGGAATGTGAGAACCACTAGTGGCAATAGGAATAGTGCCACTCGCTGCTGCAACTTCATTCGTAATCGACGAAGGAATGCTGTTCGTCTGAGGATGTTGCCCGCTAGCAGTCACTGGAGTTACCTGTATAGAAGCAGCTGCTAAATTTGCGCCAACTTGCTGTCCATAAGCGCTTGCGGAATAATACGGTGAAGCAATACTGGACGCCAGATAACTAGAATTTGCTTGTGTGTGGTAAGTGTTTGGCCCAGAAGACGCCTGATATGTAGCTGCAGAAGGCACAGTAGCACAGGGATGCGTAGCAGTGGTCGGTTTTGAAGACAATGATGGATCGGTAGTGTAATTAGAGGCAAAATATTCCGTAGTGGCAGGAGAAGTATACGAAGGTGCACCAGCTGCTGCGGCGTGCTGAGCAGCAGCAGCAGCATACTGGGAAGATTGGTATGAAGTTAAAACAGGGGTGTTACCAGTAGTGCTTACTGCGGCTAAAAAATGAGAAGATGGCAGCTGTGGAGCTGGAGAGGGAGCTGATGGAGGATAACATGGATATCCGACAGAACTGCCATAACTAACCGCAGCTGAAGGCTGAGAATAGCCTCCAGGCACTTGAGAAGAATAGGCTGGAGTTTGGAAATGGGCACCAGGAACTTGAGAGGATGACTGCAAATAAGAAGACTGAGCAGCAACTTGATTCTCATTTGAATAACCCGAATCCCTAATATTACTCGGAGTAGCCCCCATGGAAGTGTGCCCAGTGTTACTAGAAGCAGCAGCAGTAGTTGCTGATGCCATTGCAGCAAGCGCTGCAGCACTAGAGACATCAACGCGGTATCCAGTGCTCGCGGGGGAGAAAGCTGAACCTCCGTGCTGTGGGGAAGGTTGCCCAGGCAGGACAGTGGACCCAAGTCCTTTGTATCCTCCACTCGCCATAAGGACGTCTTTCAACTTGGGACCGCTGCCAGCATAAGATGCAAGATCGTCACCTCCCTGGATAGGAGCATGGGGAGCGTGGGTGGGGAAGTTGATCGCATTCTTGGCAGAAGGCGCATGACTTATTGCTGCTGCTTGAGGTCGCGTGGAAGAGAACTTCTTTGCCTGGGCTTTAAGGCGGCTTGTTCTTTCCTCTTCTTGTACGCTCAAGAGACTTTCAGTTCGCTTGAGCAGCTTAGTAACCTGCACAGAATGCGAGATAAATAAAATCATTAGCATACAGTGATCATAATCATTGATTAAATTTAAGAAAAAAACACCTAACAAATATTTCAGCCAAAGAATTTTCAAAACGAAAAGTCTATCTTCATCCAATAATATATTTTCAAAGTTTATAGTTTTTCAGAAATAAAATTAATGGGATTTTGTAGTTCAGACCTTTTGTTTTGAAATAAAAATTCCTGAAAAATATCGAAGCTTTTATTTAGATATTTTAGTCTGTATATGTGACCTGAGTGTTGAGTTTCTCATAGAAGAGATTGGCATCCTTGGCTTTGTCGAGTATGGAGGTGAATGAAGCATGAGCCTGGACGAGAGCGGCCACGGCAGCCTGCCTCGCCGCCATCGTCTGCTTCATCGCGCGTCGTGTGCTCGCGTATGCTGCGTTCGCCTCCGACAGCGCCTTCAGGATATTGTTCTGCGCCAGCATGTTCTTCTCCAGGATCTCCAGCTGTTGTTTATTACAGGGACACTTAATTGCGGTATTAAAAAACACTAATTCAAATTACAAAATTGTAAGCGTAGATTCAAATCAATAAATTTTGACCTGAGATTATCTTTGGAATTACATGATGTGAAAAGATAAATCCAAACTTTTACAACGTATTGTTCTTTAGACTTAAAAAAAAGGCTTAGAATCTTCAACTGTAAGGTTACTATACATTACTTTACCATTTGCTTTACCTCTTTGTTGTGTTTTTGGAGATGCTCTTTAAAAATGTCAGCCATGTCGGCGTCAGCGGTGACAAGCGTTCCAGTGATGTCATCCTCCATGAGGTTCTGGCGTAGTTGCTTCTCGACGCTCCAGCGCTGCTGCTGCATCTCCTCAACTTTCTTCATCAAACGCTCTATCTGCAGCTTAGCCTCCTTCCCACTCTCACCTGCAATATTTTACATCATAAAAACATTGACCTTGATTCCGGTCATGTTTACAGCAAGGAAAAATTGTTCTAAAACAGCGGTATTCATCTTCACTGTATTTTGATTGAATATAAGTATTAAAATCACTTGTTTGTATGAATCGCAAGTTAACCAGGAATTTAAAATCAAAGAAAATACCACAACAATTCACCATATCTTTTTAAGAGAAAACGTTTCGGAGTCCAGCTCCATCGTCAGTTCATAACACAAAATTCTGTTCAGAAAAAGTTCAGTCCTAGAAACACAAATGAATCAATTAGTAAAGTAAAATGCACTGTCAGGTTTCAAAACGGAAAATAAATAAATAAGGCATGAAATTAACCCTAGTGAACGGCCTATCTATTTTCTATTTCAAGAGGAAAGGAGCTAAAAGCGGCATTCAGGTTAGGCTTTTGTTTGAATATATACTGTACAGGGATTCTAAAATTCGTAGATCACTAACACCGGATGCGGGAGCTAGAATTTTGAAATCACTATCAGATACAGAGGTGTTGCACTGCTCGAAATGTCGATTTTCTAAAAACAGAAGTTTGGAAACGGCCATTAGATTTGGTAACTTTGCAATCAAGGAAAGACAAGCTATTGTCTGATTCCAGCTTCATGGTGAATTTGATAGACTTATATTGGAGATTAAGATAGTCGAAGAAAAGACCCACATGAGAGGGATGCTTAAAAATCAAAAAGGTATCGTCAACATATCGGTTATAGAAAATTGGCTTAAAATCAAGAGGGCAATTGGCTAACCATGTAGCCTCGTGAAAACACATGAATATATTGGCAAAGGTAGGGCCGAGTGGAAGTCCTATGCCCAAACCGTCAATTTGTCTGTAAAACTTGCCAGCAAATACGAAAATTGAGTTTAGCACAGATAATTCAAGCCACAGATAATTCAAGCTCATGCCGAGCAGTGCAACACCTCTGAATCTGATAGTGATTTCAAAATTCTAGCTTCCGCATCCGGTGTTAGTGATCTACGAATTTTAGAATCCCTGTACAATATATATTCAAACAGAAGCCTAGCCTGAATGCCGCTTTTAGCTCCTTTCCTCTTGAAATAGAAAATAGATAGGCCGTTCACTAGGGTTAATTTCATGCCTTATTTATTTATTTTCCGTTTTGAAACCTGACAGTGCATTTTACTTTACTAATTGATTCATTTGTGTTTCTAGGACTGAACTTTTTCTGAACAGAATTTTGTGTTATGAACTGACGATGGAGCTGGACTCCGAAACGTTTTCTCTTAAAAATATATGGTGAATTTTTGCGGTATTTTCTTTGTTTTTAAATTCCTGGAAAGAAACTTTACAGATCAAATATTTGCAATCAGATTCCTCACCAAACATTCAGAAATAAACAGAAGCAACATTTGGAAATAATCTCTCAAACTTCGGTAACAAAACCAACAAAAGAAAAAAGAACGCTAAAAAATATAAACCTGGATATAAGTAGAGAATCAGAATGAATCCTGTAGAAATAAATCTCAGCAGAACGCATCAAACTCGAGTGCTCTTTTGATAAACTGGCCTACTAAAACAATTGGTACCTTCAAATAAGAACCAATAAGCAACGTTAAGAACTACGCACCGGACTGTTGAGTAATGGCAGCAGCGACTGAAGGCAAGGAGCTAGCGACGCGCTGCAGAGGTTGAGACAGGGTCGTGAGTGTAGGTCGGTGTTGCACCACAGCGGCGTGCAGCGCCACGTTGCTGTCGTTGGCGGCCATGAGGGCACTGCGACACTTGTCTCCCTCACGACGCAGCTCCGACAACACGTTCGTGGGGGCCTTCTTGTCACCTACGATGGTCCTGAACTCTGCAGCGCGGTTATCTTCTTCCTGTAATAATAAGATATTTATTCAGAGGTACATCAATCTTCAATCCTTTGACATACTTCAGAGTACGTTCTTCATTTCAGCAATGAATAGCGATCTTAAAGTAACCGAAAAAATTACATTGGATGCGTAGAAAAATGCTTTGATTTAGCCAGGGAAATGCTTATTAACTCAAAAAACTTAATCTCATGGTCACAAAGAATGAACACGGTCCCACACAATCCATCTGAATCTAACATGTAATTTATTAGTTACCATCTACATTTGGAAACAATAAGCCAATCATATTTATGTAGATGGAAAGGTTGTCAATGGAAACTTCTAATAATTGTATCCTTGTTCCACATTAGTAGAAGATAAAATAAAAGGTTGACAAGAGTGAAGCACAAATACAAAATAAATGTCGTTACTAGCAAAGTGATAGTAAGGAACCTCGAGCAAAGCTTCCTGCCGGTCAAGCATGTCTGCGATGGTGAGATGAGCCGAGGAAACTTTTTGCATGACCTCCGTGAGCTCCCGGAGCGCATCGCGAGCGTTCATGTCCGCGCACGCGGAAACAAGTTCCTAGAAATACCAAAAAAAAATATAACTCAGTACTCACTGCAGTGAGTGACACAGCGCGCATTTTCTCATCGACGAAAACGTGAAGTTACGGACGGACAGACAGATTGACGGACATGACGAGCACAATAGTGCATGCTTTCCGTAAATGAGCAAATGCTCTAAAAACGGAGGAAAATAATTTACAACGACTGATACTTGTAACCCATAACAGTTTCATTTAAACCAGCAAAAACTTTATGCTTACCATGACAAATTCCTAATATATTAGTGAGAAGGCACTATAAACAATTAATACATATAAAATGACATGATTAGCCGAAAAAATTTTCTGTAGTGGGCTAATGAAGATATGAATTGAATTAATAAAACTAATGGGTGCAAAACGGGTCTGAAATTATATGATGAACACAGAGTTTAAACTGGAATCATTAAGAGTGCCGGGGAGCTAATTTACTGAGCCCATTGAAACTATCTTCATAAACACAGCGAAACTATCATCAAAGCCACAGAGAAATTATCATCAAGGGCCCAGAGAAATTATTATCAAGAGCCCACCCAGTAGAGCTATCATCAAGAGTACAGCGAGACCAACATCAAGAGCCTAGTGATGCCATCATCAAGAGTACAGTGAGACCAACATCAAGAGCCTAGTGATGCAATCATCAAGAGACCTGAGGAAGAGCGTCAGGATCTTCATCAAGAAGGAGGTCCTCGAGCTGCAGGCTGGCAAGGAATGCCTCCAGTTCATCGTTCTTCTCCTGCAGCCGAGCACCGAGACTTCGCAGCAAAGACGCTTTTTCTTCACTGCAGTGAAGCAGTATTATGATCAATGGTATAATGATCAATAGTATTATGATCCAAGATATTCTGATCAATAGCAGTGTTAGGATCAATACTGAATAAACCGACATTTTGTTAGCACCTATTATTTGATCGTGATGAAAAGAATTCCCATTACAAGCGAGATATTTTTTTACTAGTCAGGAATGAATTTTTTTCTCAAACATCATCATCAAAGATGAAAAGCTTCCCAAAACATAGGAAGCATCATAGCAACTCAAAGGCTACTAAACAAAAATTAGGAACTAGTTACAAAAAAACTAGAATACTCAAACTTTATTAGGAAAGGAAGAACAAAATTACTTAGTTGTTATTGCATACAATCACTCACGGACCAATATTATCAAACAACTTCAACACTTGACTATCACTAAAATTAAAGAAAATCAGATAAAAGCTTTTTAGTGACACGGACCTGTAGAGAGATGATGCTTGGTGAGCTTCAATGGGGATAAGGTTCCTGAATATGTCAGGTCCGCTGATGTCAGGATCAGTCATTGAGAATGGGATTTCTTTCACTAAAGAGGCACCCTTCACCTCAGGTAGGCTCGATATATCAGGCACCTGTTGGACGCATTCATACGTAGTTACAATGAGTCTAAAAATATAGATGATTTTTTGAATTAAAAAATACTTCATATAATTTGCAGAATAGTTAGCAACAACCTATTAATACTGGTGCCGTGCCGTGGAGTCAAAATTAGTTAAATATGGATAGATGAATAAATTAATTTAGCTTTAATCTTGGGGAGAAAGATTCTAGATTTAGTATTATGTGGAGGAAACTATAGCCATGCGAAAATTCCATGCTCAAAAAATGTACAAAAATCACAAAAAAAGCATCAGAAGCTAGCATCAATGAATGTTTTCTCTATGGAAACAATTTTATCTAAGGAGACCCACATCGGCTGCTCACATTACCTTCTCGTGGAAGACAAACTCGTTTTCTTTCTGAGCAGCGCTGAGCTTGCCCCCCATGACATCATGGCTAAAGTTCAGGCATTCACGAATTGCCTGCATAGAAATAGGACAATAAACATTGTGTGCACACAAACAGGCAAAATTATTAAGCCATCTGAAGATGGATATTCACTCGACATGTAAGCTGATCTTGTAACGCTGTACCATTCAATTGATTGAATTCGAGACTATTGCTACGGCAAGTAGATCATTACAGAGTGATATTCCAGTTTAGTTTGTTGGAGGTTTGGGATAACCTATCAACTTACTGACAAAAATCATAGTATAAAGCAGGTAAGGCAGATAGTAAACTTCTCATGTTAAGAAAAAAACAGGCCCCTGGTTTGCAATTGCAAAACTTTCCAACCTCAAATTGAAGCTGGAACTAGTGAATAATAAGATATTTTTCTGATTAAATGTAACATAATATTTTCTTCCTTATAATGAATTTCCAAGCATATGTTAAATTATGATTAAAGTGCGAATAGATACAAATATTCAAGCAGAAATATTACACAAATGTAGCTCAGCTCACAGAGCAAATAATGGCATCAAATTTAATCTAATCATAGGTAAGTTTCAGAATTACTGTCATTACTTTAACATGATCAGATAGTCTCTTCACTTCCAGCTACACACACTCTAAGCAACATAAGTACAAGCTACATGGTCACAATACGAGCCCCAACCTCATCTGCATCTTCACAGTTCCAAGCCTTTAGCAGCTCAGCATCCTCGACAGAGCAAATTAGGCAAAACATTATGTAGAAACTGCTGGTAACAAAGCAACACCAACAAAGTGGCTTTTATCAATTTATATCTAGTCATTTTTTGTGTCTATCAAGTTATCAGATTTCTTTCCATGTGACTTTTCAAAATTGGATGAATTGTACGGCAAATTTAGTGCAGGATTAATTTTCATCATAGTAGTACGAAACCACTAATTAATACTAGGGGTACAGTTTTAGAATAAATGAAACTTTTATATTTATAACAACTTCCTCACATCCTTGTAAACACAATCTATTGACAAGTTTCAATTCTGTACATAAAAAAGCAAATTGGTGGAATCTATAGATGAGAATTGCAAATACATTTCCAAGATGAAGTCGCAGCATTAAAACCATTCCTACCTCTTCATCGTCCATGTTTTTGGCAAGTTTGGCTGCTGCAGCAAGTCTACTGTTGGCATCTTTAAAAAACGCCAGACGCTCGCCCATCTTCTGCAATTCTTCGGCTTGCAGTCCAAGATAAAGTTGAGTAACACTGTGGTAGTACACTTGCTTCAGCTGACAGTACCGCAGCCAAGTCTTAAAAAGAACTCAATGTTATATTGGCAAGGTGATTATATAATTTTTCAATTCCGAATATCATAGGAGGAGAAAAGAAATATTTCAAGTACATAAAATTAGAGAATATCTACTTGAGCAAATAGTAAATTGAAACCCAGAATTATTGACAGTTTTACACTGCTTTCAACAGCTTGCAGATATAAAAACTGCTCAAACCTAGAGAATTACTAATAAGTAATCATAAACTTCAATAGTAAGTATAGATTTAATATTTCAACCTATACTTGATATTTGTAGAAGTAAAATAGTAATCCCAGACAAATGTTGGCCATTTTTTCTCCCTATAATTCTCACTTTGACTCTCCTGCTACCAATGATGTCATGGACTGGGCTGCTCTTGCTCTCCAGGACACGCACAACTCCACTCAGGTATTCCACCACTTGCATGGCTACCCTGGCTACACAAACAATCTTCAGGATTTGCTCAATATTTTATCTTATAAACAGTTAAAAATATAAAAATAACTGAAAAATGAACACCTATGTATATTTAACAAGTTCCAAAATACTTCATAACAAATGCCTGCATTTTGACTACCGGTACCATTCTCTTTAGCAAGAAAGATTTACTGTACACAAAATTGCACACTATTTTACTGCAAGAGATTAAACCTCAAATGCCTGCCAATATTGGAATATTAGTTTTTGAAATCAAAATTCCCGATCTTATACTCACCAATAATATTAGGTTTTCTATTGTCAGAGATACTCTTCTCTAGAATGCATTCCTGAGCCTGGGCAAGAGCTATGGTGTGCAAGAGGGACATGAGCTGAGGACTGAGGTCACAGTCACTGCTTTGAAGAAAATTCTCACGTAGATGCTGCAAAAAAACATTATCTCTAGGCCCATAGCAACAATTAAAATTGCTATCAAGGTGTGTAATAATATGCATTTAAAAAGTTCTTTTTGAAGACCTTGCTTCTAGAGGGCCAGAGTTTCAGATGTTACACATGTTCAATGTGCACATGTTTGTGGGGTACAATGTTTATGTGTCATTTGGGCAAAACATCTATTTAAGCTACCTACTATCTGCTACAATTTTTCTACAACTGCTAGTGAAGTATAAGATTTCATACAAAATTCTTTCCTCATACAAAATGGAATTAATTTATTACCACTTATTTGGCAATTCTGTCAGTCAATTCATGCAATGTCTCCAACTTTCCGCCAGTGTGCAAAATTTCAGATCGCTTAAATTCAGAGCGCTTAAAAATTACTTTTTAAATACAACACTTCCAAAGAATCAAGTGTCTCTTATGTTTCACATGTACAATGAATTTCTAATTGTATTATTAAATATAAAAAAGTAATTTTTACATTTTAATTTTAATTTTGAAAAAAATTTAAATTTTACAAATTATTTATTCTGTCAATTGAATCATGCATTGTCTCCAACTTTACGCAAGTGTGCACAATTTCAGATCGATTGGAAAGGTAGAAGTGTGTTAAATATTGATTATAAGATTTGTAGCAGACAACAAAAAGTGAAGTTAAAGAGAAGTGTTGTAAAATAGACTAGATTTTAATCTAAGCTGGACTATTTCAAAAACTTATATACAGTACCATAAAAATTTATTTAGCCTAAATGTAGTTCATAGAAACAAGACAAGTAAACTTTGAAAAAAGATTATCTAACCAACCTGAAAAGCCCAGGCAGCACACTGGAAATGTGTGCAAGATATCTTCATACCATCTGGAGTGCTTCTATTCTCAGCAGCACCTTCTGTCATGTGGTACACTGCAATGTTGTAAAGTATAGATGCTTGTTCATACCTAATGTCAGCCACCTCATGGACAGTGGCTGAATACAAATCCTTCCTGGTGGCAAAATGAAGAAAAAGTGATAACTTGTATAAATCTGATTTTTATCGAATTATAATAGGTATATATAGGTACTGTATATAACTGTAAAACAGTTGGAATTAAAGGTGAATAGAGATCAAGAAGCTCTTTACAGAAAGAAAATACACATAGAATTGATAGAAAATTTAAAATTTTAAGGTGCAAACTTGAAATTTGAGCTAAAAATGCATTAATGCAGAAAAAAATTGGTTCAAATAAAATTTAGCTTAAGAGATGGATCTCAGTGGAATATCTATTGGTGGTTTTGTCCTCACCAATAGAATGTGATATTGAGACTGTCAGTTTCAGGCTGGCTGATGGGAAAGCGTGAGAGTAGGAAGCGTAGTTGGCAAAAATATTTCCGCAGTGAATTGCAGTATTCAAAGTCACGTCGAGCAAAAGTGATGCTTGAACGGAGTTGCTCCAACTCCTGTATCTCGCTGGTGTATGAGCTGGGATCTTCATTGTAATGCTCCCGAATGTACTGTAAAAATAAATATAATAAAATACATGTGCATCTCTTAATACATTTAATGACCAGCACCTTGTCTCAAATATTAGGTTGATAAAATTTAGATTTTTATCCAATCTAAAGATCTAGTACTATTCAAATTTGACTCTTCATGGATACATATACCAAAGTTTCAGGATTTTTTGTTTAGATATATTAAGCACATGATATTGATGACAATATCATAAGCATTGTTTTTTTTCTTTTGTCCACTCAACTTTCTATCTTATTTTAATTAAGCAGAACTAATTCTACACATCTTGGTGAGGCAACATACCTATCAAAGATATGTGGGATTAGATTTAGAAATTATTAGAAGATACATGCATCCTGATCCATCTAATGTAACTGGAAACCTCACTGTGTGAGTTTGCAGTCTATCAGTTTTTCAACTACCATATTTCCTAAATAAAACTATTTCCTAAATAGTTGGCCAAAGACTGGCAAATGTCTAAAATGCAATAATTTCAATCCAAATGTGTCGGAAAAATTGCCTGAAGGCGTAAATTTTGCTGCTTATGCGTAGCCAAATATCTTGCGATATTCACCCACTTTCTGCACCCTGGTTCTGGAGTGCTTCTATTCTGTATTCTCAGCAGTCTGCAGCACCTTCTGTCATGTGATTTTATAATTTGGAAACACAGTTATAGTACCCTTTATATATAAATATATATATACCAGGCATAGTGGCAAACCAGTGATTTTTTTAAATCAGTTCATTTTAATTTTCCCATTTACTCAAGATTTAAACCAATATCTTATCATTCTTATGTATGACAATGCTGGTATCCATGATAGCCTACTTTTCTGGTCAAATTACCAGGACCTAGCCAATCATGGTTCATCACATGATCACTATTCACTAAGAAGTAAAAATCATAACTATAATCTTGGTTGGGCTTGGATTATATCTACTTTCTATGCTTTCAATTCATGACTCATGACTAGGGCTTTTCTGACATTTTTGGAACAATGAAATTTCCATCAAGAATATTATTATCGTATCTACGTTGAACGATTGGACTCGAGGTTCGCCTGCTCGACAAAAGGGAGCCAGTAGTCCGTGGTTGATTCAAGACAGATACCTAACTGACAGTCTGACACTGTCCTAACCTCCTATCTATTTGTTAACCAAGGTGCAGCATTAGACTAGGCAGCTAGGCCACAATTTAATGGTACCTACTACCTAGCCTATTTTAACCTGGAAGTTGTGGAAGTGCAAGTAGGTAAAGACAGTTTTGATTAGCCTATTATGCCTTGAACCCAAAAATATAAACCAAATAACAATTAAATGCAAAATAAAAAATAAATAAAATATATTTCATTCAAATTTATATTACGTGATACCTAAATTACCTTTTTTAATGCTATAGAGAAGACGGGCTGATCAATGCATGCCTTGTGCTCAAGCTTGAGCATAGGCAAGCGAGGAACTGCTTCCATTTTTCTGCATCAACTAAAAGAAAACAATTATTATTATACTATGATTAGCAATATAGTAAATTATAGCCTAGTTAGAAAACAGGTGACAACACACAGCAGTGCTTCAATCATTACCCAGTCACTAGTAGCTAGCCTAACTAGTCACTAGACTCACTACTACTAGCCTACTAGCTACTACTACTAGGTAGTTTTAGAACTTAACACACTTCAGCTTGCTTGAATACCTAGCTGTAACTGTAAGCCTGTATGAAAGAAGTAGTTATATTATTTATATACATTCATTTCAACAAATTGTCTCGCCGAACTAATTTCCATTTATATTAAAGAAAAGGTAAAATTTGACTGATGTTCATGATATATTTGCCTAGACTACAGCTCAACGCTGAAGCACTAGCCCTACGGGCTACGCCTACGACTACACTCACTACAGTTAGCACTAAACTTAACAACCATCAGCTGTTGCCTGTTAACGAGAAGTAAACTCCTTGTCTGCGACTCTGCGATAATACTACGTTTCATGTCACTCAGAAATATGAAGCAAGAGTAGAAACAAACATTTGGGGAATCCTGCGAGTGCGTCATAGTCATGAGACAGTTGCCGGAGTTGAGACTAGCTTGACTTTAGGTGGTCTGCAAGAAAATGACGGATGGTAAAGTTTTCCACTCTTCTTGAATTAACTAGGTACCTAGTTTTCTACTTGCGTGAGTCATGACTATTCTACGTAGACAGAATTTCTATTATTTTTTTTCTCATATCATGCATTCGAATATACCGCAATAGCGGCAGTACCCACATGACGCCGAATCTTGGCGAATGCGATCATGCGGCGGTCAGTTGTCAAATAGTCGTCTAGATAGGAGATGATAGGTGTATCCATGGTTGGGTGTATCTCTTACTAGTCTATATAATTAACCTATACCAAGCCGCCATTCAAGCGAACGTGAGTAAAAGACATCAACGTTTGTGCAAGTTTAACTGGTATTATTGCAGATTAACTACATCCAAAAAAAGGGTGTTTTTTTTTTAATTATATGTTTTTTGGGGTGTAGATTACGAATCTGAAATCCATTTTTGGCGGTCGGCATCGGAAAACCGATTTTTTACTCAGCAGGTATTGTCCAAGATGACGTATTACAGCAGTTCTTCGTCGTTGTGGGATATCTCCCCCACCAAGAGCCGAGATGAGTGTCCAAGGTAATGATAAAGCTTCCAAACTTGAGCGAAACTCCCTCCTCTGGTCAGTGTAAAGTGCACAGCTCAAGATGAAATGTCTGATTGTGTCTTCTGTGTTGCACTCGGGGCAGATGCTAGAATTAGCCATGTTGAAACGGGCCAGATGGGCCTTCACCCCAGCATGTCCCAGTCGCAGCCGAGCTACTGCACACTCAACTGAGCGAGGTAGCGATCCATAGTCCACGTAAGCTAGTTTACCACAGCTCCCAGATCGTGCCTAAAGAATGAAAAGAATGAACTTGAGATGAGGACCTTTGACAAATAGTGATAGTAATGTCACCTAAATTTGTCTGTTACTGTTGCGTCTGTAACTTCTTACCATGAAACATTACGTTAATAACTTCTTACCATGAAACATTTCATAAACGAGTTTAGGCTCATTTTAAAGCTTTTTGTGGAGGCATCTATTGTATGGCATCTTCCAAAAAATTTCATATGCTGTTTGTAAGGTGCCAGACGCAAAATAAAAGCGTCCCAAATTACCCCTGGAAACGGGGTAATCCAGGGCACTTCAAATAAAACCTTATTTAAAAATGTTTGAAGCATGCAGAGTGTACTTACTACTACTTAGCCTATCCATTACTAACACCTAGGCTATAAATAATGCTGTAATGGTATGTACGTACGGTACGTACCTAGCTAGTTAGTGACGGTATTGCGTAGTACATATTGACTGAAGTAGTACTGAAGTGTAGGCACATCAGGCCTACAGTTCAGTGCCGACATCACTATGTTATGTTATGTTATATTACATAGGCCTACCATCACACAACAGGTGAGTGGCGACAATACAAACTAGCTAGCTAATGGACTAGGCCAGGCCTCCCTAGACCTAGCTTAGTCTTAGTGTTACTAACACTTTAAGTTTAACGGTACGTTGAACTTTGAAGTCCTCCACCTCCTCTTCCTTCGTAGCCCTAGTCTTAGCCCCTAGATGATGTAATGTAGAATGAATGAAATTTTCTGTGATTTCCACTTTTTTCCTTTATTGATATGATACCATCCATATTCATACGGAGTACAGACTACAGTACTGTATTATTGATGTGATATTACCATATCTGTGAACATGCCAATGATGCCATTGAGCATTTAGATAGGTAGGGTAAACACAGTATATTCCAACATCGTGGGTAATTCCGTCACCTCTTTAGTTTTTCCTTTATATTAAGCTTTGTTTTAGTTCCATGCTTTCGTTGATGGTTGAAATGGTGACGTCATACATTTGCGTGTCAAACTACTGCCAAAATACTAGGTCTTGGCCATCTAGCGAGAAAATATTGAGATCCAAAGAGAGACGATGCACGCTACCCAGTGAGATCATCGAAAAATGTGTCAAATTTGACAGTTGACCTTGCTCTACCAAATAGTGAATAACTGTTTGTATAAAACACAAACAGTATTAACAACAAAGTTAATGAAAACCACTCCTTCCTATAAAAGAAAGCAATAAAAGGTTGCATGATCTAAAATGTCATGATAAATCATAGGCCTAGCAATGAAAGTTATGCAAGAGACTGGAAGTTTAATAAGAAAGCTAAGAGGGGCAGTCTGCTCCTCTTCAACGCAAAATATATGCTTAGTATACATTATTGTCATCATTATCCTTTACTTACAACACCTAAAATGTGATTGAGGAGGTTAATATTGAAGTTTAATGAATTATTATAAATTTAAGGGTGTGCACCATATGTGGGTCACAATGCAGGTTGAGACAGACACGCGTGACCCACATATGGGTCACGATGCGGTTAAAGTGTTAAAGGAGACTTAATTAAAAGTCTCAAACCATAATATTCTTTCTACACAAACAGTTTATCACTATTTAGTAAAGCAAGGTCAACTATCAACTTTAATATGTGTTTCGATGATCTCACTAGTTGACTTTGACTTTCATTCTGCAGATCTCAACATTTTCCCACTAGACCTAGTGTTTTACGGAAATCTGGCGCACAATAGTATGGTGTCACTATTTCAACCATCTACACAAGCATGGAACTAAGACCAAGCTTAATATAAAAGAAAAAGTTGAGGGGTGTAAGAATCACCCACTGTGTCTGAATATGGTGCGTTTACCCTAGTTGCAGTTACTTCAGAATGGTCATACTGCATTACAACTTGTTCAGTTGCCACTTAAGTGAAGACAAATGCTAGTTACTGTTTTTTGTATGGGACTTTGTAAATAACATGGGTCTTTGTATGCATGGGACTGATGGGAATTTGTGAATAACAAATCCGTGGGTCATAAATGGCTTTTCATGGCTCGAAGAAATGGAATCATGGCTGGCACACCCATGAAGCCACGGCTTGAAGAAATGGAAACAAGGCTGACTAACCCATGAAGCCACGGCTCAAAAATCTAGTCGCGGCATGCCTGGTTTAGGTTAATCACTTTTCATTCTATTTCGCCCAGTGCACAATTCTATATATGGCATTTTATGCATAATTTTGTGATGACAATGGTGCATTAATTATTTGTAAAGTGAATTTTTTTGCTGAAAGAGGCAAATGTGCTCCAAATTTTATGTTGCCAAATGATTTTTTGTTAACTGGAGCCTTTGCTAGTAATCAAGGTTCTACTATAAATGCATTGTTATAGGTCTCCCTTATTACCCTGTCATGCTAAAATGGCTGCCATTTTTTTAATGAAATATGCAAATTCCGTCAATCATGTTTTGAAGCCAACACCTGTGTGCAACTTTTAAGTAAGTAAAATTTTTTAATATGGCAAATATTTTTTTGCTACATACCTTAGCAGAGGTACTTTTCCAAAATCTCACTTTTCACACTTTATTTCAGGGATTTTGCAGAGGTAGTAAATGTATGATTTCTTAATTTGCTTTACGCTACAAAGATAGTAAAAGTGTTGAAATTTATGCCATTATTTTTAGTTTTGAAATATTTAGATTAGTTTAGCTGCTGCAACATTTCTACAAAATGTAGGATTTACCCTGCCCATCCCTTATTACCCCCATTTTATGGTATGTGATAATACTTCACAGTTCACAATTTTTGTGGATCCATGAGATTACAAATGTGCTCATATTGTTTAATTTTTTTTATGCAGCAATGTTTAAAATAATTATCTAGTCTTTCATAAGAAGCTGCAGACCCAAAAAGAATTTAGTCCAATTCCCAAGTGGCTGTAAAATTAGTTTAAATGAATGACAATCACTTAAAATAACAAAAGCCATAAGTGCATAATTGTAATGAAATTAACTTGAGGAAGTTATCCACTTTTAAGTTTGAACTTGAATGTAACAAGTGAAATTAGTAGTTGTTTATATATATTTAATATGAACAATTTTTAGTTTACAGGATTATCATGAATAGAATGTTTGAGAAGTCAGGGTGTGTTGGAGAGCAGCAATGCCAGAGGTTACAATTGGTTCATTAATATTCCTTGTCATAGGCAAGTTACAAACATGCTAGGCAGCATATTTTTGAGGTTTGCATCATTATATAAAATTATTTGTTGGTTGAGGTAGTAACTGTTCACAGTTATAGCAGTTGACCTTCTGTTATAAATGTCAACTTACTTTTGACTAGGTAACAAAGTTAGGGCGATGATGGGTTTGTACTTAGGTGGGGATGAAGTAAGCCAAGCAAGTGCAGAATTGGTCAAACTTACATGCATAGCTGCAAGACGGGTTAATAGCTATTGCATGTTAAGGATGGACAATTGCATGTTAAGGATGGACATTGGCTCCAGAGCTTGCTCAAGAGTTAGTTTAAATTTTACATTTGTGACATATCAGTTGTTTTTCATGACATGTTTTCCCTTCCAGTTTTTGCCCCATGGCCATGCTTTGCTACTGACTTGAGCTAATACATTACTTTTGAAGCATTGAAACATTAATGAAATTAAGGAAGAGTGTACTATACTAAAATATTATCTATAATCTATCATAATTACAGTTATAAACTACCTTGTTAACTGCCATGATTGGTCTCAAATTTGAAGGTGAGTGAACTAAGTTTAAAAAAAAAACTCTTTTAGTGCATTTTCTCATTTATGGAAAAAAATATAGCTCAGTACTCACAGCAGTCAGTGACAGAGCGCATTTTCTCGTCAACAAAAACTTGAGGTCACTGACAGATGGACGGGCAGACAGACAGACGGACATGGCGAGCACAATAGTGCATTTTTTCCATAAATGAGAAAATGTGCTAAAAAGAGCAATTGTGCTAGTCATGTCCAACCATCCGTGATGTCCGTCCAAAACATGAAGTGATGGACGGATGAGAAAATGTGCTCTCTGTCACTCATTGCAGTGAGTACTGATCCATTTTTTGTTGCAAATCATTGCCAATCTTCCATATGAAGCAGATATGTTCAGAAACATCATGGTTAGAATGATCATTTCATGGATAAATTGGTTTTGGAAAATTGTGGGGAAAAAATGCAATTTTGCCAAATTTTTAAAACCAATATTAGTCAAGGCTCTTGGGAATTGGTAAATTGTCAAAGCACTGGCAATTTTGGCTGTTTGTGTGGAGAAACATAATAACCTTCTAGAATTTTTATTATTTTTCACAAAATTTGTCATAGATTGGCCATAAATGCAATATATAGTAATTGGATATAATGACAAATTTTTACCTGCAGTTTTTACAAAAATTTCAACATTCAATATTGGCTGGCCTCAAAAGTATTTTAACTTACTGAATAACTGAAAAAAAGGCATTGAATAACAATTATGCCAGTAATTTTTTGTAAAAATTATATTGATTCTAACCATTCCTAAGCTGAAAATTTTTGAATTGGCCTAATAGCAACATTTACTTTGAACATTATATATTGTTAAGGTTTGCATCATTATAGAAAAATTGTTTGTTGGTTGAGGTAACTAGCCATCACATTTATAACAGTTGACATTGAGTAATTAATGTTTACTTAATGATCATTCTCATTGCATTCATGAAATATAAATTACTGTCAGTTTTGTTCTTCCTGTCCAAGTAGAGGTGAGAGATGAGCTTCGCAAGTGGCGTGAGGACAACAGCCGACAGAGTGAGGAGGTTGTTGACAGATGGACTTACTGTCTACAACATAACAAAAATAAACTTGGTGATGAGAGTGAGTATCTGACCCCATTAACTTATTTACTTGAATTATGCTAGGATCCCTTGCCAAATATTGAAAAACAATGAGGTTTGTTAAGGTTAAAAGCTATTGGTGAAGTTTCATTGGAATGGCTAACTTGCTGGCAATGTAACTATTGCAGTAAACATAGTGATTATGCTGCTGACAGAATTTTACCTACTATTTCCCTTGACTTTTGAATTGAATGTCATTTTGTGCACACAGCATTTTTAAAGATTCAGTTGTGTCATTTTGCTACATTCATACCTATTCTTGAGCATGACATAGAAACAACTTGATTTTTTGTTCTTACAGTAGCATATTTATTTATTCCTGTCTGTGCTGTACAATTTTTCTCCAAAAATGCTCATAGGTAGCAATACTTGTGATTAAAAAACGACATCAATGAGCAGGATGGATGGTAGAAGAGCAAGTGTTTGTGGCAGCATTGGACTGCAACCGCATGGATATAGCAGACCAATGTCTGCACTCTCTGGCAAAAAAGTTTCCTAACTCACTGAGAGTTGCAAAGCTGAAAGGAATGCGGCTTGAAGCTTTGGAGAAGTACTTATATAAGTGTTAATATCTCATGAAGCTATAACTCTTTACATCTCATCTAGCTTTAAGTGGTAACATCTCATGAAGCTACTACTTTCACTAGTTCCTTTGCTTTAAAACAACCATTGTTTTGGGCATATTATTGCTTACAATTTGTCCAAATTATAGAAAAGTTTCCGTTTGGGAAATGCTGGCAAATGGTATATTCTGTTTTTGATGACAATATTGGATTAAAAAATGGTATATTCTGTTTTTGTAGACAATATTGGATAAAAAATATTGTTAGAAAGTGAAGTTAGCATCCTTATTTCATACAAGTTCTTGTTGAGATGAGCATTTGTTTCAGGATGCATTTGTAATTTATTGTTTTGTTGCTATGTAATTTTTGCATATCGCTTTAAGCGCTAATAAATTCATTTAAGTATTTCATCATGCCTCTAAAATTGGATTAATAAAATTTTCAAAGGTTGAGTTTTTATAAGTAGCTTGGCAAAAATTTGTGCCAAGCATGTGTGTGTAGTAAGCTTGAATTCAGCTACAAGCTTACCTGTTTTTAACTGTGAATAGTTATAAAAAGAAATGTTCAATTCACAGCAATGGCAACAAAGCCTTTCAATTAAATAAATGTTGAATATGGTAGTAATAGAACTACCTATACAATGATAATTATTTTCTTAATTTGCCTAATTTAGGATATTAAGAGTCAGTCATACAGAATTGCTTCATCAAATATATTAATGGACTTTCCTAGATATGCATACTACTCAAGTAACTCAAACACACACATAGAATTGATTAATTTTTCCTTTCTTCCTACAAATCTCAAGATTTGATGATGCCCTCCAAATATATGAGCGTATCGTGCGTGAGGATGAAACCAACTCTACAGCTCGGAAGCGCCGTATTGCTGTTCTCAGAGGACAGCGCCGTTATGTTGATGCCATCAAGGAGCTCAATGAATATCTTCAATTGTTAGTGGAGACATCCAAATTGTTCAATTTAGATATAAATTTCTATCGTTCAACTTTTATTACTCCAATTAATTTGTGCAGGAATTTGCTATTAGTACGAAAGGTTCAAGCACAGCTTGCACAATGACCTTGAAATATCAATGGAGAAAATCTGAATCAAAATTGCTGGTCCACAGTTTGAAATCACCAGATTATTTTCATAGTTATTTATACCGCATCTTTCACATTTGAATTTTTTGCCTCTTCCTCTTTATTGAGGATTCATGTTGTTTCTTATGCTGTGCTTGCTATCAGGGTAGACTAAACTGTCATTTAATTTACCTGTATTTATTTCTGCTATTGTATTGGTATATAATTCATTATATCCTTCTCCTGCACTTGATTGTATTTAGGAATAATATTATTCTTGCAATTACAGGTTCATGTCGGATTGGGAAGCATGGCAGGAGCTTCTGGACTTGTATCTGAAGGAGGGTGATTATGCCAAAGCTGCCTTTTGCATGGAGGAGCTTCTCATGTCCAACCCTCACAATGCTATTTACTACACGCGCTACGCTGAAGTCAAATACACACAGGTTTGCTACGTTTCAATTTCTATTTTGGCCATTAAAAATATCTGAGATTGAGACAATTATTGTTGTTCAAAGCAAATAGCTCGCCCAGGGTAAAACGTCTGTTGTACAAGTATAAGTTTGAAGTGACGATAATAGTCGACATTTTGTGACACCAAATATGCAGAAAAAAATGCTGCTGCTTCCAGGAAATTATTCCATCTCTGGATAATTCAAGATCTAAAATTTATGTCAATTCTTCTTAAGTATTGTGACATACATGGAAGTTACAAATTAATACTTGAGACTATATTTTCACTTGTAGGTGTGTTACTCCAGATCGTTCACTCAAGATTTCATGTATGTATATATATTTGTCCTTGTGGGAGCATCAGTCATATGTTGTTTTTTATTACAGTGCAGTTAATTTATGAGATGGGGCAGACAGATATGCTGGTGTCAAATTTTATAATTGAGATATTTTGCAGGTCTGTTATAGTTATTTCTACTATACTTGCAGGGAGGTTTGGAGAACATGGAGATTGCTAAAACCTACTTCGGTCAAGCCGTCAAACTCAACCCTAAAAACATACGAGCTCTCTTTGGGCTGCAGTTGGTAAGTTTTCAAAGTTCATTCATAATTGAGGAGGCTTTGCGAAACATCTAAATTTTTTTCTACTTGGAAAGCTAACTTAGCTAAGGTAAATAATCTAAACTGAGTGGTAAAAAACATGCCTCCTTAGAAACTCAATTATTCCTTTCTAACCAATGATAGATAGGATACTGTTTTAAACTGTAATAAAACCCTATGCTGATTAGTTTGAGCATTTATTATTGCAAGCTTGAAAGATACCGATTATCAATCTAATGTTTTTAATGTACGCAATGAAATGAGAAACTTGTTTCTGTGCAGAGCTGCGAGCAGATAGCATCATCACCCAAAACAACGGTTCAGAAGAAGAAAGAAGCCATCAGAGTTGCTGAGTATGCTTCGCAGCTTATCAAGCAGAGGTCAGTAAAGTTATCCTCAGCACGATATTCCTTGAACCAAAATCATTCTGGAGCCTCAGTTAGCGAGTAAAATCAAATTAATTCCAACACGTAGATTTTAAGGGAAGATAAGATCAGAGTTCCAGATAAATCAAGGTTATCTTCTGCTTGGACATATTTATACGACCTGTGATCATCATCCTAGACACAGATTATTACCCAAAAGAATCTCGAAAAATATTCTTTTATACTATTTAATTTCAAGTCTAGGGAAAAGGGACTGTGGTAAATGAATTACATATAGTAACAAACACATTTTAGGACACCTTATATTATAGAAGCGTTTGCATGATTGTTAGAAAGAAACAGGTTCGACGAGGGCGGCATGGCAATTCTTGCGACCTCATTTTGCACTACCCGTACATTGCTTCCTGTACTGGGGGTCAATAACTCGTGTGTAACTTTACAATTCTTATGAAGAATGTGGGGGTAAAGCATCACTATTATCTAATTTAGACACATATCATACATGCATGAAACAGGGTGCTATGGTTTACATTTTAATTTATGTAACAAGGTAACGTTTTGGTGGCCAACCCACAGGTACGCTGCCCTGAGCTCCCCTGCATCCACACACGGTGATCAAAATTTAGTGGAAAGTTTATCAGCGCTGACGGTGGGAGGAGAGAAAACGTCGCGGCCCTGAGTGCCGAGATGCACTACGTTTGTCTGCAATCTCCATAGGCAATCTTAGCGTTAATTGTTTGGGTGCGACCGCGTGTAACATATTCCTTGCTATTTGAGAAGTCAAGTATCTTATACTTTAATTATCTCGGCTAATTGTCACTCGGAATAAATTGAATAATTTTTAATGATGTTCAACTGTATGTAACTTTTTATAGGGAATAACTGGTTATAATAATTTCCATTAACTAATAGGTAGGAATTTTACCCTGGCAAGATATAGTCTTCTAGTCAGAAGCGTTACGGTCACTTGGAAGCTTTGAATTCCATTGTGCAGGAGACAAATATTAATCAATGAAAATGGGTATAATATTAACGAAGAGTCCTAGACAAGATTCAATTGAACACCTCAATTGGTCTCCACGAATCAGGTGGGAAATCTACAAGGCTTCAAGTATTTCGTTTGAGATTATATGATTGAATATCATCATTTTGTGTCTTTTGAATGGGGTTTATTAATTGCAATGATGTGTATGTTTTATTATTATTCACCTACTGTTGACATTCAAAATGAGTATGAACGGGTACGGTAGTTTCTTTATCATTTCGGAGTCGAGCCATTTCAGTTTTTTCAGGTGTTAAAACAACATTTGTACTATAAAATAACGCGTGAAACTCTACACTTGCACGTTGAATTAGAGTTTGTCTCAGAGTCCAATGACGAAGGTTGATGCCAAACACAAGGTTATGTTAAGACGACCTATATTACCATCAGAGTTTGGATTACTTCTGACGAGGATCGAACCCATACTGGACAGTTTAGCTACTATTGTGCTCGTAAGGTTCTGTTGATGAAAGTTCAAACTAGCGTTGCTAATGCACTCTCCAACACGACACACCATTCAAGAGTTCCTACGGACTCGGCGCTTTTAGTAAGGTGTTTTGAGATGGATTTCAAAAGCATAATGTTGGATTAATATGAATAAAGCTGAATTTAAAATTTCCTCCAAGGCCTAGGGACAGGAAAAGTGCACATATTTCATCAATAATCTTCTGGCGCACGTATTTTGGCTGCTTTTCAGCACTGAAATGATTCTATTGCAGAATTGTATCAAAATCACGTCTTAGGTTCTATACAGGTCCATACATACCTCAATTTTATTTCGCGTCGCGAGTGAATTGCCGAACAAGATATACGTAAATACAATATATATCACTGTCTCTACAAGTGACCGCCCAGGGCGCCCATCACTCCGATCGATGGATCGAGACTAGCTCTTCACCGACCGCATTTTTCGTTCAAATGTTCGAGACGAGCTCTTCACCGACCGTATTTTTCGTTCAACTGTTCGACTTCGCCGACCGTATTTTTCGAACGATGGCTCGAGACGAGCTCTTCACCGACCGTATTTTTCAAGTGCACTTCTCACGTCGTAAACGAAGGGCGCGTCATCTGGCCTCAAATTGCGAGCCTCCCAAGAAGCAAACCGCGCCTTCTGCTCTACGTTCAAACTCGTCTCCCAGTCGCCAATTTTACCTGTTCAATAAGGCAAGCTTCAGTAGTACTTTTTCTAGTAAAATGAAGCGTTTGAAAACCACAAAGAAAAATTTTGAAAAACTAAATGGTGTCTTGCATTGGGAAGTAAAATTTGGTATCAAAATTTGACCCCCAAATAAAGCTATGTAAAAGTTAAAGGCTCCTTGACTCAAGGCTCCATTATGATAAAATGGTCAAACGTTTATTAATTTTATACGCAAACAGAGTATGAAACATCTGGAAAAAGCATTCAAATAATAAATGAGTAATCAGTTTAACGAATTGACAGAAAGCTAATTTCGTAAGATGCTCACCTTTCCTGAGAAAGTTTCCTCGATCTTTATGAGCAAACCCAATGTCTTTCCAGTGCTCGTAGTTGACACTCTTATTGTTGCTCATGGCCGAGAAACTGGTGTGGTCGACGACGAACTGAACGTCCTCCTCAGACACCGCCACCTGCCTCGATATTTCATAATAAATTGAAACATATTCCGGGCAGAACTCTCAGAATGTAGGCATTAACCAACTTGATATCTGTACACTAACCTTTTGTTGGCTCTGGTGTAAATAACCCCAGTCGAAATATTCCAAATTAATATGTGATTTTTTATTAAAAACGCATTTTCATTAAAATATTGCCAACTGCTTAATTGACGGTATTGGAGAATAAATTTGAGTATTATTTTGAAAATGAATTTAGTTGATCATCAATAAGTTCATTCGTGAAGTTTGAGTCGCCATGCTATCATGACATTTTCAACATTCATCCTTAAATTTTTACAAGCGATTTATATATCTGCAAGTATAGCTACATCAATTTTGGCATGCATTTGTCAATTCGTGTCTGAAGGAGTAAAGAACTTTGGCCGTGCTATCAAAACTACATGTAATGGTCGATTTCTCATCTGTGATTGGTGAGTTTAGCTCGAAAGCCGTCAGAGATTGGCTGACAGAGTTACGAACTGGTAATTATTTTTGATAGTATGGCCCCAGGTTTCTAGAATTTTCAGCTGAAGTCTTACATTGAGATGCTTTGCGATGGCTCGCACCACGCCCTTGGGGTCAGCAGTCAGCTGCTCGTATGAGACACACAAGAGGGAGTCGTGCGAGGCTGCTGCTGCTGCTGCGCGGTACTCACGCACGTGGCTTAGGAAGGGGCTGTATGGAACTGAAGTGAACTCAAACTTTAGTGTGGAACAAAAAATGTGAAAGCATGAAGAAAAAAAAATTGAGAAAAGGACGACAATTTGTGATAATAGTAAGTAAACTAAGGGAGAATATACAATATTATTACCGACGCTAGTTCAATAACCCAATTAATTAATATTAAATAATAAACTAATTAAATTAATATAAATTTAGCCCGTAAGAAGTACCGAGGAAAAATAAATGGCAATAGAAATTTGTTACGTAAACACAGAGAAGAACTGACCTTTTTCATCGAGGAAATCGTCAATGAAATCATCAAGGGTGCCGATAAAACCTGCGCTGGTGAGAAGCCGTGCAAAATGATAGTACGAGACCACCGTGTCCCGAGGGTTGCGCGTGACGTACACCACCTGCCGGTATAAGTGAATCATGTACACAATATTTGGAGGTGTACACCACCTGCCGGCAGGGTTCTAGGACTACATGTTCAGGTTACGAACACCAAATATGGTGAGTAATACAAATGAATTGTGTTCGGTATTCTGTTTTCTTGCACCAGCTGTGGTGACAGATGTATTACCTTAGCCCCAGCAGTGGTGACAGATGTATTACCTTAGCCCCAGCTGTGGTGACAGATGCATCACTTTAGCCCCAGCTGTGGTGACAGATGTATCACCTTAGCCCCAGCTGTTGCGACAGATGTATCACCTTAGCCCCCAGCTGTTGTGACAGATGTATCACCTTAGCACCAGCTGTGGTGACAGATGTATCACCTTAGCCCCAGCTGTGGCGACAGATGCATCACCTTAGCCCCAGCTGTGGTGACAGATGTATCACCTTAGCCCCAGCTGTTGTGACAGATGGAGGCAGCAGGTGGTAAGGCAGGTGAGTCTTGATGCAGCGCGGCCCCGGCGTGGCAGCGACGGTCTTAAGGCCAGGGTATGGGTACTCCAGGTACGGGAACCTCGTCTCCAGCGTCGCGTCGTCGTCTGGGGTACAGTCGAAAATAATTAGGAGTTCTCAACTCCGTCAGCCAATCACTGACGGACTAAACCCACTAATCACAAACGAGAAATCGGCCGCTACGTGTGGACAAGGCCCCTGCTACGGCCCCTGGTGGACAAGCTAATATTTGGGACCAACTGAATTCATTAATGAGAAAGGATATGCATTTGAAGGTCAAGCGAGTCTCGTAAGTCTTGTGCACTCGGTTTAAGACAAACGAGTGTGTTCGTAGACGAAAGCCGGACATGTTGTTTCAATGATGAAGCTAATCTTCGGGTTTACAATGAATTTACAGAGATTTCAGCTATATTGTTTTTAAAGATCCCAAAATTATACAGTAATATTATCCACCAAAACGATGCTTGTGTAGTCAATCCATTCGCCCGGCTAGCAAAAATATATTAAAACAAAAAAGAAATAGAAAATCACTTAACATCAAATTACGAACATAAAGAATCATCGTCTATCATGAGTAAAATCGCAGCCACGTAACGCCATATTAAACGAAGTCGACAGTTTTAATTTATTCTATAATAAAAATAAGTAATATAAATGATAATATCTGATAACTATAAAATATAATAATAAATAATAATAATATAAATTCTTATTTCGTTAATATCGAATAGTGAATAATTCGATATCTGCTTCTTACTACCACTAACTAACCTGTGGAGGAGCGACAATCGTGAGTGAGCATATAGACGATCTCTTGCACCCATGTCGTTCCTGAAGAAAACGTATACTTGAGAATGATACGGTAGTGGCCTGGAAATTATTATTATTAACCATACTACAGGGTTGTTGTGATCTTTAATTTCATTTATAAATACGAATGAAGGAAGTTACCTGTTTTGGGGAAGCTTGCAACTATAACATCGGTTTCCCTCGCTTGAAAATTTGGCAGTTCTTGCAGAACGCCCGATAAAACAATTTGTTCCGGAAACACGTAGCCGCCATATCTGAAAAATCATCACATTTCATGCATGCCATTTGTGAATATATTCACGCATGACTGTCATGGAATCGTAAAAAGTGAGTGGGAGGGAAATTAGCTAACAAAATTGAACTTTGGAAAGGCAAAATTCGGATTGTCCCGCACTTGAGATATCCGAATCTATTTCACAAATCTTTCAAATTGTCCCAAAATTGAAACATTGAAATGTCAGTAATAAAATTTAGTGTTTAAATTTTCAGAATACTTTTTTTTATCGTTCATAACAGAAGAGTTACCTCATGGTTGAACTAGTATAGTTCAACCATGAGTTACCTAACTTGCTCATTTCTTTCCCTGGAGTCGTGAGAAGCGGGGTTTAGTTTCCATTACATATATGCTTGTAAGATCACACAAAGAACTGTATGATAATGTTAATATTCTTGTGAACGTAGCTGAATTGTTTTCAGCTTACCACCACCAATAAGCATAGAGTGAGACTGAGCCAACAACAGAATATTGAAGTTACAACCAGCTCAGTAGGCCACGTGATCCTACTGTAACTCTGTACAGCGCTACACTAAGAAAAATTAATGGTCTTATTGTCTACATAATAATACACTTTCTTACAACACGAGGACACAGTAAACGTAGCACGGATACGCTCTTCGCCGGGGCAAACTGGGTCGGGAAGATACGCACAAGGGGCAAAAAAGTGAATCGCTGCTTGAACAAAAGTCTCGCTTATACCTCCGAGTGCTAGCAAACGCCTCCCTTTAAACTGTTAACGTCAATGACGGACGTATACCTGTAAAAGACGATGTTGGGCTCGTAGTGCCCTGGGACAAGGGGCACCCTGACGCAGCCCTCCAGCAGCCGCTGCCGGCGGTCATGTTTACGTCGTCGGAGCCACAGGCAGCCAAGCAGCGTAGCAACACACAACCCCACGCCCGAGGCTCTCTTGTACCGCAGTAAAGACCGCACCGACTGGTCCATGTGCTCAGATCTGAACATGTGCCCAGGTTGTTAGAAATAGGGCTACAACGGATTATTTACATGAATAATTTCGAAGTATTTTTGTACAAAATGGGCTTATAATTTGATTTGTTGGTCGAGCATTGAAAACTTGCTTTCTCCACAATAAATACAAAATGATATCAACGAGCTTCTAACAATAAAAATAACCGTTGATTACAAAAAATTTTGCGTACGTTCCAGTTTGTATGACACAAGACACTGATGTTTTGACCGCGACGCAGATTTGTAAAGCGTCGAGGTCACAAAATGATGACTCATTCGTTCATCCGAAATAAAAAAAATTGCAATAAATTCCCATTGACTTCTCTGATGGTGTGAAGAGGAAATTCTTGTTTACCTTGCACTGAAGGGGCGACAAGCAGGGTACCTGCTCGAGGTAGCGGCGAGCTTACGGACCTGCCAGACGCTGCGTCCGTAGCGCGACCAATACATCTTCAGGTGGCAGTTGAACTATTTATTTTAGTTACCATCAATTCAATCGTTAGATGTACTCAGGTTCACTATTCTCAACAAGATTTCTTTACAATCATGCCTTAGCCTCATGAGGAACTTCCTAATTCTCCACATAGGTGAAGGGAAATGCAGAAAACAATTATTCCTGGCAATCGCAGACAGCTGCCCCAGAAGTGAACTATATCAACAACTCTACCGTTCTTTTTTTAGGCGAATTTTTTATTTAGCCATGAATGAAAACTGGAGCAGTTGTTTCATCACATTCAAGTCTTATGTTATGTGAAGTATTATGTGAAGACTCAAGTCATCACATTCAAGTCTGATTTTGATTAAATTATGTATATCACGCCAGTCAGAAGTCAGATCTTCCCAGAAATAACCGACATCGAATTAAGTAACCGCGATGTATGATTCTTCAATGAATACTGAACAAATAAATTAGATTCCTAAACTACATCTCGCACGACGATGGCTCAAGGCACCGGGGGGAGCCAAACCCCTGACGTGGGCCTGGCGTTCACGTCTCCTTGCGGTAATTGTGATCCATTTCTTGCTATTGTTTTGTGCTTAATCAACAATATAATCGTATCACTCAAGAAATAACATTTACAGCATTTAACAGCAAGTAATTTCGACTCATTTAGTTCAACGTACAGTCAAGACAACAGATTCATATCAACGATATTGAAATAACGCTACATTAATTATATTTATTTAGAAAACAAGATTGTCTTGAAGGAGTGGCTGCAGAACTGGAGGCGAAACAAACTCAAGATAAGATTAAGGAGGTCAGTTTATTCTCAGGTAACAAAGCATTTCACGTCGACTCCTGTAGTGAACATTACATGTGCAGATGCAACACCAAGCAGGCACACTAGTTGCTGGGTACAGACATGGTTGGTTTACTGTCAGGGCGCGTGGCGTAACGAAAAAATATTTGTGAAATTAGTGACCAAGTCGAGAGTAAATGTGGAAATAGTTTTTTTAAACTTGATGGATAACCACTTCAGCAAAGCCCAACAAACGGGACTTTTTCTATCACAAGAGCAACAGAACCTTGCTTAGCGTGAAACTCTTGTAACCGCGTGGTCAAGTACCGTCAAACAGATACGGTTGCGGTTTACTTAACCGTGAGCCTCATGTAACTGCGTGTAGCAAGAGCCGCAACGGTCATACGGTTAGTTAACATGGAAATTTCGGTCGTTATATATCAGTGCGAAGATATGACATAATACAAAGGAAAGACATTTTAACATAACACCAAAACCAAAGGTTTGCCAAAGCTTAAAGCTCGCACATCGACAAACACAAAGAAATACGGGAAAATCGACAATGACAACCGAGAAACTTCCATGAAGCACTGTCTGATTTCAACGAAAATATAGCTTATTCAACTTGCCACAATGATAACACTGGTAACATATCCATCGAGGAACTGTCATATTTATTCGAAGAAAATCAATGTTCAAAGAAACACAACTGGAAGAGAAGTGTATAAAATGGAATCGAGTAAACATTAAACATCGGGAAGAAGCGAACATTGAAATATGCAAGTTAAATAGAGAAAATGATCTTATCTTGACGGAATTTGACGTGAAACTAACGAGGATGTAAATGCTTCATTCAGCAAGTGGAGAGTAGCAAGCAACTTATCGCAGCCACTGCTCGAACAAGAACCAGCAAACAGTGAAAAGCAAAAACTCTCATCAACAAACTACATTCTGCCTTCATCAACAGTTTATTAGAAAAAATGATGTTTTATTATCTAAATTACGCATGAGTAAAGAAGGTTAATTTAAAATCTGCATCAAAATTTCGATACTGAAGAAGCTATATCAATATGTAAGGTTTTATTTATTTATTCTATTAGAGCAGTAAATAAAACTCTCTATAGGGAGATGAAGCGAGAACAAATTCAAGCACTTTTATGTAAAACAATGCAGATCATATTGAAAGGTTACACTATTAAAAAAACGGCAAACAGCGTTAAATTCACGACCAAACCTGCAATTTCCATCTCAAACATCAACATTGATCAGTAACATAAAGGAGAGTTGTTATGCAAATGTAGGTGTGGGAACGAACATTGTGTTTTTACTCGTGGAATGCTTAACGGCTCATAGAACTCAGAAATAGTCTAAAAAATTATGATAGGCTAAGATGCATGGTGCACAGAGTCAATCAATTGACGAATGTTTAATAACCTTTTGTCAAATAATTTGCAGTCATTCCAATGCTAGATTAATATCCCAGATTCTCATCAACTTCAAGGTGTCATTTGGTTATATTTTGAAATGTAAATCGCACCATTACAAAATTTTCCGCTTTCGGCGACTCCTGCTTTTAAACAGTCACGAAAGCCACCTAACTTAGGCGAGCTGAAAATAGCAAATGAAAGGGTACAATATTCAATAATGAGTGTTGAGTTTAAGTACTAGTGTTCAACACGTAAATCCTTGGTCATTCTTGACCATTGCTTGAAAAGATAGATATTAAAATAACTTTTTTCACATGAAGCACGCCTCCATGACCGATGTTCAACTAAATATGAATAAGGGACGAGAGGTCAGCCAATCAATCAAGATTTTAATCGAAATTTTACACGGAGAGCTCCATCGGATGAAAAATTGAGGTAGCAATATTACAGAAACTTGTGTCGAATACTCATTAAAAAAATTTTTTCACAAGACCGCGGCTTTTAATAAACTACAGCACTGAACATTCACACCAAGAAGTCGATACTGAAATCAAGCATTAGGAATCCAAGAAATGTCATTCCAAGCACTAAAACTTTCATCTCGAATTGTCAACGATTCAATCGCATTTGCTTAGGCTTGCCGAGTGCAGCCAGCAACAACAGACAACCAATTAACGCGTGAGGTGGTTCAATATTTCGTAGCTACGGTATACATTCTTATTGACGTTAAACTCACTGACCGCACACTTCAGTAGACAGCAATTTTGGCAGAGCTGAATACAGGTTTATTGAGATAAGGTTGATAATAAGGCAAGAAATTCATTCAACTTAGGCAATTGTAGACAGTTTCCACCACATCAAGCGTCACTCAGGCATTATTTGCATCACTCCAGATGGAAGCAAAAAAAAAACATTCGATAACGACCTGGAAAATTACAATGACTTATCCTATTTAATGGATTAATCAACTACATACCTACGTTGAATGTGTTAAGAAACGAACCACATGCATGCAAGGCGAACGTCATCATTTCAGCACAAACAACTAAACTACATGCAAATGAAAAAAAAAAAATCGAGCAAAATTTGGGCAAAATTTTTTCGCAGATGCAGCTAATATTACCAGTCCTGACATCGTCATACAGAGACTGAAGAAACACCAGGCACAGATCACAGATTTTAGGTTCTTAAATAATTTGGTTTCACTTGGCACGAAATTAAGATAATGTTGTTGGAAGGTGAACAGTTGGATTTGGGAATGGAGAATAGTGCGAGTTTCTCAGGAATTTGGAAATAATCGACACGCTAGCATCGTTATTTACCGCTTAGTCCTCAGCGTTTATTGTGTAAAAAAGTTTTCAGGGGGTGTTGATTTTGCAGAGTTGTACATTACTTGTTATGAAGACCACAAGTCAGTCTAAGCCGACACTGTCATCTTAAAGAGCTAATAAGAGGTCACAATGACATGAAAATAAAATACTAATCAGCTGAAGATGACGAGAGATTAAAAAGCTGAACCTAAAGAAGGAATCTGATATCACCGAGAATTGAAGGAAGAGCAGGAAACAGCGAACAGATTCTTAATAGAGGAACACCAATCGCTACCCGCTACAGTACGACTATAAAGAACAGTGCTAGCTTCCCTTAGCTCGTAAACAGTAGAGGAAACTGATGATAAGCAATACCGTACACTTCAACAAACAGCCATAAAGGGATTTACATTCGGCACCGATTTGGCATTCCACATTCCTCAGAAAATATTCAAAAATGTGAAACAAGGACATGAATAAAAATCCGTGATGAAGCTGGATTATAGTCGAATTCCGGCTTTTAGTTACAGTTGTAACTTGATCAGAGTCTATTATCTATAATGTTACTACATTGAATACCATCATCAGAAGTTATTATGAAAAAAAGAAGATTGATTTAATTAATTACATAAAGTGAAGAAACTTTAAAGATGTTAATAGTAATCTAAAATTACCTTATCAAAAATGTACACAAAGTGCTCCAAACTTAAATGAAAAACAGTTTGAAGATGTAAAATTTAAAGCTTATGTCAGATTTGAGATGGTAAGGAATCGAGTGGTTGAGGGGATCCCGCACAGAAAGCCTAGGGTTTAAACCTCATCATAGCAGTAAGCTTATGATAAATCGAAGTAAACGAAGCACAAACTTGCACTTCCATCATTCAATGCTCCCGTAATAGTGAACTTAATTCAAGAACAAAACAGAAAAATGTAGACTTCGATAGAGCTTTAGTGCTTTGAAATCGCTTGCCCATTTTACAAAATTACAAATAAAATCAATGTGTCTATATAATCAGGCCCATTCACTATAGTAATTCCTCCCATCCAATTTGATTGTTCGAAACTAAATCTTTAATATACAAAGCCCACAGCTTTCAAAGACTTAGCTATACATATCATTGACAAAAAGGGAAAAAAGTCCACAAGAAATGAAGCAAGATACTCGTTGCCCCAGTCCGGTAGGTCAAGACCTCCGATTGCGAGGCTCACACCACACGGCATCAAGCTCGTGCCCCGTAGGTTCCTCCCACAAAGAGTCGAACTGTGACACGGTGGGCTCGACCCACACAGCGTCCACCTCGCTAGCTGTAGGCTCCACCCAGTCAGCGTTCAGGTCCGGTACAGTCGGTTCTTGCCATAATTCACCGTGGATGTTCGTCTTGTCCCATACTTTTTTGCAGTCAATTTCTTCTTCCAATAAACGCTCCGAAGAATTTATAGTTTCGCATAACTGTTCTACGCAAGACACACTCGGGCCGTCCCACAAGCCATCACTCTCCCTAAAATTTTCCCATAATCTTTCAGTGGCATTCGACTCCACCCATAATTGTTCAGTGCCACTTGAATTTTCTAGAAGCGGCTCTTCCCACACTGCACTGAGTTCTCTGTCTGTAGGTGTGTCCCACATGGACCCCGTCCCCGCGTTTCTCCTGGTCGCCCGTGTGGTGTGGTCTTGGACCACCCGCCCCCCACGCCGCTCCATGTGCTCTTGGCTTCACAAGTCCGAGTCTGAGTCGGACATGGAGCTGATGTAGAATGTGTCTGCGATGTCCTCAAGCTCGAGCTCCAGCAGCAAGGACTGGATGGAGCCACGCAGAAGCTCCAAGCGGTGTTCGCGCTCGTCCATGAAGTCCCACAGAACCATGCTCTGCACAGTTGAAGAAAAATAAAGTCCCACAGAACCATGCTCTGCACAGTTGAAGAAAAATAAAGTCCCACAGAACCATGCTCCGCACAGTTGAGGAAAAATAAAGTCCCACAGAACCATGCTCTGCACAGTTGAACCTACATAATAACTTAACCCCACAACTGAGACCTACAGTCAGACACCGCGAGCTCAGCGGTGGGGCGCTCAGGAACAATCCCCCTAGGAGCTCGAAATCCCATACGACTTCTGACGCGCACAGACACGCAAAAACCAAAATAGTTATCGTTAGCTGTCTCAATACAAAGTTGTAATGAACGTAACACTACGCTTGCTCCTACATTACGATTTTATGGTTCAAGAATAATACTGATTTTCATTTGATTTTAATTTCGTGCAAATGCTTTGCTTTTTAATAATTACCGTCTTTGCTTCAAGCTACGCATTGTACCAGGTTTAATTTACCGTTAAGTTCTTCTACTTTATCCGCTAATATTCGAAGAATAACAACCTTGCTATAGCTTGGCTTGCTTGTACGTCCTTATTTGAAACCGTAAGTACGAGTGGACTCATCAATTCGAATTGTTCTCTGTAAAAGTTCTAACTGTGAGATCATCAAGAGAGAAATGAAATTGAAGACATTTTGTTTGTTTTGGTTCAGAGATCATATCGTAATCCATTGTGAGATAAATTAATGCTTTTTCGAGACAGAATTTCTTAAATCTTTGTCCTCACATCTGAATCGTAATTTCATAATCACTGTTTCTTGCGCACTATTCATATCTTCCATGAGGTGAGAAGGAAGAGATAAGTGCATGTGCACTGTAAAAGTGACTCATTCTTTTGATATTTTAGTCTCGCTATACTCAGCTCCCAACATTGTTGTTCTTCCAACTTAATTGCCAAACCTGACGCTAGCAATACGACTGCAGTGCGTCAACTTCTGCATTGTTATCTTGGATTCTGCGGATGCACTTCCTTCTGGCGTACAATGGAAATTGCAATCTTTTCAATGTTATCCTTCCATTTCAATTTAAAAAAGGTTATAAAAATAATACAGGCTAATATACACCAATTGCAAGTGCGTTGGCGAAAAGAAAAAATTTAAACTAATTAACTTTAAAATATTCCAATTAGTTCTAAATTATAAGAAAAGAGTCCGCTGATTACAGTTGGCCGTTTTCAGAGGAAACTAGAACTCTTACATGTACATCTAATTGAATGTAGTGTAATTCTAATTGAAAATTGATTGCCTAAAACTATGTTAAATGTATGGCGTCATCACACATGAATGGAAAGGTAGCAAAAATTATTGCACCGAAGGTAAATCAATATGCAAACAGAGAAAATTAAAAATAAATTAAATTTAAATTCTTGCCTAAGTAGTTCCATAGCACACAACAATTATTTAAGAATATACAGGTTGTTCTAAAAAATTCACGTAAAACAATTGTATATCATTTGATTTCTTCTTTGCTTTAATTATACTATCAGACTTAGGTTCATGCGAACGGCGATGTTGGACAGTTTGTCTGAAATAAATTAATGTAAAAGAGTAGCGCTAAAAACAACACGCAAGCATCACTCACCTCGAGGTGGTCGTGCAGCTCCCCGTCGGCGCCGAACTTTCGCCGGCGTCGGGGCGGGCCGACGTCCTTGATGGTGCCGTCGGCCAGCGCGTGGCGGTAGAAGCACTTGTTGCCGAATGGACACGTGCCTTCACCTTTGTTGAAGTACTTGCACTCCTTCTTGCTGCAAATACGACTCATTGAGTAATCGCAGTTAATCAACATCATATTGATCGTGGCGAAAAAAATATCATAAATTAATGAGAATATTTTTGTTCCTATTGTTTCATCTTCTTCTAAATGGCGGAATATTAAAAACAATAGCACTTATTTTTCCATAAATGAGAAAATGCGCTAAAAAGAGTTAAGTAATTATTTTACGGAATGCGTTAGAGAATGCCAAGTGACACTTCCGGTCTTCAAGTTTCAAACTATGTCCCCAGTTGCTCAGATTAAAAATTAAAATGAACATTTTCATTATCCAGTGTAACCAATATTAATTAATATTTCCTAGTTCACAAGATCACAAAATTGCAATTGTGACAGTTTAAATACAAAGCTGGGTTTTCAATTTTTAGTTTTAAGATCATTATTTTGAGTGATGCTACAGACCCAAGCGCGTCTCGGTAGCTGTCGACGAGCTTCTTCTTCTCTTCCTTGTCGCTCTCGTCGACCCAGTAGCGCGACGGCACGATGTAGTCCGACTGAATGCGACACTCGGGACACGATCTGCACATATAAAACTCAAGTCAAGACAAAACTATCACACAAAAAATATAGTAAAGAAATAGCCTTAAAAATGAACGAGTGGCAACTCCGTTAATCGTTCTGATTTTGCACATAAAAAAAGGTTTTGATAAGTAAACAGAAATCACACAAATTCTTGTTAGCAGATTCAACAAGCACATATGCATTTTAATAAAGACATAACTATAGTTTAAAATATTAATACAATTAGATCATTTGAACTGACATACATGATCTAAAAGGAAGCCGATTTCTGGTCGATGGTTTGGGGATGCAGCATCAGAAATTGCCTTTAATTGACAAACCTTATAATTTTATTCTCGAACTGCTTAGACTGGCGCCACTTCCTGATGCAGTCCAGGCAGAAGATATGGGAACAGTTGGGCAGGATACCAAAGCGTCGTTGTGAAGGCAGGCTTCGTTCCATGACAGTGTCCATGCAGATGCCGCACTGCTTGTCCTGCGACCGAGCTACGGCGAACGAGTGCTCCATGTCCGCCTCGATGACATTGGCACACTCCTGTGCCACATTGTTGAGAAATTTTGGCAAATGCACATGAAATTAATCAAAAATATTGTGAGTTAATGTGCAGTGAGGAATCTAAACAGTTCACGAGTTTGGAAACTGGTCAAATATAATGATTTCCTTACACCAGTATTTACCAAAGAGAAGTAAGCGTATGGTCAATTAATATCATTAGTTTAGTAAACCCTCAAGCAATGCGAGAATAAACAAATGACCGAAAATTACCAAAGAATTTTTTCAAAGTATATCAGTACCCGAGTTTTCTAACCCTTTTGGAGTGCACAACCATAACAATTATCGTGTCAGGAAATTAGCAGCATCTGAAATTTTATTCCATTTCCAATGGAGCTATAAGGAGCACAGCTCCGTACCTTGGCATGTTCCTTCCTCTGCTCAGGGTTGCGAGGGTCCAGACACGCCAGTTGGCAGAGGTCACAAACTTGGCCATGTATGTAAGGGCACTGGTCCATCAAATGGCAGGTGAGGTGGATCATGAAGAAAGGACACAAGTCGCTCGGAGACCCGCCAGGGATGAACCCAGTGATGGTCGTACTCGACCCTGTCATGCTGCTGCTGTTTGACGCATCATTAGCACCACCCACCACGTTCGCCCAGCTCATAACTAAAAAAATAAAGAAGATAAGTTTAATAACTAAATAACCATTGAGTTTGAGAAAGTTTCTCATGAATTAAGAAATAACCAGCTTCTAACGAGGTAATTTTGAAAACGTAGCATGGGTTTTCGATATTTGGGCAGTAATTAACTGAGTTCACAATTGAATTTTCACTAGACGCTATAAAATGACTAATAACTAGATAAGAATCTCCCACTTACATAACATGTTCTCAATGTACCTTTAATATAATAGATTGAAGGTACAGAAATATGAAATTAATTAAATTCTTCGAATCTGTTTTGTCTAAGTAAGCAATTAATTTAGCCATCATGTCCTCACCCTCTTTCACAGGAGGAGGCTGTAAGTTCCTGGGAACAAATTCCGGCGCATCGGCCCAGCTAGAAGCAGGCAGCTGTACAGGGCCAAGTTTCTTCTTGCCAGCAGCGGAGTTTGATGCCACGAGACTAGAACTTTTATTATTTACAGGCGTCTCACCGACACTTCGACCTTTGTTTGTTGTATTGGCAGAGGTAACTTGAGTAGCTTTAGGTCCATTGTCAGCTTTGGTGGAAGAGTTTGTGTTGGATGTGGACTCGACATTGCCGGTTTCATTTGCCCTAGAAGTTGTTGCTACAGATGAGGTAGGATTGGAGTTGGGATGGCTGTAGCTGGTCCCTGCTCGTTTGTTGGACAATACAGTCATGTTTGAATTAACCGAGTGATTACGATGGCGGTGATAAGATGTTGATGGATTAATGGAGGGTCCATCGGAGGTAGATGCTTGAGATACTTGGCTATTATTTTCTGATGAACTCGAGTTAGGGTACTGGCAGTTTTGGTGCGAAAAATTTCCAGACTGCTGAGCTACATGTCTGGCGGCTAAGTAGGGGCATGTTGGTGTGACTGAGAAGCTGTACAGCGGCGCTGGTGGTGCTGTCATAGCAGCAGCAGTGTCAACCTGTGACTCTTGTCTTTGACTGTAACACACATCATAATTGCCATTACTTAATAATTATATATAATTTATGACTAAAAACAACAAACACCAGTTACGAATAAAACTGTGAATTATAATTAGCTCGATCAGCCTGATTTTAGTTTCAATTAATCCAAAAAGTAACTGATTCTAAAATTAGAATTAAAATAGAAGATAGAGACAAGTACATGCAGTTAGACCCATAATAATCTACTAACCTAAATGGTGTTTGCACATGGTTGGTAGATTTCTTCACATCCAGTCTCGCCGTTTGCTGGTGACGGTTAGGTTGACTATTTCTGTTGGGTCTGCAATGGTCATACCTGGAAAATAGTAGAAAGTTTATCATAAATGGAAATCAATTCATACTTTCATATATCAATTTCATATTTTAGCTAAGGGATCATGTCAAATCTATTATCAAGCTCATCATATATTTCTAGATGGAAGCAAAACTTATTGCATTAAGGTAAATGAACATGCAGATTGAGAAAATGAAGACGTATACAATTTGACTTCTTGCTTATGTAGAGGCAAGACAGTCATAGCAGCTGGTAAAAATTCATGCTTCATTTAACTTATATAGAAGAATTTAATTGCAACATAATTTGATAGAATTTTCTGCATTAAAAAATAATTACCAACTATACATTCTTTTTTCATACAAGGTTAGTCATGAGGAAGATAATAAGAAATCACCAACTATTTGAAAAATTTTGACCAACTCATCAAGTTGGTCAAAAATATGTCATGAGCAATCAAGATTTTAACCTGGAAAACAAGTTAACACATTAATGCCGAGAATTGTTTTCTAAAATTGTGTGTCTAAAATTTTCGAGAATTGTGTCTAAAATTTTTGAATATTATCACTTGTGATGGTAATAAATAAAAAATAGGTTCAAATATTTATTTTTCATTCTATGTGAAAAATTATAGCTTGGTCCCACCATTTTGCACCAGGCAAAACATTTCATGATCTTAATGACTTTGGAAACATTACTGTATTGTGCAAACTAGTTGAAACAGTGGCTGAAATAACAATTATTTGCCCCATTGAAGGTTTATTTTAAAATACATGCCAATGGTACAAAATATGATACAATTAATAAGAGATATGACCTACGTTTGCTTTTAAAAGTATTTGAGCACGATTTGGCGTGGATTCAACCAAAGTTGAACACATTTTAGTAACTTGCTCATCATGTTACCAGGTTTTAACTACAGCACAAATTAGCTTTGCCATTGTTGAACAGTCTTCTTTCAAGAGTATTTCTTTGCTTACAGCCCATAAGTTTTCAATGGGATTGATGTCTGGAGAATTTCCAGGCCAGTATAAAATCTCCAGTCTACTTTCTTCAAAGAATATGCGCATATTACGTGAAGTATGGCATGGTGCGTGATCCTGCTGAAAAAATGGCATCTCCAACAGGAAAGGCCCTAGTCACATTAGGAAGCAAATGACCCTCCAAAATAGCCTTGTATGTATCATTATTCATCATTCCCTCTAAATTAATGAGTCATCCAAGGCCTATAGCACTAAAACTACCCCAAAATATCTTCTTAGGCAGATGTTTGGGAGGTGGCATTTATCAGCAGGATAACGCACCATGGCATACTTCATGTAAAATTCTTTGAGGAAAGTGGACAGGAGATTTTAGACTGGCCTGGAAATTCTCCAGACATTAATCCCATTAAAAACTTATGGGCTATAATCAAGCAAAGACTACTGAAAGAAGACTGTTTGACAATGGCAAAGCTAATTTGTGTTGTAATTAAGACCTGGTATCATGATGAGCAAGTGACTAAAATGTGATCAACTTTGGTCAAATCCATGCCAAATTGTGTTCAAATGCTTTTAAAAGCAAACGTAGGTCATATCTCCTATTAATTATATCATATTTTGTACCATTGGCACGTTTTTTAAAATAAAACTTCAATGTGGCAAATAAATGTGTTATTTCAACCACTGTCCCAACTAATTTGCACAATACTGTATATCAAGTATATATACCGTAATACCTTAGACAGCATTAAAAGTACTCACTTTATCGACAAAATTCTGCATCTAACTCATAAATAATATATTTTATGACGAATTACTGACCTTTCCCTCTATGATATCAAGCCATCATGGCTGAAACCTGGTTCATACAATCTTTGAATGTTAACTAAACAGGGAGTAGTTGGCGCAGCAGAACCTAACATTGCCAGAACATGCACAAGATGTTATCAAACCTACGGTACACATCCACTTGTATATTTATTTGATCATACAATTTTATTATAAATTCATTTTCCCGCTGATTCCATTTGGAACCTCTCAGCATTAATGGGTTTTAAGTTGCTATTGAATTATTTTCTGATTATAAATTAAGGAGAACATAACTCAAATAAAATAACTCCTAAACAATTACATTTCATGAGCATAAGAAGAATGGCTTAGATCTATGAAGGAGTAACATTTACCTGCATTCTCTTCCATATGAGCAATGTCCTGCAGCATAGTAACGGCACACCAGGGATGGCTGGTGTGAGCGGTCATGAGAGAAGCTGCAGTTGCTGCCTTCCTTGCATGCGCCATGCATGAAATATCTGCAAAATACTAGAAGCATCAGCAACAGCTAGCTGGAAATTGAGCTTCAAAATGGTCACCTGAATTTATCCCTACAGGTAATTTCTGGGTTATACTTTGTTTTCAGAGTTGAGAAAGCAATTTGTGTTAGCCGAGTTCAATATGGTAATTATTATCACAGAAACAGGTAACCCAACATCCCAAGCAATCACAGCCAAAATTTATTTTTAGAATGTTCACCTCTAAATGCATTTTTTCAAAATTTGAGGCCCATTTTTCACATCAGAGAGCATGACAAAGTCAAAACCCTGATTGCCTCAGGTTATCATGTCATGCTACAACCTTGTGTTCAATCATTTCTGCTCTCCATCTGGTTAATTATTTTTTCAACACTCTCCGTTTTGCATATGCTGCAATTATTTTACAGGCTTTAATATAAATTGTATCCTATAAATGCAGTCTTCAAAACACAATTCTGAACACAATTCTTTTACAAATTTTTAGAATGAAATAACCAAATTCCAGGTCACAAGCAGAGCCATTTCTGCAAACAATTCCAACAGCCCAATATTGTGGTGATGAAATACAAAGTCATTCACACATGCATGTACCAAAAAATGTGTGCATCTTTATTGCTGATGTATGTGCATCTTCATTATTTCATCATGGGTTTCTTTCTTTAGATATAATACTTCCAATAATTTTTTTATCTCATTGTCTGGAAGTTCATTGCCTGCCACTGCAAAACTTTATGAATGAGACACATGAGCACAGCAGAAAGCTTGAGTCCCACCTCTGTAGTACCTCCAACCTGTGAAATACTAATGTGGTGCGTCAGACAAGACACACTTCACAGCCAACACGCTGAGCAGTTAACTCAGCGGTAAAAGTTTATACAAAGTTTGCTAAATGGACTCCCTAATTTTTGTAGATCAAAAGAGCTAAAAAATTATTGATTTGACACCAAGAACAGATCACAGTTGAAGAGTGATTAAAAAACATTTTCTGTGATTTGTACTTGTTTTTCCTTCATTGATGATATTACCATACCAATTTTTCATTGATAAAAACTATTTTATCCATTCTATACCTGACGCTTTAAAAAAAAAACTTCCTTGCCATTGGCAAACGACCATGTCCACTGCAAGCTTCACATCAGCAGCCATATATATAGCATTTCCTCCATAAGCTTAAGGGGACCATCTAACCTCCAGTAAAACTTCTACATTTATCATCCGATCATGCTGAAATTTCATACGCATACGTAAAATATAAAATAAAAACACTATTTGCCCATATAATTTTTTTAGAAAAATGAAAGTAAACATGAAATTTATAGAAAATGGCCAAAAAGGGGTACTTTACTTTTTAGGTATCTCCTCCTACAAATATCGTGCTACAACATCAAAACGCGTATCATTCTATTTTTAGCTAAATTATCTAGCGGCTTTATCGTTCCAATTTTTCATTTTCCCCATTTTTTTATGCACGTTTTTCCCATTTTTCCACTTTGTCCCTGCCCTCCCCCCTTCCACCCATATTTAAGACAAACCATGCACAAATTCAAAAAAAAGGATGATAGAGTCGATAGGTATGGTCTTTACAAATCGAATGATATGTCTCTCATTGCTGTAGCTTGAAAACTCTAGGAGGAGATAAGTTTGCCGTAAGAGAGGTTTTCATGTTTTCAAACTTTTCAGTAGGGGCGAAAAACCGCGGTGCGCTATGTAAAGGCATGTGACGTAGCTTAGATAATGGAAGTAAGCGTTATCTCACTTCAAAGTCAGTAAGCGGTGCATAGGACGACTACATCAACACCTTTCCGCATGGTGGCTGAATGATAACTGAGCTGCAGGTCCAGTGATAGCCATTTTATATGGCTTGGCCATAATTATCCCCATAGACTTTTGCGAAGGGACCTCACCACCCTTCCCCCTTTCAGGATCTGTCCTGAATGCATAAATCAACGTACAGAGATGGTTCTAGTACCGTTCAACGCGGCAGAAAGTAAGCTTTAAGATGAGCTTAAAAAACCAGAGAAGCCAAACATTTTTATTTTTAGGGTAGACACTCCCCTTAAGCAAAATTCTTCGTCATTAAACAATTTTTTTGTAATTTTGTTAAATAGAGCCTATACTATCCAAGGTTCTACTGTAAATGCATTTTTAGGTATGTCCCAGAGTATTACCCCAGTCCCCAGGTGGGAGTCTCTTACTACCATGTCTTGCAGAAATGGCCACATTTTGTTTTTGATTGAGGTATGCAAATTCAATCAATAAAGCTTTAAAGCCAACACATCTGCAAAATTTTTTCATGCAAAATTTTTCTATGTGGCAAATATTTTTTTAATACAGACTTCAGCAGAAGTACTTTTCAAAATATTACTTTTAAACATTTTTTTCAGGTATTTTTTAGTACTAGTAAATGTACAATTTCTTAGCTTCCTTTATACCACATAGATAGAAAAAAAATGGAAGTTTTTGCCAATATTTTCAATTTTGCAATATTTTAGTTTTGCTGCTATAATTTACCCCATGGCCTAGGACTGTCCCGACTTACCCAGCCATCCCTTATTACCCAGTTTGATGGTACACTGCTCTAGCTGAAATTCCCTTGACATCCAATTGGAAAAGTCATACTTTTTCTGAAAAATTGCAGCTCTGATATCATATAATTTTAGTAGGTATGAAATCTCATGACTCTAATGTCATGTATTTTTATTTGATTGAAAAAAATGCACTTTGCAAACATGTCATTCCGTAAAATTTTCAACTACTGCAGTACTTCAACACTCCTGCCAAAATATCCTGCATAACATCATGATGAGTCAACCCAAGACCTTTTGTTGAAGATCTCATAGTCCATGGTCAGGAAGATGTGCCTGGTGCGCGGGAATTTATTTTGTCATTTTAACGACCTGCGCAGTGCGCCGTACTATGTTGGTAAAAAAATGTGCCATGCGCCGTACTTTAGAAAGCTAAAATAGTTCTACTATTTTAGTCGACAATATACGCGAGTATATTGACTACGCGAGTCAAACTGACAATAATAAAATGTAAGACATGTCCGGGTTACTTCTGACTCTTCCGGTTGTCCGCCTTGTTGGATACGGAATGTACGGTAATCATAAACTGCGGCTGTTATACATACGAAATGTAAACAGACGGTGTTCAGTGTTGCCATATGACTTTGGAGAAAATTTATTCTAAAATAAAGATGGCCGGGATTGCGCGAACACGTGCGCAAAGATAATCAATTTTCATTACATTGCGGTGTGCGCCAACTGTGCACAGCAATAGCTTAAAAAAAGTGAAAATGCGCGGGAAAATTCACCGAAAACATACATCATCCTGAGTGTGGCTCATAGTTGAGGTTATGTGACTTATGTCAGACATGGTCAGAGCAGTCAAACTGCCTTATCATGTGTTCAGTTGCCAATAAAGTAAAGACAAATGTTATTTGTTGCAGTTTCTAGGGTAAAATTAGAGATTTGGGTAACATGTGCACAGGACTTTGTAAACAAGTTTGCGGCTTGTAAATGGCTCTTTATGGCCAAGATATGAAATTCACGGATTGAAGAAATGGAATCACAGCTGGCAAATCCATAAAACCACAGCTCAAAAAATCTAGTTGCGGTTCAGAGAGTAGATATTTTCATCACAAGCTTGACATTAGTTTTTATTGAAATTCTTGTAATATGCTATCAAGGCATGCAAAACTTCCGTTGCCAAAATCAATGACTCTGGCCTTAGTGTTTGCAAAACAGCCAAAAACTGGAATATCATCCAAAATTTTCTTAAGATTATGGGCAAAACAATTGTTTTACAGTCATTTTTGAAAACTGCAGGTAAAAATAGTCTGTTTTCTTTAATTTTCACTGAAGAAAATTTAAAATGGGAACAGCCACTGAATGGACAAAATTGGTCAGATTCACAGGTGTTTTTGTCCAATTCATAGGTGTTTTTGCCCAGTTTTCCAGTTGAAGCCTTGAAGGGTTTGCAGAGTAGAGATTTTTATGCTTGTAATCAGACATGGATTCCACCTTAGAAAATGATTGACAAAAATTTGAAAAATATTAGCATCTTGACAAAAAAAGGGTATTATTGCAGATTAACTACATCCAAAAAAAAGGGTGTTTTTTTTTAATTATATGTTTTTTGGGGTGTAGATTACGAATCTGAAATCCATTTTTGGCGGTCGGCATCGGAAAACCGATTTTTTTCGCGACTTACTAACATGGAGTCGGAAAAAAATCGGTTTTCCGATGCCGACCGCCAAAAATGGATTTCAGATTCGTAATCTACACCCTAAAAAACATATAATTCAAAAAAAAAACACCCTTTTTTTTGGATGTAGTTAACCTGCAATAATACCAAAAAAAGCAACATGAAACAGTTTGAAATCCAGCCTGGTCACTTTTTCAATGCAAAAATGTTAGGCTAGTCATGTTATGAATTTGCTTTTAAGATTGAGATATAAGCTACCTAATTTGTAATATTGCATAGAATTTTCTAAAAATGGCTAGCATGAAAGTGGTTCCAAATTATATTTTAAAAATTTGCAGGCTACAGATTTGGGAGAATTTCACAATGAACACATTTACACAGGAATTTGGTCTTATTTACAGACTGAAGGGAAGGATCTAAAAAAATCTCTGTATTGCCACTATCAAATTGACAGCCTCATCCCTCATGACAGCCTTGACAGGTAGCTCCAGTCCAGTATAATTCCCCTAGTTTGAGTCTTTGAGATAATAATGGCACTTTAGAAATAGAATCATTCAATAAAGCCATCTTGACCTTGAATTGGAATCCACACATAACATTATGTCCAATCACAATAATCAATTAACAGAAACATGTAAATTGATATACACTCTCTGTTTAGAGTGGCATCTGTTACCAATACATTGATAACCTGCATTCTTTTGGAGTCTTGGACTCAGAAGTGTGAGGCCTTGCCTGGCCCTGGATTCATTTAATCAAAAATACAGCATGTTCTTTCATATATAAAAAGATATAAATAAACTCAGACTAGATTATTGATTAGGATAAACAAATAGACTGCAAAAAAGCAAAACAAATCAATGAGTACTTAACTCACCGACAAAGTACATTTTCCTGCACTGTACTCCAGCCTGTAGCCATTCTTGTAAGCCGTGAACAGCTGAGCAGCCAGACTCTCACCAAAACAGTTCCAACATTTGTTTCGACGTAACAAATAATTTCTGACGAAATTCTATGTGGCCCAACAATTCCAATTACTCTCAAAGCAAAATTATTGAAAATTTTTAATTTCATTTAGGGAATGCAAAATGTAATAGCACAATGATTTTCATAGAATACTGAATTCCCTTTGACTTTTTACTTCTATAAAAAATCAATTTTAAAATCTAAAAACAATATTTTGTGTATTTATATGCAAATTTGCTTCAGGTTAAACAAGTTGAACTTACTATTTGATAATCCCAACTACGCATAGGCCAACCGCACTACAAAATTGTGTTAACAGGTAAAAGAACAAAAGATATCTTACTTCAGAAAGTCGACTTCCAAATAAACAGTATAATATAATCACATCGAATTATTAAACAGATATTTACTGTAATTTCGATTACGATCTCAAAGCCCAAATTGAAATTATTATTATTGAAATCGTAAATGTAGAGATAAATAAATCTGATAAGTGATAAACAACAAAGGAAGGGAACATAGAGCAAAATATGAGCGAATTTTTATAACGATTATAAATGTGCGACACGCAAAGATAAACGGTCAACGATTTTAGATATCTTTTCTTGTCAGCAGCCAGCCTATATATAACTTTTCTGGCCAAATCTTGGTAACCCGTCGACCACGTATCGTTAATTGATGTAAAAATCTGAAATAATTCCGTCCACAAATTACTGTTATTATCTACTTATTTTTTCAAATTTGAATAAAATCCGTTCGTTATTGATGGATTTATGGCTGGTTGAGTTGAAAATGAAGTTAGGTTTTCCGTATTAATAAAAAAGTAATTGATGTAAAAATCTGAAATAATTCCATCAACAAATTATTGATATTATCTACTTGTTTTTTCGAATTTGAATACAATCCGCTCATCATTGATGGATTTATGGCTGAAAGAGTTGAACGTCAAGTTAGGTTTTGCATTCGAGTGGGCAGGCCAGTTCGCATGCGAGTTCGCTGAAGTGTCGATTCGGCGGTATCTTACCGTATCTAACCGGATGATTAAAATGAATTTTCATGAATTTTTTAATATTGACCTAATTTCTTAAAAGGAAAATTAGCGAAGCAAAATAAACAAATATAAATAAATACAGTCTAAATCTTCAATGTCTCACATATCTTTATAACAAGCGGCGGTACAGAATTTTTTCTCTTGCGATGAAAAAAACAGCCCTTCTACCTAGCATAGTCACCAGAAGACTCACAATCGGCACCGGTAATGACGAACTAAGCACTTTTCACCCGCAAAATTAACTTGTGCAATATCACTTTGTTTTTGCATCGCACAAGAAGCGCTTGCACATAAACTCCTCAAACGGTGAAGTGAAAAACTTTCTACCGGTACGTGATTACGTATCCCTGCATCCAATATTTTGATCGTTCCTAAGGAGCATACCAAGTAGGCCATAGGTAAAACATTATCAACAAAATCATGCAAGGGCAGAGTTTAAAAGATCTCAGGCAGTCTGAGGCACACGTTGGCTCCGATATATATTTTTCTGGTAAGAATACGGCTACTCTTCAGATGCCCTCATGGCACCAGTATTCAAACTTCCACTGTGACTGTTTTGACGAAATTCACCCTCCTGTGATATTTACCCTCCTGTATGCAGTGCGCGGCTGTGAAGGCTAAAACCATACAACTTTTGGTCAATAGCATTTTTATTAAACGCATTTAATTTAAGAGTAAGAAGTATTAGTCTTTTTACGTCAGGCTACATTTATTTCCATTAAAAATTAAACTATGTAAACTCGCAAGTCAAGAATACTTCGCCTTAACAACATCATTGCTATAATCAGAGAGATCGACAGCAAATAAAGTCTAACTTTGATTTGCGCCAAAACTGGTAGGAAAATTTTTCTGACAGAAAACATTCAACTGAAGATGTATTTACCTGTACAAGTTCCTGACTAAATAAATACGCCAGTTGATCTCCACAGCAAAGAAAATGTGCACTGCGCAGGCAACTTTTACCCAGAGAAATGAATCACTTGATTAGAACGCTGGGACCTACAAGTGACCCAGGCTGTTGATACTGTACGGCGAGAAGCCCATGAATTATTTACGATATAAATCATTATTTTCATCTGACACTCAAAAAGATTCTGATGTTAAAAATTCGTGAGGTTCTTCTTGCTGATCCGGATTGCTTAGAAATCTCTCCTACACCTCTCAACAGAAAACAATTAGAATTATAGAACACAGATCACAATCGGATGCATTACAAATAAGCAGATTTAGCAGATTTTAGCATGAGAACTTAAAGACTAAAATTAGTTTTATTGTAAATTTTCAACATGGAAAATCAGAAATATTACAAACATTGAACGAAAGTCAACTCTAAGCATGTAGTACAAGCTCAACTAAATTCGAATGTAATTTTCAGCGTTTCCACTAATATCCAACAATATATATCAGACTTTACGGTGGTGTACAGTTTAGTGTAAGTTTGCATGCATGAGCTTCAAACCTTGAATTAGGTGCAAGCTTGCAACATTCTATTAAATTTGGCACATAATCACAATAATGTTCGTTTTGGTACAAGTTTGCATTCCAGCATTTAAGTTTTACACAAGCTTTTGTTGGTGTTCGAGTTCGGCACAAACTTGCATTAGTGTTTCAATACGGCACAAATTAGCACTGCAATGTTTAAGTTAGGTACGAGCTTTCATCGCTATGTTAAACTTTGGCACAATCTTGCACAACTGCTCCGGTTTGGCACAAAAATTCATTCAAGTTTGGCACAAAAATGTTTTGCTATTTTACATTAGATGTTTTTCCGGTACAAGATTGTTTTACAGTGTTAAGTTAGGTACGCGCTTGCATTACTGTGCTTGAATCCGGCACAAACATTCGATGAAAGGTAAGCGGAATTATAATGAAATTGGTCGTTTGATTTTTAGTTGTTGAAAGTTTGAATAGTTGGCCGGCGTGATGAGGTTTCGGCTTAGTGGATAAAGTTTCGATCCTAACAGGACATTCGTTTTTATTTCTGTATTTGAACATTCAAAATAGATAAAATAAAAAGGAAATATTGACGATGATATATTGATATTGACTGATACTAGAATCTTCTGGCAAGCGAGTATTTGGAAAGAATCAACAAATCATACATGAATATTTCTTTACAATCTCAGTCACTTGAGTAGTATTAAGCAAACTATATCTGCAACCCGCAACTTTTCTAAACATTTCTTTAAAATGCTAGGTTTAATTTGATTACAGCAATTTTTTAATCGTTTTAAGTTGTTCCGGAAAGAAAAAATAGAGTTTAATGCACAGGACAAGCATTGAGAAGAACATTATGGAGCCTGTACATGTCAGTCCAGTCCGTCCGCGCGCTGTCCATCACGATGTTGCGGATGCAGCCACGGAAGTTGTCTCTGGACTTCAGCGAGCCCTGGGGCGCGTACTCTGCAACGAATAAGTGCGTGTCAGAGGCGGCCTAGTTCTACAACTGCAATTACATCACATTTCCGTGGACAAGCATGGGCAGAGCCGGTGGATTGCTGGTTTGAACACCAATCAGCCATGATGGTACGATTAGTGTCTTTCCGAATGGCCGCGATAATTTGCGTTACTAAATTGTTTAGAGGTAAAAATTCAGTTATTCGTACATTTAGCAATTTTATGTTAGTATACAAGTCCATTAGTATACAAATAAGTGGTTATGATATAAAATAACCTGCTTTCATGCATTTGAAAGTACCAAAGTTCCCAATTAATAATTGATCGAAGCCCATATATTCAAAATACTTAATAGAAAACTCCTTTGGGTAGCTGATCAACATGATATAAAGTAAAGTATGATTATAATTAGAATAAAAGGCCCCTGAATAAAATGAACAACAATCATGCTCATCCGAAGCACAATTGCAGCGCGCTCTCTCAGCCTTATAAGTCATTCTTCATTAAATTCTATTCTAAACACGAGGCACATTACCTGGCAAGCCCCCGATGAAGAGCGGCGCCTCAACCCAAATCCTCTTGACATCGTGGGCGCCGTTGAAGCCATACGCCTCTGGCTCGTCGTCGACGCGCAGTGTGATCGAGTCTTTGACAAAGTGCGCGCGCACAGCATGCCACGCGTTGTCGCACACGCTGAAGCGGTTACGGAAGCCCACGCGGGCACCGAAACTGTGACCTTTGCTTACAGTCACGTTCAGAACCACCTACGTGGGAATGGGACAATCTTTGATTAGCGGATGCGTGGATCAATAAATAATTCAACTATCCTGAATTTTTCGCCGAAAACGCTGGATGTCATTGTTAATTCGTTGAAAATATACTAAATGATGATTGTAAGAATCAAAATGTTAATGTCAAGTATTAATTTTTGTATTAATTAAATAATACAAAAGTATTAATTAATTAGTATTAAACATTTTTTAATACTAATTAATTAATTAATTTTTGTATTAAATTTTGTAAAATGTTTATGGACTTCGGTTCAGTCGAACACATCAATTTTTTCCAAAAGAAGGCTAACAACAATCACATGTACATTATTCGCGTACGCAGCATAGAGTATTATTCACTTCATCATAAAGAGTAATTGATCCTTGGGAACATTGTAGTCCGTAGGAGAAATGAGATAAAAGTTTTTAATCGTAACTCACGGCGCCGTTGACGAGCTCGAGAGCCAGCGAGGTGCCCTCAGAAGGATCAGCTACTGAGAGCAGCACGCCATTGAGCTCCCACGTACGGAACTCGAGGGCGAACTCCAGCACCGGCCCCACACTGAGCTCCGAGCCTGGGGCGGAGGGGGAGGGGTCAAAACTGAGGCGTGAAATTACGGCAATGAGTTAATGGGCAAATATGGGATCAGGGATCCAAAACTTCCTGGAAAAAGCATTGAATTAAAAAATAGAAGGTATAATAATTTTGATGAATACTGAAATTTATTACAGGAAATGCATAATTTCAGCGCTGAGATAATGTTACTCGAAATAGAAAGAGATCCCTACAAAAATTAGTTGCAGCTTCCTCCGACAAGCAGTGAAAATTTCAAATGCGTACTTATAAAGGCAAACAGAAGATTTCACTTCTTAGGAAGCTTCTGCTTATGCACAGACAACTGCGAGGAAAAGACTAACTTTCCATAAAAAAAACGCAAAGAAAAGAAAATGGATGTGTCTCCACGTTTTAACTTTCCATCTTGAGGGGACAAGTGAAGTGAAGGCTCACTGTTGTTGTAGTTATTGTTCGTAACGGTGGTGGCGACTGGAGATAGGTCGATGATAGATCAAATTTTCAGGGCAGTAAGGCCACAGGTACGAACATCACTGTCGCGCTAACTTGTCGGAACCATTGTTTACATAACACAACACCTTGGGCAAGCCAGGTACTCATTCTTCAATCAGAAGCCGTATCTTCAAAAATAGTTTCGAGTTCGTAACTCAGTCAGCAAATCACTGACGACTTTCCAAGATTGACAGTAGAGAAATTGGTTGCTCCGTGTAATCAGGCCGCTACGTGTACTCAGGCCGCTACGTGTACTCAGGCCGCTACGTGTATTCAGGCCACTACTTGTACTCAGGCCGCAGCGTGTACTCAGGCCGCTAGGTTTATTAAGAGTCTGGGGTACCGGTCGCGGAACTCAGCATCGAGCCCGGGCCGCAGCCGCTTGTAAAATTCGCTCGCTCGAGTTTCTGCCTCAGTCCAAAGTTGGCCATCCGTCATCTGGCTGCGCATTCTCCTCCACTCCACGCATACTGTCCACACTGTCTCCATTTGTACTGATAAAAATTTCTTATTCATTTTGCGTCCATTATTGTGTAGAACTTGTAAAAATAAAACTTGTAATTACCGAACGATTTACTGCGAAGATTTACTACGAACGATTTACTACGAATGCTCGAGCATAAATACCATAATTTCATGTCAACACGTCGAGGCATACATTTTCATTACTTTTTAAAATCTCTCGAGTTCCTCAGTTACCGCAAAATTTCTCATCTTAACTGCAGACAGCGGCTTATTTTTCACTAGTACATAAACCGTTTGCTGCCAATGGGAGAATTTCAGTGCACTGCGAACAGTATCCACTGGTCTATTCTGATCATTTAGACTATTCATGATTATTTGCAACAACGATTATTTAGTTTCTTACGCAAATAATAGCCGGCTCAAAACTATTTACGCACATTGAAGAAAGCCAGGAAACTATAGTTTATGTCGGTAAAATTATTTTAATTATATTAGTGATATTAATCTGTTCACTTATTGAATGATTTTCAAAAAAATGATTACTGGTTACTTTGGAAGTTTACTGAGAGTTTCCTCTGCTGTCGACGCGAATAAAGGAATGCTGTGGATAGGGGAGGCTGTGGTTTCAAGAGGTGGGGCAGCGAACAGTAGGAAGGTGGGGCAGCGAACAACGGGGGACTGAATAATTGAGGGAGTTGGAGGAAAAGGATGAATGTAGAGAGGAATTGGTGAATGAATTAATTGCTTAAATAATTGGGTCATGTATCGAGTGCGCGTAACATATATGGGACAGAGATGTATGGTTTATTAACAAGTGTATTATTCAACGCTCCAAAACTAAGTAAAAAAAATTGAAGACAGACTTATTGTACACTTTTAATTTTACAACAGCTTTTATTTTACATTACAGTCTCATTGTCTTTCCTGAAACCTCTGTTATATGTCATTCCTAGTAATGATGTAGTCTGTTCATTAATATTATATATATTTTTTTATGTTTGGAATACTTCGTCACTGTTCAAAACAATGAACAGTCTGGGAACTGGTGAAGAAATAAAAGGCAAGAATAATCGAACGCCTCCTCTCCGAACGAAGGGGAGGTTGGAAGTTATTTATTGCTTTTAGCCAGTGGTCGTGTCAGAGTGTGGTGTGTCCCCTCGTCCCCTCACCTACCTTCTATAACTATACATAACTGTATAGTATGTATAGTTATACTATATCTATATGTATGTATATGTATGTATACTACTATAACTATACACATTAATGGACTGACTGACTGGTATCATTCATTAATAGATATTGTAATATAGCAATGTTAACTAATTTATAATTTGTAACATTGAAATGCCATCGGAGGAAAAGGGAAAAGGGCAAGGGAAGAGGGCTTGAAGCGCCAACTGACTAATTGGCATCCCGTGGCCCTTTTAAAGTACTGTACGACAATCAAGCGATGGTGAAACGACTGTCAGGAATACAAAATTTAGATGGATACAATTATTTGAAATAATATGATCGTTCATGTTGTAGTAAATGACAACTTAATAAACATGGGAACACGCATCGTAGCTTTAAAAATTATATATCTAGATTTTCCTCTTTCATTATCATATGAATCATCCTATTACAATCACAATAATAATAATTTGAATCAGTAATTCAGTATGACAGTAAGTCAGTGGGCCGAGTCTGACATTAATATTAAAAAATTATTAAGCGATGGCAAAGTATTGTTGAGGGCTCCTTTTAATCATGAAATTTTTTTACAGAAATATAATGATATGAATTTAAATACATTTCTTAGCAGTTTGTAATGAATTTCTAACATTTAAAATTTCAAGATCGACATGAATGCTTCCATGATTGCATAGTACCATATAGGTTTAGAATTCAATATGCTATATTCTAGCTCATTTAATTCAATAATTTGCATTAAAATAATCGTTCGTGTGGTAGCAAATGGGAAATTTTATATTAAATTGTGCTGTTTATGCATTCATTCTCTTCATATTTTAAAACATTATTTCGATTAACTCTTCGTAATCATCCTAACGCATGATGCTCATTTACGATCACCTTAACAACATTTTTATATTATTGAAGATGCATGGAAACATTCATCGTTAGTTTAGACCCGTTAAAAGACTCCGCAGCTTCAGACAAGGGCTTTGAAAGCTGATCGAAAGGAACTGCGAAGAGAAGAGGGAGGGAAGAAGGAATGTTTACCTTGAACGACAGAAGATTTATTGCCATAGCGGTTGGCTGCGCCTACACCCAGTACGACAATGGGTCAGGTCTTGCTTAAATCTACGGAATTTTCACTCACCACTAATAATGTCGACTAATATCTAATGCTAAAAGAATGATTCAAAAATGCTTTGTGTAGAGATCAATGAAGAATAAATAGTTAAATTAATTTGTGTCGCGAAAATGTTAGAAAATGTTGTCGCGCTAGAAAAATTCGCTCATTTTACGATCTTCATATGGTTTAAAATTTTTGTTCATGATAAAAGTGATAATACATAGTTTACATAATATATCTTACTGTCCGTTAATTGAAAATAATTAGCCAGATCACCATTCCAAATTTCAGACTTGTATCTTATTTAGGAGGAGAGTTATTGGTTGCCTTCATTGTTAAGAACCCTCATAGGGATTAACGCGCCTGGCGGCCGCTCCACCGGCCTCTTAAGGATCGACGTGTACTTAAGCGAGTTGTCACAATACGTCCCTAGAATAATGCCTATAATGGCTGAGTTGGCCAGCTTATAATTCAAGTCTCACTGTATATGGCGTAGGCGTCGCCAGGGAAGTAGGAGCCTGGCTGGACATGAGCGAAGCACTGGCCCACCCCCACCAGATGGTCAGCGCGCGTCTTCTGTGGGATGTCCCAGCGCTCCGAGTTGACGATGAAGTTACGCAAGCAACCTCTTAGAGGGTCCATGGGCTGCACGGGGACAGGCAAATGGCTCAATAAAATATGTTTATTATCTTACTTGATGAAACAATATTAGCTCAATTAAATAGATTTATTTTCTTACTTGGAGTATCGATATGAACTCAATAAAATACATTTATTGCCTGACTTGAAAACAAAAATAAATCTTTCAAAGCATTTAAATTTTTGCACACGAATAATGAACAACTAGACAATTTTACACATCATCAGCACCGTTTCTTATTAATAAAGCCTAAAGAAATAAATAGGCAGAATCTAATACTATTATTAGATTGTTATTAATAATTGTTATTATTATTATTATTATTCGAATATCGTTAATTATTAATATTGTTATCATAATATTATTAAAAACAAATTTAAATTGTTGCAAATAATACATATAAACAGAATATTTCACAGCTTCACAGGACATTGGGCGCAGTAATTTCAAAGAAAAAATGAAGAAGCCGGAGCAAAGTCCTACCTGAGTGTGATTGGACTCCGTGAGAGTATCGGCAAGTCCCCCGATGTAGACTTGCGAGGTCTTGACGATGCGACGGGGGACGAGGGCGCTGGAGACTTCGTCTTCAGAGTCCACAGCGAGGAGCATCGTCTTGTCTTGCTTCTCCAGCAGCACCTGCGCCAGTCGTTTGAAAAACGCAATTTAAATTACGAGAAAGAATTCATTGACTTTCTTGCACATACATGATTTCGCATGAAAATAAAGTAAATCTATATTAACGATTATTACCTTCGTAATGATGCTTTACAGCACAAAATATTTTTTAAATGTAAATTAATATTGATCAAGTACGAAATATAATTTTACATTCTCAGGACTATTTCTGCAACAATTTGCAACACAGAGGAAGCATAGCTGACGGCACACAAACTACAAAACAACTGAATATTTGAATAAGATATCCCGCACCACACACGAGCATATATCTGATATCTGAAGCAGAGATGGGCACAAGATATCATACACCACAATAGAGGGTATCATAAAATATCATGCACCACACTGCAGCTGTTGGAAATTTCCGATGTTCTTAAGTTGTGACATTTTGGATTCTTTTTCTCCATACCTATCGTTAGGCAAGGGTTTGCAAATAGCAGAGTTGGCATTGTAACTTGATGGTGAGAGCACTGATCTTGTACGCGTTTCGGCAGTCTGTTTTTAACGCCATACCTTCTTAATTCTATTTTTTGTTAGAGTGATCACTCTCAGTTTTCATTATGTTTATTTGAGTTTAAATGCATGTTCGCTCTTGCTTTATTTAGGAGGCAGATACCGACCTAATCTTTGGCATTGCCCTTTACTGTGGTATAACCACCTTTGCCGTAGGCTTATAAACTTAAGTTAAATTCCTCGATATATATTCCTACCCAAATAAGAAGAACCGAGTTCTTCCAGCTAAATTTATTATTGCTTCGGAATCTGCCTCTCCTTCTACTTTCAAAATTGTCCCTTATATGCATGGCCTCTTATTTGCCTCTTAAAAGTGTTTACCGCTTAGTCGCAAAAGATTTTAAGGTGGGTTCAAGAGGTTGCTATAAACTTGTGAAACAGCGTGATATAGATTAAATATTAATCAAAAGCTTTGTAGGTCGACTGTTTGCATGAGTTTGAAGCTATTGTTTAGCTTACTTCCCATAGAATAACTATTACTCTGGTGGTCTCCGTCTGCAACTTTTTTGACTCGAGACCGCAACCACTTAACTATAATTTCGCTACTTGCCTGTTTCTGAGGTGTGTGGTTTATTGTTCCATTATTTGTACATGTCGATTATTGAAATATTTGAGTCATATGAATTAACTTTCAATAGCTGGAATCTAAAGGCTCTGTTTGTTTATTTTACAGTTATGTTGGGTCGAGTATTCATCTGTTACGACGAACCTGTACTAGGTCGACTAAGCTGTTGGAACTTATTTTCGGACCGATTGTCAACGAGCTTGACTTAATTCCGGGACAAACTGGATCCGAGAATTAGTTTGCTAAATAAAAAATTTTTCTGGGAAAACCTTTGTTTAAGCCTAACACAGCGTGTCATAACATATCATGCACCACACTACAGCGTATTTTGCTATTACTTATCAGCCCCCAGGACCGCCTTACCTTCTTCCACACGCCGGAGTTGAGGCCGGACGCCCTGGAGATGACGACGATGGGCTCACGTCGCCTCCTGCCGTGCGTCGTCACGACCACGCGGCCGTTCTGCAAGCTCAGCGTCAGGAAGCCGCGACGACGTCGACGATGATGATGGCTCACGTCATCGCCGGGTTCACGCTCAGGCTGACGATGAGCAGTCATGGTCAGCAGGAAAAATAACTATCTTTATAAAATGATGGAGACTAATAATACTACATACGCTAAAATTCGATATTTATTAATAATTCGAATGTTTAGATTTAAGTGTAAATGAATGCATTGATACATCAATACTACGGAACTCAGTTGATGCAAATAACTTTAATAAACTGACACCGCGCTATGTGTAAATAAAATGAATGATTTATTTTAGTTTCACCTGAGCATGGAGGAAGAGTCCGTTAGGATGATGTGTCCTGAACTCGAAGGATAGACTGAAGTCCTCAGCGAAGGTGGACTTGGGGACGGGGATGAGGGCGTGAGAGGACGGAGTGTCGCCAAACTTGAGGGCGCCGTACTCCAGCGTGTGCTGCGTGGGCGGCTGGCACGACTCTATTTTCTGTTGAGGATGAAACGGGGACACGAAATTGATGAACGAAAATTATAATGAAAGCTTAGCATCAACATTACAACTTTACTGTCATTTATTGGAAAATCTTTTCATTATAATAATACTATTAAAAATTTAACATCAATTTTTCGCTGCAGAAATATAGAGCGGCTAGTACAGAATAAAGTATAACAGTAACAGATGGCTTCACCTTGACGAGGACAAGTGAAAAGACACGATCTGAGCCCTCTCGTAGAGTTAGTATAGCAGGATTATTTTAACAGCTATGCAAAAGTGCGTGAAATTGTATTAAAAGTATACAAGTATACAACGAACTAAAATTTTTTTAAATCTCTTGTAAAAATAATAATGCGCAGCAACAAGTACTAAATTGCGCACTTTTTGACTCTCATGGCCTCGAGTAGTAAAAAATACAAAGTCTGCTACTTACCGAGTATGGACATTTTCAAAAACAGACTAGACGAAGCTATGCAGGAGCATATGTTTAGTCTTAAAATGGCTAGCAAATTACGGACCAGGCAATAAGTCCAGCAGCTATCTCAATCAATCGTCATTTATGGAAAGATCGGGTTCCAAAGGCCGGATCCCATGTGAATCAAGTCACGAAAAGTTTCAAGAATTGACAACAGGCCATGGGCCTATTTCTTCAGTGCCGACACTTCTATTCTATTCTACATCAAATAAATAATCTCATAGCAGCATAAAATGCAAGTGTACCTTGACATCGCGCTCCATGCCCCGTATGGCGTTGGCGGGCAGGTCGCCACAGCGTCCGATGTACACGCCTTGGAAGCGCGTCGGTCTCGTGAACGACACCACTCTGCGGCAACAGTGTAGTGAGATGTGTAATGCTGACGATGTAATGAGGTACTTGATGTAAATAACTTAATGAGAGCTCAGATATTAATAATTTAATTAGTGGTTAGATGTTAACAATTTAATGAGAAATCAGATGTTACCAATTTAATGAGATGTTAGATGTTAACAATTATAATTTAGAAGTTAGATAAAAAAAATTGAACGAGATGTTAGATGCTAATGATTTAATGAGAGATTAGATGTAAAGAATTTTTTGAGATTATAGATGGTAACAATTTAATGAGAAGTTAGATTTTAACAGTTTAATGACAGGTTATCTATTCGACTACATCAGCGGTACGCTTCAAAACGGTATCCGATAATCTATTCCATATCTGATACTCTTCGTCGTGTAGTACATTAAACCATAGTGACGAAACTTGACAATCGCAGCCATTTCACTTAAAAACGGGCAGCTTGACGCAAGAGACTAAGACGTTAACCAAAGTGCAATCTGTGCTTGGAATACAACGATGTGGGATATATTCTTAACGTCACCGCATTATAGTTTAATAATTTGATAGCACGGTGAATATTACGCTGCCGAAGTTCAGTTTCAAAAATAAATTCAGCAACGTAATCATTATTATCTATGGAGCACTACACTGCAAAGATTAAGTAAATCGAAATTCCGAAATTAGACGACCAACGTACTTATTATTGACGATGACGTCACGGATGCATCCCTTGAAGGGCGCCGTGGACCCGACCATGGAGACGATATCGAGTCCCTCAGGTACGCCGCCGAAGTAGAGGCCTCCTTGACTGGGCCCTTGAATGATGGTGCCTCGCCGGCTCAGGCGAGTCACGTTCACCGCGCGGTCGTTCACCAGCAACGTGATTCTGGACAATGAAAGTTAACAGGATTTAATGACATGTTGCACTTGTACTGCATGGGATGGTCATAGATACGTGTCATTTCAGTGATTCAACCTTACTTGATTTTCAATGGAAAATTCAATGCGAACGCTTAAATTTTTGCAGGAATTTATTCATTTTCACGAGGACTGAAATAAAGCATCTGGATTTTGATTAACGACAAAGTTTCTGCTGACTCGCTAAGAGTAGAAACAGGAATGTCAAGTAATACCCACTTCCTGTTTTCCCTGAGTACGAAGAAGGAGTGCGGCGTGCCATCGTTGAATGTTTCTCTGGACAGAAGACGATGTCTGTTGTCGCCGGCATACAGACGCAGGTCCAGGTGCCCCTCCACCAGGCTCACTGAGTAGAAGTCGGGTGGGTGCTCCCGCATACCTTCAGGCAGCGGCTACGACAAATGTGGGACAATTCAACGAAAAGAATATTAATTATAAGTAAATTTCTGTTTTTTTTTACTTCCGATTTTAATAGTTCTAACACGTAAACTAAGTTAAAATGCACCCTAGTGCAGCTAAAAATTCAGTGAAATGAATATTTACTATAAGTAATATGTTCATGTATTTATATTTTTTATTCTAATAACGATTCATTTTTAAAACGGGGTCTCAAAAACAAAGAGGAAATCTGAAATCCCAGTGGAACGACTGCAAGAAATTTGAGGACTATAATGTTTTTAAGGTAATGGAAAAAAACATGTCATTAAAAACAGGCGTAAGATAAGCCCTTGAGGTTGAGACGTTAAACTTTCAGAACGAGAACAACCATAACTGCTGGACAAACCGGCCTAAGGCTAATACAGCATAAGAATCACTCAATTATCTCATTTCATTAGATGAATTTATATTCGCACAAAAAATCTTTGGGTTTTAATTGATGATAGCTACAAGTGGGTAGAATTGTTCATAAATTTATCATTTAATCCATAAACTGAAATTGTATTCAGGATTAAAAAATATCAGCTCCGACTTTATGGTAAGTTAGTAAACGCATGCATCTTCGAGTGAAGCAAAACTGAAGTGCGTGCAAAGAGAAGGTCAGGATAATTATAAAGAACAACAAATAAACAGGCATGCAGAGAAGCAATGAAACATTCAATGCAGCTCTCACCGTCTGATTTCTCAGCTTCAATTAATGTCAAAATTAAGAAAAATTGTACAGGCACATGCAGCGTGTTAGATACACGCGCTCAGCTGTAAGACATTGTCGAGGTAGAGTTCAGGTAGAACAATAGCAATATTAAATCGCAAATCAAGACCTATGCTTGATATTGAAAGGGATAAAGACAGAAGACTAAGAGGTGTCACGAATCACGTAGTGAAAGAGTGCGTAGTCAGCTAAGGACAATTAAAAATTGATTAAAACAACATGTGTAATTTGCAAAACAAGATAGTACGCTAAGGCCGCTTAATTTATTACCTACGCGTTAAACGGACAAACTAAAATAAATTTAAGGCTTTTTACACTGCTGATATTTAAACATAATTGGCTTACAGGAGTTAGAAAACAATTTTTTTCTCACAAAACGATTCGGCAAATTTTTAAAACAAAACAAGCAAAAGTTCCTATAAAAACAAACATAAAAGTCCAATAAAAAGTTAGAAGACATTGCAATAGATTGAGCAAGCCATGCAGAAATACTTGCGATGAATTTGCCTACAGATGGCGCTGTGGTGGCAGTCGCCATGGCGTCGGAGTCACCACCCTTGAGGAGAAACACCACACGAGCGTCAGTTGCCTACGCGCCTCGAACGAATATCACCTCAAAACCATGACAAGTTAAGTCGACTCGTGTTGTTGGAATTATTTAAAACGATACGGTGTTGAACAAATGCTGACCTCGCATGCAAACGAAGTTAGTAATTTCCAGAGAAGTAGTGTACTTGAAATCAGGAAAACGAGTTACTTGAGCTTCACGTCGTCGTAACGTGTATTATTTTTGCTTAAATTTGTAATCTGGATTGTTTGAATGCACTGCGGTTCATGTGTATTAAAAGCATAAGTTATTTTAGAGATTCCGACAATGCTCGAACTGAAATTACTTCATTTGTCATCATATGGTCCCCCTTTCAAGTTACTGTTACAAAAAAAACCGTCGGATCGGCGTTTCAGTGGCCGGCTGTACGTGAAGCGGTAACATGAAATGAAGCAGTTTCATTCAGTTTAAGTTGGCAAATTAAGTACAAAACATCGTGATCGAATTTTGCGAGACAGCAAGCCACTAGAACGCGGGTCCGATCGTTTTTTCACCAGTTTTTCGAACAGTGAGCCCTTAAGTCTTCGTTCACTGTAAATGCCTTGATACAACTTCTTCAACCAATTTTTTGATCAATTAGTACCATTTAGACAACAATACATTTGTTACAGTCAAATAAAGTACAGTCAATAAAGAACAGCGAGAGAAATTATTAATATTGAGTACAGTGAGATAACGCAAGTTAGATGAACATTTTTTTTGAGATTCAATAGGGAAAATTTGTGTTCTAAAAACAGATACGTAATGGTGTCAAAAAATATTGTATCAAGTTGATTTCCTTAGAAAATTTATATCAGTTTTATTGTAGGAGATGATAACTGAGAAATTAGAAGTGTTATGTTGTTTGACAGGAACCATTGGTCAACACGGAACAAAATTCGATCAAAATCAAAATACAAGAACTACATATGTTTTGTGTAGATAACGCCCCCATGTCAAATTGTTTACGTTGATATTTTCCAAAAGCGAGCACCTCTTTTCCCCTACAGTGCAGTGTTTTCACCGACGTTGTGTAGAACAAAACCGATGTTAAATTTTTCTTTGGCGTTACAAAAAACCTAGAAAAATCCCGGTTGGCGCAAAGTCATAAATTATTAAGCATAATGGAAGAATAAATATCAGCATTGGCCAAACGTTGCGAGGCTGCCTTACGCAGTCGATATTATAATAAAAATTAATTATTATAATTTTGGTAATTCAATTTTTGCTTCACTCGTACGGAGGTCAAGAACCTTGAAACCCTGCAATTCTCATTATTGAAAAAGTGTTGATACTGAAAGCTTGAAGCTGAAGAAGATCAACTTTTATTAATAATGATTAAAATGGTAACGAAGTGGGTCAGGGAATAACTGAGTCACGGGAGTGGATCAGGGAACTGGGTGAGGGGATACCTGAGTCAGGGGATACCTGAGTCAGGGGATACCTGAGTCAGGGGATACCTAAGTCAGGGAATACCTGGGTCAGGGAATACCTGGGTCAGGGAACTGGGTCAGGGAAATGGGTCTGGGAAGTGAGTCATGGAAGTGGGTCAGGGAAGTGGGTCATGGAGGTGGGTCAGGGATATGGGTCAGAGAATACCTGTCCGACGAAGGTAGAGAGCAGCAGCAGGGCGTCGGCCTCCATGGTCTGGAAGGTGAAGCCGAAGTTTGAGTCGCGGCGCAGCTCCTGCGAGGCGAGCTCGATGAAGCCATCGCCGCCCACGAAGCCAACCTCGTCCAGGGGCTGAGCGAATGATAATAATTAAGTGCTTACAATAGAAGGTATTAGGCATAAAGTTCTACATTTTATTGAGTAGAATTCAATTTTATTGCAGTAAAGAATCGAATGCAGTTAAGTATGCGCGGGGCGGCTGCGTGGTTAAGAGGGAATTCGTAGTTAAGAGGGTTAAGAGGGAAGTTAAGTTGGGAATTCGAGACTCGCAATTATAGTTGTGAATATACCAGTCAAAATCGGCAAGGTAGCCAGGTGCTTACAAATCGGCGACAGGCCAACCTGACTTTATTAAAGCTGTCATCACTATGGTGTTTTTGGTGCCATTTTATATTAAGCGCCATGTTGAGTTACTTGAATTCACTCTCAAGACTTTTCCTGGTAAGAAAAATCACTTAGTACGATTCTGTGCACCATTGTTAGATTTTTATCCATCCTATAAATCGAATACTTGTGACAAGGACTCAGGAACATGGCAATTGAATATCCTACTGAGCAGCTGTTGTTAATCTTACCTTCTCAGAGCAGGAATTTTCTATGCCGTAAAACTGGCCGTCGGTGAAAGGGTTGCGTCCGGAGCCCTTGACGGAGAGGCTGGACATGCAGCCCAGCATGGACTGCAGGACGACCTGGTCACCCCACCTGCAGCAGCAATGTTGGGGCTCGTGCGCAAAATTTAATTTTATAACAAATCAGTATTTAGACCGTTTAGAATTTGACATTGAGAATTACTTGTTAATAAAACCAAAATATTGTTTATTTAATCCCATTTCAGTGAAGAACTGAAAACTATTTAAAGGAAAACCATTTTTGGGAAAAATTTTCACTCCAAGTAATCACTGAAGGCCACGTCAAATAAATGTGGTTGCTTGAAAAAATCCAGAGAGGCAAGCAATTACTAGATATGCTTATATACGTCGAAAATGTAAAGATCTAACCTTCTTCTATCGAACTGCGGATCAACTCCACCGAAGTAGAAAGGCTCCATGTCGAGATCTAAATCAGTGCCCCCGCTGACAGTGGCCAGCTGAGAGTCGGAGCCCGCAGACAACTGCGCCATGTGCTTGCCATCTAAAAATAAATCTTCATATACAAATTCTGATATTAACAAAAAAATTGAAGTAAATGAAGTCTCCGAGAAACCCTATGCTTTCAAAATTTCTGCTAAAAATACGCGCATTTTGTCAATAATAAAATCCATGAGGAAAACGACTTGAATTAAGATAAATCATGAAACACTTCAGAGTTTCAGGAAATTATTTCTCTCGGACTACAATGGCTTTAAGAAAGCTATAGGAAGAGACGGATGGTTTTGGTGGAAATTGAAATATATGACAGGATCAACTTAACAGAGCAAAAACATTAAGAGGAAAAACATTAAGATGGCAAACATCAAACCTGTGGCGATGTTTGAGACGGTCGCCGTGATGGTCGTCATGTCGGCAACATTGTTGAGACGTTTTTCAGATTTCATGACCAAATGCGTACGCTCGTCGTAATGAACTCTAAGAACAATATGGCCTTCCTCCACCGTGATGCTGATCAGTTGATTCTGTTGAAGAAAATTCAGTCACAGTAAAAGTCGTGTACGGACGACCGATGTCATGTTTTCAACTCATAGACATTATAAAGTGCCGTGTAAGGTGCGGTCAATGTCACGGTTTCAGCATTTCACAATTACTCATTATATATCTCGACGACATTGTTCTTGCACAAATATGCTTCATCAATCGCTTGCGTAATTAAACCACAATAAATGAAAAACTAATTTTTACCAGTGCGATAGATGACATTTCAAAAACACAAGTAATTTATGGCAAAAACGAAATAAGGAGAAAATGCCGATTTAAACCAGATTAGGAACATTCACAGATTTGTTTATAAATAAAATCATGAGGCAACAATAAAGAATAGACAGGCACTTACGTTTCAACTCTTATTGCGCTTACTTATTAATTAATAGACAAAACAATTGAATTGTGCGACTGATACGCGAGAAGTACGAAAAATAAACTGCAAATGGCAGAAATAAATATGTTTTGGAAGTTTATTATTTAAATAAAGCGATTTGGGTTAGTATTATAGCGTTGTAAACGACGCAGATAGAGCAATATGAATAGATGAAAATTCAGCCTCTCCACAAGTCCGTCTTGATCAAGTCTGTATCTGTCAAGGGCAAGACACTGCCGGGAGCTGAGAGTGAGCAGTGAGCACCTTAGCTTCGTTGGTGACGAGGAAGAGCAGTGCGTGCTCGTCGAGCGTGATGAAGGCGAGCACGACGGAGTAGTACCGTGGCCGGGAGATGCGGGACGGGTAAGGCTCGCCCTTGAAGTACCCCATGCCGTTAAAACCGAACGCAATCTCGTCCTCCTGGCGAGTCACGAGCTCCACGCTGATGTAGGACATGGGCGTGTGAAGTATTGTATAAAGTATTATAACTACGAACTAGAGCTCCACCAAATTTATAGGCAGTTTCAAAATACAACCATTTGTAATGACAATAACAATTCCACAGCTATCGGATGTGGGAAACTGATCTAGTTAAAAATATGCCTATATTAAATTAAATTATAAATTTTTTAGTGGAATATACAACACTAATAAAACACATCAAAATTTTACATTTAAGAGTAGAAATTTAAAATCTCTATTTTGAATTCAACTACTTATATTTTTAACTACGGTACTCGTAATATAGTCCAAATTGCAAGACAGCGACGCTAAAGCTGCCGCTGCTTGCCAGTCGACACGGCGACACGCACCCTTCGTTGCAGGCCGCGCAGCCAGCGCTGGCCGTGAAGTTCCAGAGGCCGAGGTTAGCGCCGTCGATGGTGGCGTAGTGGAGGCAACCCGCGAACTGTGATGTGCTTAGTCGCTCCAGCGCTGCGGGCGGCGCCCCTCCTGCACACCATACCAACCAATGAAACATTTCTTATGACAGGCAAAGGCAAATTTTTCATCGAGAGAATTTCCAATAAGGAACACGATAACCAATAATTGGTACCTAAACCTGATCGGTTTTCTTCGCAAAGGAAAACACCGGCCCTTGCAAAGAAAAATTTTTCACCAAAAAGGCTTCCCAAAAATAAAGACTTTAAACAAATTTTAAACCCTAAACATAATCTGTTTTCCTGACCAAGCCAGACGCCGGATGAGCCTTGCTGCAGGTTAATGTTAGTGAAGCCAGGCGGCGACTGATCCTGTACAGGCTCAGCGAACTGCAGCAGCAGCGGCAGGCCCTCGGTGTTGGCAGGCCGGACCTGCAGCTGTCCTATGTTGCCGACCCGACGGAAGTCTATGTGGTACCTGTAGACATGATGCGGTCAAGCAATAATTCAATAATTAATAAAACCGAAGCAAATTCGGTGCACATGAAATGATGAAAGATAAACATAACACAACGAACAAATTATTAAAGTTACTTGAAAACCATATACAAAGTATTTTAAACTAAAAAAATTATATACATAAAAAAATCAAAGGAAGTCACGATACTAAAAAGCAGGCAGCGTCTCAAGTATTACCATCGCTTGTCGTTGGACACGGCGGGGGTGTTGGTGAGCAGCTCCAGGGGGTGACGCAGGGTCTGCGCCCCCCCACCCACGTCCCACGTCACCTGGACGCGCCTGTTGCGCATCTCAACCGCCACGAACTCCGACCCGTTGTTGTTGCCCATGTAGAGTATGAGTGCGTTCCTGTCACGCATGCGTGTCATTACATGTAGAGTATGAGTGCGTTCCTGTCATGCATGCGTGTCATTACATGTAGAGTATGAGAGCGTTCCTGTCACGCATGCGTGTCATTACATGTAGAGTATGAGTGCATTCCTGCCACGCATGCGTGTCATTGCATGTAGAGTATGAGTGCGTTCCTGCCACGCATGCGTGTCATTACAAGATCTCAACTTGAGGGTATAGGTTTAAAAGCTAGCAAGCCGTTGTATGACTCCAGGTCCTGGGACCGAGATGAGATATCTAGTAACTTTGTTAACGTATAACAGTCCTTGGTTTAGATTGCGAAATATCGTGGCCTTAGACTTCGAACATACACGATGAAAAATCATTATAAATTCACGTTACTCTGAAATATTCACGGAACTACACAGTGCGCTATTGAACTAACGTTTTTTTTTTTGTACCGATGTATCGTAGGTACCGCACCGACCTTTCTTCTTCATTTGATGAATGAGAAATGAGAGGCTCGATCTTATAAACAACTTCGACTAGATATGCATTTACATCAATGAAAATATTAAAAAAATAGAAACAATGTTACTATTGTTGCTCAAACACAAAAGTTTAGAATAGAGATTTCTTGAAGTTTTGAACTGATGATGAAGGCGAAAGTTTTTCATGAAATTTTGGCGATATGTACTCAGTTTTTTATTTGCTTTTAAATTCTGGGCCAAGGATAGAACATTCAAATTACTGCTCAAAAATATTACACTGAACCAATTTTTAATGTTATGCAACATTGCTGAAGACTAAACAATGAAATGCAACATGCTAGTGGACGTGTTGACGTAGCGGTACCTGTGATTAGTGTTGATGGCGTAGCATAATAATTCTGTTGCATAATTTGAATGCTATGCAACAGAACATTTGAATGTTATGCAACTAAACAATGAGATGAAACATATGATTTGACGTGTTGACGTAGCGGCACCTGTGTTGAGTGTTAATGACGTAGTAATTTTATTGTATAATTTTAATGTTTTGCGACAGTTCTGGCAAGTAAGCAATGAGATGAAACATTCTAGTTGACGTAGATGAGCGGTAGAACAGAGAGCAGAGTGAGCGGTAGAACAGAAAGCAGAGTGAGCGGTAGAACAGAGAGCAGAGTGAGCGGTAGAACAGAGAGCAGAATGAGCGGTAGAACAGAGAGCAGAGCAATATAGCAGGGGGCCGAGTAGATAGCTGAGCAAAGTGAGCAGGAGAGCCGAGTAGAGGGCAGAGCAAAGTGAGCAGTAGAGCAGAGAGCCGATTAGGGACAGCAAAAGCCCGGATTTTGAAAACCATATTTCTAATCAAATATTGGAAATAATTTCACTATAACAAATCACTCGATAATTTTTAAAATGTCGCACCTCGTTAACTGGCAAAAATAAGACCCTTATGACGTGCATTTGACTCAGAATGATAGAATGACTTTCTTAATATTGAAATTTGAAAGAAAGAAGAACTAAGTAAGTACTAATAAAAAACTGCGATAGGGAAAAAATTTCTAATTCAACTACACTGTAATCAATCCATGATAAAATTAAAATTGATCAATCGACAGGCGTGAGCGGGTCTTTTGTTCTAAACTACTTTCGAACACGAAAATTCGAAATTTATCTTACGCTTGGGCTAATATTAGCGCTTAGGTCTGTCACCGGACGCCGGCCGCAACTATTAAACTTGTCGGAATGGTCAGAGCTCCACGGCCAAACGCCGGTAATTATCTTGTAAAAAGTTCAATTGCACTTTATTGCACTGGGATTCCGTTCATTAAAAGTTCGGTGACACGGTAAAACTTAGTTTTATTTCAGCAAAGCACTTTAAAGGGATACGTTTAAAAAATAACAGAACAAGCACGATGGACATTACACTGCTTGATGGAGCATATAGAGCACAGCCACACAAGAACTAGCGTTGGAGCACCAGATCGCTAACGGAGGAACGGAGCTAGGTGTGTTCAGGCTAGAACCTCACTGAAGGGCTGGCGGGACACGACTAACTACCTGACTCACAGCCGCTCAGACCTGACCCTGCACTACGTCGTTCCAACGGCTGTAAGGTCTGATTCACATGTTACAGACGCAGCTTCGCCAGACGTAATAGAATAATTTCGCCAGAATGAACAAAAATGCATATGAGAATAAATGATCGTATCAATCGAATAATGAATATTGGTGAACGATGTTCATCGTTCACAGGTCAACAAGAAATCATCACTCACAGTCCTTCCTGATATCAACAAGGCAGCAGGACTCACAGTCTTCCTGATATCAACAAGGAACCATCACTCACAGTCCTTCCTGATGTCGTTGATGACGGAGGCATCGAAGTCGTTGACGTCGCTGGCGAACTCGAGGAACCTGGTGAGGTTGCTGTGCATGACGTTCACGTGGCGCGTCGTGTCGTCGAGGTTACCGTGCGTCTCTTCGACGCGACGTAAGGCGCTCAGGATGCTGGCCGTCATGTCTACAAATAAACTGAAAAGTGACGCAACAAATAAACGAGCACCATTTTTTTACGGAGTATAATACTTTCTTCAAACTTTGAGATAACATAAGTGGAGGCGGCAATGAAGGCATCATTCATTTGGTCAGCAATGAAAGGCGTCGTCCATATTATTTATCCATCATAAAATTGTTGGGAGAAGAAACTAATTTCCCGATGTTGTAAAATAGTTTCATAGTGTCAGTCATTCAAAATTAATAGAAGTTTTATATATAAATTAATAATATATATGACATCATGTGTTTACGAACCAGTTTGTAGTTGCGTGTCCACCGCGTTGTTGATCCCAGTCAGTTTATCGGAAGTTCGTCCAAGGGTGAAGCGAGCTCCGGCAAGCAGATCCTGCTGGCGCATGAGATCCTTCTGCAGACCGTCAACCTTCGCCTGCAGGGCGCGGCCCTTAGTACCGAGGTCCTCGGACGACTGGCGAGACATCTTCGCCTTCCGTACGAGGGACTCGCTCGGGTCTCCAGGATACGCCTGCGGGAGAAATTGGTCCATGAACGGCGATAGTAAAAGATCATTTACAAACCACGAATGTTAAGATGGCCATTAATTTAATTGTTAGATTCGAGGAGAGTATATCCATATCGAAAATTTGTTTTCACAATATGAGTTGCTACAAGATTTTTAAGAGAATTTAATTTCCAATGGCATCAGATAACTGAATTAGGACGTGAAATTCTATCACTAATCCGATTTGCTTTCTGATTCCGTTCGTTTACATGTGCATAACAGTGAATACAAATCTTAATTGTTTTCACAATACTCTAATCCTAGGTTGGCTGGTTTCTGGGTCTATAGCCGATGTAAATACATTTACATATGAGTAGTACACTGCTGTCATTTATAATGTAATTCAACAGAACATATTGATTACAAAAGCAACAATAACACATCAGCTATCCCATTAACACAAAATTCTTCTTACAACAAGCATTAGATGCAATAAGAGTAAACACAGCTGTAAAAACCTTGAAGGGCCGTACTAGTTAAACTTGAAATAGTTAACTTAAAACAGTTAAGAGTCCATCAGCCCGTCACTGACGGCTTTTGAACTAAACTTACAGATCACAGTGAAGAAATCGGCTACCCCGTGTGCTTAGGCCACTGCGTGTACCCGGGCCGCTACGTGCGCTTAGGTCACTGCGTGTACCCGGGCCGCTACGTGCGCTTAGGCCACTGCGTGTACCCGGGCCGCTACGTGCGCTTAGGTCACNGAGTTCCTGTCTCTTATACACATCTAGATGTGTATAAGGGACAAGACCCCATGCAGGAGGTCGGACAAGACCCCATGCAGGAGGTCGGGCAAGACCTCATGCAGGAGGTCGGACAAGACCCCATGCAGGAGGTCGGGCAAGACCCCATGCAGGAGGTCGGGCAAGACCTCATGCAGGAGGTCGGACGCACCACTTGGAAGGCGGCGTTGGCAGCGTCGGAGGCGTTGCGCGCGGCCTCCTCGGCGCTCCTGAGGGCGTCCACGATGCGCTGGTACGCCTGCGCCGCTTTTAGGGGTCCCACGGCGCCCACGCGCGTCGCGTTGAATAAGCTGACCAGGAACATCAGAACAGATAGAGTTAACTGTCGCTTTTATTTTGGCGTTAAATAAACAATAAACAGTCACTGTTATTTCAGTAGAACACATACTGCAGCATTACGACACGAGTTACTTTAATGCAACATTATGAAGCATATAAGTTAATTAAGCGCAGCTCAATAAGACATGTAAACAAGGACGCACTCCTCGAGCTGTATGGCCTTGGCAGTGAGGGCGAGCGCGTGGTCGTGCGCAGGCTCGGCGTAGGTGACGCGGTACTCGGCGTTGAGGCGGCGTAGACGCGCCTCGCCGGCACCCAGCGCGCGGGAGGCGTTACGCAGGTCAGGCAGCTGCGTCACCAGCACCTGCAGTGCAGTTAAATAAAATAAACTTACAATGCAATAAAATGTAATAAACCTACAAATGATTTCGATGGATCAATTACGAAATTTTGGAACTAGAAGTTCTGATAGTGATGACGTTCCCTAAGTTCTTGAAGTTCCCTACATTTTTTGTCATACACTTTTCAGTAAACTAGTCAAATAAATTGAATCTATTATAACAAAATATAAAGATAGCCACGAATTTCTTAGTTAAGAGAAAATTTAGTAAAGCGAAGTGAAAAACAGCACTCCGTCAACGAGATTAATTTAAAATATTTTATTTTTTTTTTACTGAGAACTTATCGCGTACTTCCGATGAGAGCTTTTCCCAGTAAATGAAGAAACCGTTAACATATAATCGTAGGTTTTATGGGTTTCAAAATCTGGGAAGTAATGAATCAATCGTATTAAAATAAGTGGTCGATAGTTTTAATTGATGATAATACAAAATATTTTTAGCGAACCGTTCGTGGTAAAATTGTGTCAATTAATTTCCATGGTGAGAATACGAAATAGATTTGATGTTATAAATTAAATGTAGGGCTGCGGTGCATTAGACGAGAGTGTCTCAGTGGTCTCAGTACAGACCACAGAGATTGGAGCAGTGAATTGTCGGTTCGGTCGCGGCTACTTGCGACACTTCTGATCAATTCGGCGAGTTAACCGGGCGGTTAAGCTCAGCAGAATTGCAGCAGTGTGTTGCGTGTTCGAGACAGCAACCAGCTGTGAATATTCTGCGAGGTTCAGAATAGGCGACAGGTCTAATGTCCCACTCTAATGACACCGCTATAACCATTATACTAAAGGGTACCCGATAGTTATCCTTGGTGCGGTTGAGGTTGCGCTCAGCGTCCCGCAAGAGGGCGCTCGAGTTGTAGTTTGTGTCGCGCACGCGGATGTTGTGCTCGTCGATGTCGGCCATGAGGGTGGCCATGCGGCTCAGTCTGGCCTCGATACCGCCGTTCATGATGGCAGCCTGGTCAAGGCAGTACAAAATTCATTTTTTATTTGCTTAAAATGATCAATTTTTGAGAAATTCAAAAAAATAAATTATCACAAATCGTATGCCTTCTCAGGTCAATGACTTATTTTGGAATGCATCAAAGTAAGAGACTAAAAATTTGAATCAAAGCAAGATTTGAACATAACAATCAACAGGTATAAAAGCTACAATCGTGATTACTTGAACACAGGTCAGCAATAATTATCTATTATTCAAGTCTCAGTGGATGATTGCTCACCCCAATGTTGAATTAGTATATATAGTTCAACCATGGCTCACCCTGTCTATTTTTGTGTCGGCAGCGCGGATGATGTCAAGCATTTCGCGGATGTTGCTGCGCATGTTGGAGTAGCGGCCGGACACGCGGTCCATGTGGCCGCGGTCCATCTGTAGCCCCAGCATCTGCTGCAGTAAGTCCTTTGCTTTCCTGCCCGATCATTGATATTAATTCTTCCATATTCATATGCAAGATTCCATGATGTGTCCTGTTATGAAACATTGTATAATTAAAGTAGTCTAATATGGAAACACCGAATGATGCTTGCAACATGCAGAATATCCTATGGAAGCTAGGAATCAGAATACAACGTAGAATACTCTGATCCCGGCTCGCGATCTCCATCTCAGAGATGACAACTCATAAAATGGTTTCAAAAATAGGTAGGCAAAAGCTGAAGATAATTAATTTGGCATCCACTAAATATATCTCACTGCAGTTCGTCAGCGGCCTCGCGCGAGAGGTGGTCGAAGGCCTCCCTGTTCTGGACCTGCTTCAGTAGATCCTTGGCCTCCTCCAGCGCCGCCCCCACGGATATGCTCGCCGTCTCGCCAATCGCGTAATTCGTGAGCAGTGCAATCGCGTCTGTATTGTAAGTGAACATTGTTTTTTTTTTATTGAATGTTCTTGAGAAACCACTAACTTTTTCAGTTATTGGGTTGATGAGAAAAACCGTTCATTTCTTGAATTAGAATAACGTTTCTGACTCATTGAACGGAAATAATATCTATAGTACAAGATTAATTAGCTAATTTAGTTAATTTTTAATTCACAATTAGAACCATTAAGTCAATAGAATTAATTGGACGAAATCTCCTAGCAATCTTCCAAGAGAGATCGGCTCACATTGGGCGGCATCCACGACGCGACTACAGAAGAGCGGTAACTCTTATAAATATCCATGTTATTTAATTATTGAATTATTTGGTAACACACGTGTGAGACATCACCAATACGATCACGATCACAAAAGGAAGAAATCAGTGAGAATTATACGAGTAGTAATGCCCAGCGCCATTACTGAGCAATTACGTAAGTGATCTCGAGCACATTACCCATTGAGTAATGCTTTCTAAACTTGCAGACAAAATAAAATATAATTTATGAGACCTGACATTAATTACAAGATATTTAAGCATGAGAATATTAGAATTTAAAAAAGCAATTGAATTTCAAGCGCAAAAATCTAAAGACATTGATTTCCTTGAAACATATTACGTGAAAAGATTTTCCGATATCAGAAACATGAGTATATCATCATACAATATCACTCTTACTTCTGTATTACTGAGAATTATATATTCTAATCTTCTATTATATTGTCATAGTATTAAGAACATTACTGACTTGCATACGTCAAAATAAGTAGAAGCAAAAGACTCACCGCTGATCTCCCTATTAACGCCCCTGAGTTCCTCCAGCAGCGCCCTGGCGTCGTCGTGGGTCTCCAGGGCAGGCCGTAGGTTGCGACGCGCGCCCTCTTCCAGCTGTCGAGCCTGCGTCATGTCAATACTATTGTGAGTATTGCTACGTGGTAGAAATTAGTGAAATTATATTTATCAGGCGTCGTTTATATTATATTTATAAATAAATATAATATGACATAATGATAAATATATTTATAAAATTATATTTTTCAGTGTCATTTTGAAAGAGTAATTATATCTCAATAGCTAGAATTAATTAATGTATCAAGATGACTAATGATAAATATAATTGTAAGGATTTCTGCCACACAATAATGTTCACAACATCGAAATCTATGTAGGCAATTTTCTATTTTCGAAATCTGTACAACTTTATTTCTCACTTATCTTGATACGGAAATTAAGTCTAGCTTTCGTTCGGTCCCAAAATCTATCTAATACTTCTATGTTATTGAAATTAATGCAAATATCACTCGTTACTTTGATAAAGTTCTTAAATATATTTTTCATTTAGGATCAAATTCCATTCTGAAATCTGTAATTAGAAGGTTATTATAGTGATTCAGCATCAACTCTGACGTTCAATTCTTACAATCCTTATCTCTCAATGCCACGCTCCAAATAAACAAATATTCTTTCATTGAAAAATCGTGTTTTTTCCTTCATTAAATCACTCTGTATTTTTCCTTCATTAAATCGAAACTGTTTTTTCCTTCATTAAATCGAAACTGTTTTTTCCTTCATTAAATCGAAACTGTTTTTTCCTTCATTAAATCAAAACTGTTTTTTCCTTCATTAAATCAAAACTGTTTTTTCCTTCATTAAATCAAAACTGTTTTTTCCTTCATTAAATCAAAACTGTTTTTGTTTCCTTCATCGAAACTAAGCCCTGAAGTTGCCGTATGCTCTTACCCTGCGCAGGAGCTCCTGAGCGCTGAACTCGAGGCTGAGGTCCGTCAGGAGGCGGCTGATGGAGCCTTCGCTGCTGCGGTAGTTGTTCAGTTGTAGCCGCAGCTGCTTGTACTCCTTCTCGATCTGAAAGTTAATTACATTTTATATGCGTGGATGATTCGTATATGAACCTGAATAGAAATCAAAATATTAATCAAGAGTCATTATTAAAAAAAATTAAAAATACTCGCACAATTCCTGGCATTCACTTGTAGCCATTTACTGATGCGATGCAATATCTGAAATTAATCCACAATCGAAATCAATGGAATTCATGAATGAGAATGAATAAAAATAACTTATCATGACTCTTGTAAGCACTTACAAAGAAAGTGAAGGCGTTTTTTTTAACAAATCAATGTGTTACAGATAAACATTTCCGAATGCAAATACTACAATCTTGTATATTGGAATGGCTGATTTATAGAGGGAGCAGACCTCCCTGAGGGCGGGCCAGGGCGGCGGGATGAAGTGGCTCTTGTTGACCGCGTCGATGTCGCGTATGAGCTCCTCGACCTCGTCCAGCAGCACGTCTACACAACCGTCCTCACACGCTGCAATAATTATATCATTAATAGAAAACATTATTATATATTATAAACTATATATTTATACGTTATATAATATATATTATACACTATATATTATATATTATGTATAATATATTGTAAATGTTATCACATTATTAGTATAACACATCACCCACTAAAAGTTCCAAATTATAAATACTTAAGCAATAGAGTGGTGAATTCCCGAAATAATCCGAGTTATACCAAATGCGGATGTGTCGTTATTGAAAACCGTACTTTATTTTTTCCACTTAATAGCAAGCATGGGAAAACAGATTACAAAATAATAGTTATAGAAGGAAGAAAGAACTGATGAACGGCAGTGAAGATAAGCGAGAAGAAATGACAATCTAGATTTAATCCAGATTGCAAGTAGAACTTGGAGAGATTCCGTCGATGGTAGGTTGTATGGGTCATAGGACTTACAGACGCCATACGCCTTACGGTACCTTATAGGCGTACTACGGCTCACGGTACCTTATAGGCGTACTACGCCTCACGGTACCTTATAGGCGTACTACGCCTCACGGTACCTTATAGGCGCCTTACGCCTCACAGTACCTTATAGGCGTGCTACGGCTCACGGTACCTTATAGGCGCCTTACGCCTCACGGTACCTTATAGGCGTGCTACGCCTCACGGTACCTTATAGGCGTCTTACACCTCACAGTACCTTATAGGCGTGCTACGCCTCACGGTACCTACAGACCGTGACTACTCACACTTGCAGCCGGTATCTACGATGATGTGCCGTGGCGCGCACTGCGAACAGTCGCGTCCCAGGATGCCAGGTTTACACGAGCACCTGTGGACCAGTGCAATCAAGTCTTTAAAATGTTTTCTTGGAAAAGGGGCATTTTAAAGTAGTAAAGTAGATTCCTTATTAATAAGTAGAAAATAATCGATCTGGCAAAAAATGATAAATGATTGAAGTTTGCCAACTGTTATTCTAAAAATGGGTCAGAGAATATAGGATTTGACAGGTAAAAAATTAGAGATTTAGCAAGAAACGATAAACAGTAGAAGTTAGGTAATTGGGAACCGTTTTTCTTAAATTTGGTTTTTGAAAATGAGCTTAGATTCGTAATAAAATAAAAAAATAAAAGCAACGGGATTCGGGTTCTCGGCAGCCGTTAATAGAGAAATCAAAGTTAATAGAGAACTGAGAACAGAATAGAGAACAAATTGGTTGAGACATCATGTAAACTCATCATATAAACTCATCATGTAAACTCATTATATTAAGAAGAATAACATGACTGAGCATGTAGCAGGACTCGCCTGCCGTTGACGTCACAGCCAGCGTGCAGGCTGCCGTTGGGGTCACAGTTGCAAGGCACGCAGCGTCCTCCAGGCTCGCTGGGACGCCCGTACCAACCGAACGCGCACCTGTACAAAAAAAAAATTACCTCATAAAATGCGTCATTCTCGACAGCAGGACCATCACTTAACGTCCCTAAGTATAACTTCTTCGTCTCATTATATTCTCTCACTTAATTACTCAACAACACAAACCTCTTCTCTAATCGCGCCTTTCACGCATTTCTTTCTCTGTTCTTACGTATCTCCAGTTCATCTGTCACACTTATTACCCGTGTATCATTACGTATCTCCAGTTCACCTGTCACACTTATCGCCCGTGTATCATTACGTATCTCCAGTTCACCTCTCACACTTATCGCCCGTGTATCACTACGTATCTCCAGTTCACCTCTCACACTTATCGCCCGTGTATCACTACGTAGCCCGTGTATCATTACGTATCTCCAGTTCACCTCTTACACTTATCGCCCGTGTATCACTACGTATCTCCAGTTCACCTGTCACACTTATCGCCCGCGTATCCCTACGTATCTCCAGTTCATCTGTCACACTTATCGCCCGTGTATCACTACGTATCTCCACTTTACCTGTCACACTTATCGCCCGTGTATCCTGGCCTGCAGTTGCACACGTATCCTGCGACAGGATCGGCCGTGCAGGTCTGGGCGAAGTTCTGCTCGAGGGAAGGACAAGCGCAGGGCCGGCACGGTCCCCGGCGCGGGTCGCCATAGTAGCCCGACGCGCACAACTCGCAGTTCGGGCCAGTTGTGTTGTCCCGACAGTTCTAGTTACACACGTTTAATTTTGTAAACAATTCAAGCATGAAAAGTGTCATCTTAGCATAAAATTGAGAAAAATTTCTGCTCGATGATCATTTTTCACGGCCTCACTGCCGTTTACTTCAATTTGTGAATGGTAGGTTGAGGAACAATGCTATATATTCGCAATTCAAGCATGTTTTGCAGATTTCGCCAGACAATAAAGGTGCCTATTCTATTCTTCTATTATAACATTTCTATTCTGGCCCTGCCAAGATGACAGAATAGAAAGGAAACACCAAGAAAAAATAACTAGAGACTCACGAGGCAGATGCCGGTGTCGCGGTCACATTGGTCGGAGCGACCGTTGCAGTTGCACGGTCTGCTCTCGCCCACCAGGTCTATGATGATGGTCGACTGAATGTAGTTGTCTTTGTACCAACGGAAGAAGCCTGCACACAGGGTCACGATTTATTTCAATCCGAGAATTTATAACCAAAACAGGGTTACGATTTATTTCAATCCGAGAATTTATAACCCAAACAGGGTAACGATTTATTTCAATCCGAGAATTTATAACCGATGAGACGAAAATAATGTAATCGGCAACAGTGAAGATAGTAAAGATTCTTTGAGTGCAATAAATCTCAGGAGTCGAGATGCCATAAATGAAAATGATGTAATATCAAGACCGTGAAGAGAGTAAAGATTTATTTGTATGGAAAATGCCATAATGTAAGAAAACAAAAGCGATGCGACTTAAACGTCGTATGCAAGAGGGACTTGAAACAATGCAACATGGCGCCTCTAAGATTCAAGGTATGGAGGTAAAATAAAGAAACGGGAAAGCCTTAACTTTGCGTGAGCAAGCATCAGGCAGCACGTAGCAAGCAGCAGGCATCAGTCATCAGGCAGCAGGCAGAAGGCAGCAGGCAGCAGGCAGCCGTGCCACAGGTCTTACCTTGATTAGGGTTCTGGCAGGAGAGGCCGGTGTAGCTGGCGGGACAGAGGCACTGCTCGACGCCCAGCGCCCGACGCGACGACACCAGAGTGCCTTCAGTCGCTACGTCCAGCGTCACGTGACTCAACCTGCAAATATCCAGCGAAAAATTCATGTGATATTAAGAAATTATTTCGATAGAAGAACAATTAATAATAGAGAAAGATCGTCATCGTTCGCGAACTAACATGCCAGCTCTAGTTTACAGCGAACACTCACGAGGCTGCCACGACATCCTTCATAACACTCACGAGGCTGCCACGACATCCTTCATAACACTCACGAGGCTGCCACGACATCCTTCATAACACTCACGAGGCTGCCACGACATCCTTCATAACACTCACGAGGCTGCCACGACATCCTTCATAACACTCACGAGGCTGCCACGACATCCTTCATAACACTCACGAGGCTGCCACGACATCCTCGGAGTGCGTGGCGCGGATGAGAATGTGTTGGATGTTCTGCAGCGCCACCATCATCATCTCACGCGTCACGGGCGCCGGCGACCCCTTCTGGCGCCAGTGATCTTCGTGTAGCCTGACCACAACAACGATATATAACAGTAAATAAAAACTTAATTTAGTCGGCTGAATCAAATTCAGACATACTAATCATTATCGGATAAAAAGAAGTCAACCGCTACGCTCAAACCACTACTCTATCTACGGTATAGAGCTCGAGTTACCGGATCATTGATAGTTAGTTACCTGACACGGTAAGTACCATCTGGCTCGATACCCTTGGGGTAATGCTCGAGTACCAGCTGGTAGTTACCCTGCAGGGACACTAGAGGATACGTCTGCAGGATACTGTCAGGGAAAACTCGCGTGCCCCCGGAGCTGTCAACCCTGAACGTCAGGTATCCGTTGTACGACCGCACCTACCCAAGAGGAAAGGTACGAGAACCATGAAAATGATGGAAAATGTTACTGCAACAGAATGATGAATGATGATGGTATCTGTAAACGCCACCAAATGATGAAAGATGATGGTTTGAAGAACATAAATTTTGTGACGAAAGTATAGGAACCAGAATAAAAAAATTATGCATTTCAGACAAGCGCAAATAAAAATATAAAAGGCTTAGTATTTGATTTGGGAACAAATAAATAATTTCAAGTGATATTAAGAAAAGATCAGCACTATCTTTATCAGGACTACGAAGGCATGACCTAATTTAGCAATGGTATAATTAAAAAACGAACGCTAGAAACCCGGATCTAAATTTATTTCTTGTGCACTGAAGATCATACCTGTTGAGTAATTAATACAATAAAAATTAATAAGTTGAGTAATTAATACCTTATCCCTCATGAACTCCTTGGGCAGGGTCCAGTAGAGCGGGGCAGGGAAAGGTACTGCTGTACCCAGCATGATGTGGGTAGTCGTGCTGGGTATAACGTGCAGCTGGTTGGTCACGTTCAGACGAGGCTCGGCTCGAGTTCTGTCCGTACCCAGGTGACGTTCGCCAGGCAGTGCCAGCTGTCACCGCCAAATGTCGCAAGTACGAATCGTTGCGTCGAATATTTATCATATAAGTCACAATAGGCAGAATTCACATGGTTGTCATTATGCAGAATCCATAATAGCCAGAATCCACATCGTTTACGTTGAAAAATCGGAGACCGTCAAATCATGTTCGAGGTATTCGACGTATCCAAGTTTTGTGGCCGCCATGACAGAAAGAGCGGCCGCAAGTTGAGTGCAGCGTCAGTGCGAGGATATATGAAGTGAAGGTTTGTTCCGCAAGAAGTGCAAAGGAAAAGGAGGACAACTTTATTAGAAGGAGATTTAGGAACCTGAGATTGCTGAATAATAACTTAATCCAGTTAAAATTTCTAATTTAGTTTATTCAGCCGAGATATTATTTCATTTGTAAACAATTAACAAGCCTGGCAAGAAACAAAGAATCATGTGAAAGTTACTGTATAAAAATACAACTTAAAGTATTAGTATTTCACTGCCGTGGGCAATGATATTATTATAAGACACAGTCAAAAGGAATTAGCAAGCAAAATACAGTACACGGGTGGGTCCTTAAGGGATTTGACAAACAAGCACACGCAAATTCACACGAAACTAACGAAGACAAAACATATTTCGGGACCCCATGCATTGCGCTGCAGTTCAGGCTGTTCTTATAAGCATGAACGCATATACACACCGGGTAAAAACTACCCGTTTGATGAAATAAATTAGTGACATGCCTGCAAACTTCACTCAATTTCATTGCATGTAAAGTACCCGAATGCTCTTGGGCGTATGTATTGAGTTGGGATTGAATATTATTTAAGGCGGCAGGGTAACTATGCTAGTATGAGGTTCCAGCTCAGTAGGTCGGGTGGGCAGTGCTTGGGTAATATCATACGGTTGGGTCCGGTAAATGGCAAGCGTTGGCATTAGATCTTTAGGTATGTTGCGAAAATTCAGGATCATGCCTTAAAGTATAATCTCTCAACTTGCGCGAGTTTTTGGATGTGAATCATTCACTAAGAATTGATGTATCGACATTATTTACTGCAATACATGAATTCTCAGTGAATTCATGTATTGCATGAAATAACGGCAATACAGAAACTAATATTGCCCGAGACTCATAAAAAATAACGTATTAACAAATCATCGATAATTAATTTACCAAGCGTAAATTATTAGGCAGGTAGTCGTCAGTTCGTGGAACTAAATTAGGTACGTTTTAGCGCAGTTGCAGGATCAGGATAACGAAGGGTGTACATAACACGGAGAGGCGGAAAGGTTTAACACAGACATGAAAGGGTTCATTTACATGGAACTGAAAAACGCGACAAAAAAAAAATCATGACAGAGCTCCATACTATGTCGTCGGAAGAAAAAAAAAATTTTCACAACAAACTTTCGAAGGAAGATAGTACAGAAAACATTAGAGAAGAACGCAATCCAAATAAAACATTTATTTCTTACTAGCAACAAACGAGGAATAAGTCCGACAAAAGAGAGTACAGATAAAACGAGTTATTATTTACGTTGATATAGCAAATCTGTGACGTGTCCCACGGTCTGACGACAACGGTAGCTGCGGGAACTGGTCCAGCGTTGGCTTCCCCATACTGGACACCCAAGACCAACGTCTGGGGCACGGTCACCTGAACACGGCAGGGGGGGGGGATGCTCCTACTGTTTGTAAACATCCACTGAGCTTGGCCTCGTGAGTCAAAGACGTTAGGAAATCGATTCAGGAACTGAAGGAATTGTGCTTGGAACTGATAAGATGCTGAAAGAGTAATGATGAAATCCCCAAAGGAAGAAGAAACTGAATAATCAAGTAAATGGGCAAAATCTCCAAGAAGAAAGAAGGTCGAGATAAGAACGTACAAAGGTCGCACTAAATATGAATGTAAAAAGGAAGTGTATGAACAACGGACTAATCAAAAGGTAGAATTTATTCGTTAAAAGTGAATCTTCAGCTCAATTAGTTAAAAGATTGACTCTAAATAGTGAATAAGAATATGCAAAATGGATAAGGTCCATCTAAAAGAAAATGAGAATGGAACAAGTGCTCAGGCAATATGGAATATTAGAATAAAGTTTATAGACGTTATGATAGAATAATAGATCTGAAATGTAGCAAGATACTGAATAGCGAGAGATACTGAAACGGCTTCTGGTGACGTAGACTCCACGGATGATGAGAAGAACAATTTACACATTTTCGTTCTGTAAGAAAATGCATCAGAACAAACATTTCGACCAAAGTCTATTGAAGCCTACCTAGGAGCCACCAGGATCCTACCTACTTAGAAATAAGAGTCCTAGCGTCCCCACCGCCCGTGTCTCTATTAAACGCGAGGATTTGATAAGGCGACGTCATAAATTCGCTATCAGGTATTCAAGACGGAGCTGCAGCAGCACGCACTTTCTCAAAATTAAGCGCAAATTTCTACGCACTTAATGCGTCGTAATGCTATGAGGCGAATTCCACGTTTGTGGTATGATCGGTCAACGTAGTATCGATGATAATCGAAAACTTCAAAGGTAAACGTATTTATCCGATGATGGAGTGCATTGAAACGTCCGTACTGGACGAATAAGACGCAGTCGCAATTAATCGGAGTCTAAATCATTACTGAATTAATACTTGTATAAATTGCGTGGCGCTCGAATAGCAGTACTTTAAGCGAGCCACATGGCACCACGCGGGGCATGAGCAACTCCATGGCACGACGCTGGACATGAGCAACTCCATGGCACGACGCGGGACATGAGCAACTCCATGGCACGACGCTGGACATGAGCAACTCCATGGCACGACGCGGGACATGAGCAACTCCAGCAGCAGAGAGGAGCTCGAGCAAAGCACCTCACCTGGGACCAGGTGTAGGGCGCCTGCTCGCACTTGTCGGTCCTCCTGAAGCAGAAGCAGGCGGTGCAGCCTAAAGGGTTTTCTTCGTCCAGCCCAAAAGTGGAAGGCTTACAGCGGTCACACCTCGGGCCTGTCACGTTTTCCTAGTGGATGCAATTATTTCAACTATTTTTGCTCAGACTAATCTGATATTATGGTAGCATTATTAACATACAAAATGGATGTTATTTTCCTCAATAGTCCCAAATTAAATTTGAAGCAATTCAGAGACAGGTAAGCAGAGAGACATGAGAGGACATAGTTACGTTACAGGGAGATAACCTATGTTTTATCACGCAAGGTATGAGGATTATACTTATTATTAATTTGGGGTTTAAGAATAATTTCACTGTTTTACTCACTCACAAAACAAAACAGAAAGGATGAAATAATGCACTTTTATTACTAAATTGTCATTACTTATACATTTTCATAAAGTGGTACAGTATACCGCATGACGCTCACCTTACAGGGACACTGTCCCCGCTGGTCGCACTGACATCGGCCATGCGCCTCGCAGACGTCGGCGCGGGTGCCGCTGGGATGGCACTGGCACGCGCGGCAGTTGGGTGCTCCGTAGTAGCCGTGCGTGCACTGGTCACAATGGGCGCCCCTGAAGCCTGGATTGCAGGAGCATCTGCCTGTTCTGAAGTCGCACTGCTGGTTCACTGAGCCAGGCATCGAACATTGGCACAACTGCACCCGGAAGAAGATAATGCAGCAGTTCAGCGTATTTTTTCTTATGAAGTTTTGAATGAATGAGAGTACCGTTTTACGTTGAGGGATTGGGTGTAAAATAAACGAAAATGAATAAGAAGCATTAAGTAAAATTTCCCACTATGTTACACAAAATTATCCATCTTCATTCTTCACACGTCATGATGAGTACATACAATTTCATAGCGAAAAAAAAACATAAATCACGTAACATGGATGAACCACGCGTTAAATTACATGGTCGGGAAACAATCTTGGTGATGCAATGGCAGGTTAGTTGATTCGGATGTAACCAGTAAAAAAGGAAGGTAGTTTTTAAAGCTTCATATGCTTTGAATGAAGCATGAAAAGTTACCTTACAGCCGCGAGCACTAGAGTAGTCCCAGGAGCCAGGCTTGCACCTCTCGCAGCGCTCGCCCTCGGTGTTGAGGGGGCAGATGCAGCGTCCCGAGTGCGGGTCGCACGACCGGCCCGCTACCCCACACGGCTCGCATGCTGCTCACAATAAAAAACGCTTTGTTTTTGCAAATTATTTGTGAGAAAAATATCAGCAGCAAAATCGAGTACAACTTATGTGTTTTTTTTTATCATTTGTTTGAGAGAGGAAGATGCTCGTCTAGGGCGAACACAAGAGGCTTGTAGACCAGGATCAAGAAATCTTTACCATCACTCACGCTTGCACTCGTTGGCAGAGATCTACGAGTGTTCACCATTACTCACGCTTGCACCCGTTGGCAGAGATCTACGAATGTTCACCATTACTCACGCTTGCACCCGTTGGCAGAGTAGCCCCAGAAGCCAGGCAGGCATCTGTCACAGCGGTCCCCTCCGACGCCAGGAGGACAGATGCACTGGCCGGTGTTTTGGTCGCATTGTGTGCCGTCGACGCCGCGTCCTTCGCAGTCGCATCTGCGGCACCCGCTGCCCGACGCCAGGCCCCAGTGCCCAGGGGCACAGCGGGAGCAGTCGCGCCCCACCACGTTGGGCTTGCAGTTGCACTGTCCAGTGATGGCCTCGCATGCACTTCCCAACGAGCCCACCGGGTTGCACGCACATTCTGGACGGAGTGACAATAATCATTGCAAATAATCTCAAGATAATTCAATAGATGGATGCCTTGTTCACATGGTAATTTTAGATACTGTTAGCATGGTACGAAATTAGCCTACCTTAAAAAGTGTCACTCGGTATAGACTGCAAATAAATAAAGATGAATACAACAAAATATTTAAACAATATTACCGTCTATTGATTGGCATCGCCTTAGCATCATAATATGTAGAATTAGAGACAGGTATTCTTTCCCGTCTTTATTATACGAAAGTATTTCCACTAGCCCTGTAGAGCGTATTTTAATACACGAATTCATTTCTCACACAAAAGCATGAATATGAATATATCAACTTGTGAATTGAAGCGTTAGATCTTATGCGGTTGCTTATACGTACAAAAGGCTACACAGCTGCATTTCGTTGCGCTTGAATGGAGTGTTGCATTAAATGGATGCGAGCACATCCCCTAGTCGTGAGGAATTGCGACATTCTGGTGCATACCGCCACACAGCATTAATTAACATCTCGTCCATCACTCACGAGAAAGAAGAATGATAACAACAGCGCCCTTAGAAAAGGAGCAGTGCCGTCATGAATTTTAAAACGCCAAGGAGTAGACAGCTAATTTCCCAAGATGCGTTGCGATGGCCTAATTTAAAAACGCGGAGTAAATTTTACACTTTTCAGCTATCAACGTACGCCAATTCCATCGATGCCAGATGATGCAGAGAAAAAATATTGTTATGGGAAGAAAGATTATGAACACGATTTTCCTTTTTATCACCTGCATGACTTCTGGACAATTATCAGTGTAAAGAAATCATTATTTACATTATTACTAACGCAACTGCATGAAGGCAGCCAAAGACGTATATTCACAACCTTGGGACATGAATATAAAATGCTATGCATGACGCACGAGTTGAGCTATGACACGACTGCATGACGCATGACTGTACGGGGCAAGGCTCGGATAAGAAAGCTATTAGGGCGCTAAGAGCCCCGGAACTGTCTGGCGCGATATGACTTGACATTGCATCGCCTAAACACTTCATGAGGAACCTATTTGATAGAGCAGCTCATAGGCTGCCACGTCGCATACACGCAGGCATAAATATGCGCGAACATTATTCAAATTATTGTATTGTATATAATTTGTCGCAATTATTGAGGATTATTCATCGTAGAGGATTAGTGGAATCTAATCATCATAAGATTTTTGTCACTATATAAACGACAAAGACAGTAAATGTCGTTACAAATATATAACCAATGAGAATCAACTGCGATATAGTTACTTGATATAAGTGAGTCATAAAACCAAGTGTGCACTGTTGAATTAAGAATTGACTACAACAATTTTAGAATTGTTAGAGAAATATTTTTTTATGTAATAAACACCTTTTGGTCAACGAGCAATGCAAATCGAGCTAAGTACATAGTATATCATGCTAAGTACGTATTTAATGGAAACTAAATTATTGCATAAAGTTATTTCTGCAGTAATTGGTTTACTAAGGCGATATATGACGATCCCAAACCACGACTTTTCAAATTTCCGAATTATGTGACTCTGTTATTTAAGATACAGCACGTCGAAGCGTATTTTATCCTCCGTTTATTACATCAAATCTCTTCAACAATCAAGTGTGACAGTCCAGTCACGTGTGTTCCTTTAGAATCCATATCGTAACAGTTCAGTACAAGCCATGCACTCCTTGAGGTGTGGCTGCATGCTGTCAGTCTGCACAGCAAGAGCCTCATTCTCTAAAATAATTGCCAAAATGTAAATCATTAGATAAAATTATTGAGATTTGCAAGCGAACTTAGCTGAGCGCAGACTTAAAGATGTGGTTTACGATAACAATATTAGTAATTATGGGCACAGAGGTTATTTGTTCGAAACAAACGAACGCCTGCAGAACCTTGCGGCAATTTTGAGGTTCAGCCAAAGTGCAGTTCAACTCACAACTTATTAGAGAATTATAGGGTGATAATGTATGGCCGTCGGTAGACCACCATCGCGACGGCTGAGATTTTACGTTAGAGCTTTCAAGGCGAGCCTCTGAACACGCCGCGGAATAATTTCGTGCTTAATCCGCGCGCGTAGCGGAGCATGTGACGTGTTTACGAAACTAGGGACGAGCTTTCCCTTGAGAGAAATTACAGTTGATCAGGCACGGCCAAATGATGCATTGAGTGGCCGGTGATATTCCGACAATTATTTGACATGGTTAACGAACTTACTGGAAGTTCTCGTCCTGAACATAACGAAGTGGTTACAGATTTACAAGATCGAGGATCACGACTGGGGTGGTGGCCCTACAGTTTATGGGAAAGCGGCACTCCGGGGCTGAGGCACCAAAAAACTTGAATGACCTGATAATGTAAACGAGCACCTAGTCTGAGCATAACAGAGTTAACATTATCTTGGTTTAAATTGTGATTCAATATAGAATGATCAACACAGATCAGCATATGAACTTTAATTATAGAGTTCGGACTTGGGACCATTAATTGACTACTTTGCAAGCACGTACCTCAAGCTCAACTAGACGTAAAAATGAGCTATTTTTATCAAGTATTAGTTCACATAAGAGTGCATTTACTAATGATGTCAGTATAGTTATTTTAAACCACATTCAAGTCAGTACCACTACCGCATATTCAAGAGGAATTGAAAACTTGAAGCATATCTGTAGCATTGCCACTCGATGACCGAGAATCCAGAAGTTGACTCCTGAAGAAAAAAGTGAAGTCAGTCGTAAATTATTGGATTACCGTAAACAGGGATTTCAAAGTCTGCTCTAGGTCGACCAACTCAAAAGCTAAAAAACTGACGAGTCACTGGCTTACAGACATATAATTTATCAGGATTACTTCAGAGTGCGGATCCACAGAAAAGTAACTAGCCTCTAACTCACTCAGCAAGCTAAGGTATGCCACAGAGCACGGCACAAGAATGAGAGGCTACGGTCTAGGTGGACGTACCCAATGACCCACACATAATGTAATGTTCATAAGCACTCTAAGTGAGGAGAATGATGCCTTACGCTATGAGAATTATAACAATTTCAAGATACATCAGTTAGAAGTTAAACTGGGTGCATTATTTTCGTCGAGGGGGCACATTATTATAATTATTAAAAAAATTATAATAAAATTAAAATTATTTATTATTAAAAAATGATTATTATTATCATTGTATTATTTTCGTCGAGAGGGCACGATTCTGGCACTGAGTGCAAGAATCGTCGAGGGGGCACATTAAAAAGAAATATCTCGACTATAATTCCCATGAGTTGTGTCGATGGAGACCAGGAAAAGTTTATTAGAAAGCATTTATTTTCGAGTGACTGATTAAAAAAATAGAAAGTATTGAGAGGAAAAATCAGCATTACATCATTTGAGTATAGATAACCATCATTAGATTATAGTGGTAAAGATCACCATTCGATAACGGTAGTAAAATTACCCTTCGATAATGGTAGTAAAGATTATCATTAGATAATGGTAGTAAAAATCACCCTTAGATGATGGTAGTAAAGATCACCATTAGATTATGGTAGTAAAAATCACCCTTAGATGATGGTAGTAAAAATCACCCTTAGATAATGGTAGCAAAGATCACCATTAGATCATAACGGTAGATTGTAGAGGTCGGAGGGCAACGCGCTACAAGCCTTCACGAGGAGAAAGTTAAGGAAAGAAGGAAGCTTCGCACGCAACGCTTAATTATAATGACATTGCGCAATGCAATGAGTTGCAAATATCTAATCATATTAGTGATAATTAATATTTATTGTCACGGATTCCTGAAACGAGACCGTAGAGAGTGTAGAATACTATATAATGAAGCTATTATAGAAATGTTGAAATGGTATTATTTTCAAAATTACTTTCAGTGATCGGCCTAAAAAAGTCCTTTGGAAAGAAAACTGCTAACAAATTTAGATGGAAATATTTATGAAATAAAATAAAATAGAGAAGATTTAATAGTCAATACTAAATATTGATGTAAAGTATTGCGTGGGATGAGAAGTATTGGCGGGCATCGTACTGAGCACGGCCATGGAATGCACTCTGGTCACGAGCTGTGATATCTGATGGAGGAGCGACCACTGCAGCGGTCCTGACGTTATACGATCGTTAATACACGATCGTCTCGACCTTCCCTTAGTAAAGGGAGAGACTGCTATTTAATCATTAAGGCTTGGACGAGCGTAACGATCGTTAATACACTATCTTCTCGACCTTCCCTTAGTAAAACGAGAGTCTGATATTTAATCATTAAGGCTGGGGCGAGCGTAACGATCGTTATTACACGATCGTCGCGACTTTCCCCTTATAGTAAAAGGAGAGTCAGCCACTTAATTATTAAGGCTTGGTTGGAACCGCTGCGAATGGAGACATAATCTCGAGAGACACATAGCTTAGAGGGTGCTAGCTCAACGTAACATTTTTATTGTGTAATCTCAAGTAAGTTTCAATTATTAATAAAATGAGGGTCAGTCAGAGGCATACAATATAATTCATTCAAAATCATTGAAAAAAAGTTTCAGTGCCCTCAAAAGGTTGATTTTACAAGCGAAGCGAAATAAAAGAAACAAATGCATTCGTGAAAACCTTCAACCGATCCCATAGAACTGAGGTACCTGAAGCAAACAATTCAATTCGAAATCGTACACAAAGAGCAGATAAATTAGGGCACCAGCAGGAGCTGACAGAGATCACGGGCGTCACGACATCGTGGGCTCAGGAGCACGACAGCTGCACGCATCCAAGAAGGCCGTGCAATCTAAATAGTGGCTGACGCAGCCATGCCAGATGACAAGAGAAAAAGGCCAAATCTGCTGATAGGAAAGGTCAAAGCTGGCCACAATTAAATATTTCTTAGTAAATTTGTAATTTGTTGTAGAAATTTTTAATTTTTTAAGTTATTATATGTTGAAAAATATAATAGCTTCAGGGTAATCGTAGATTTTTTACATAGATTTGCCTACCA